ACTAATATGGGGAGATGAATCTATTCGAAGCGGTTGTCGAAAGTAGAATATCTGATAGCCAAGACACCATCCATGGCCGTTAGCGATTACTACACACCCTGAACAAAAGCGGGTGCCGTGAAGACCAGCCGACGCAAGGTTTGTCATTGCAAGTGAAATGAAAAGCATCAATCCACACAGGAAAAGCCGTTTTTCAATGATGGACTAAGTGTTTGCTCGGCGATTAACAATTATGTCGGGGTATAACATCGGCAAGCCCGGATCTTCTATGAAGCATGATAACGCGTAAGAAGAAAGGCCAAAAGTCACAGAGCACACCCATACTGGAAGTTCACCGCCATTTGAGAGCTGCTTCCACCAGTAGCAGGTTTCCTAGGCTGCATAGGTCGACAAGGACAAGTATTATATGAAGTTTCTCCACTCGCTCATGACCCAGTTGGCCCATGACTGCCAGTAGCTGGCCATGATACTTCTGGAGTAATGGTGGAAGTCGTGGATATGGTAACGACTCTTACTAGCGTAGGCAGATTGATGAAGTAGGTTGTGATTGTCATAGTCTCGACATTCCGATCGCCTATGCCAGTCGGAACTTTCCTCCACAAGACTGGAAGCATTCTAGCCATTCTTGTCTGGCGTCACGAGAAAATGGGATTCATCCATCTCCATCTGTTTTCTGTACGACCGGTTGCATCTGGCCAGCTTCGCTTTCATCTGCTGGTCGGGACTGACATCATGTACCTCGACTCATCAAATACGGCTTTGCATGTAGCAGTATCAACTGTTAACGAACTGTTTGGCGGACAGACATAAATGATATATATGGATGACTCCCATCAGCGATACATAGCGGTGCATTCTGGTAATCTCCTCACATCCAAGAAACATTTCCAGCTGTATAGACTTTCGGGTACGGTGCCTCTTGTGTGTTGCTGGAAAATCTTCAGACATCGAATGCCTATGATTGTGGTCTTCAGCGTCAAAATTGGATCGATGTCATCTGACGATTTCCCAAGATTGCAAATCCCCGCATACATGAACGTGGATTATGAACTGTCTGTCTTCTTATCCGCCACCTGGAAAGCTAGCATGCTCCCACGTCTGATCGCTCCTTGGGTGATGAACGGGATGTCTTGGAGAAATGCGTCTCCGCGTTGTCGCTGTATGTATCTATATCCACGAAATAGAATCTTGCGCAGCTTGTTGGAAAGTTCGTAAAATGATGTCTCATTCGATCAACTGCGAGGTTCCCTGACAAGCTTAGCATGAGGGAGCATCAACCAGAGATATATCAGTCGAGGAAAAGCAACAGTGAGGACGAGCTTCGATGGTGGTTAATAATGTGCGATTCACGAAGCCAGCAGTATCGTTTGGAGTCAGACAAACAAGGGTATAAAAGGAGACGGCACAGACAAAACACTGGCAGGAGAGCAGATAGGGCGCCCGTTGACAGTAGCCAGCGCACTGTTCTGTACCTTTCTTGTCGGACGAGTGAAAGCAGCTCCATTGAGTTGCTTGGCCGAACCAGCTTCCAAGCATATATCTGGCTGTATGTCCTGATTTCTTCGTTCACCCGAAGATGTAGATATCGAAAGACGCCGTCTCAGGGAGATCATATACTCCCCCACCAGCCTGAATGCGTCAAGGCCAGACGCCGTCCAGATCAAGATGCAGTATGCACTGGAGAGGATGACGTGGACGATTGATACGAAGGATATGGCAGGTTGAAAACAAATCTCTTTTCTCCGATATGGCTGTTGGCACAATAACTAGGAATATTGGGATGAGAAGAGTTCAGTGTTGTTGGTTGGATGTGCTGCGCAACGTCTTGCCTTGAGTGAACGCAGGCCTGACTGTTCTTGAACCTGGAGCATCTCCGTTCATACCCGAATAGCGTGCTCTGTGTAACTTGACTCGTTTCTGATCTTTCTAGCGTCGCTTGTCTTGACTTGACGTTTATCTCTCACCGTGGCACTGTTTTTGTCCTCGGTGTTTCGTTTCTTGGAGTTATTCTTAGACGTCTGCGAGATCCAACGGAGTGGATACGGCATCACTTGCCAGATCGGACCCAATCTCTCTCATTAGTATCTGTAGCATCATTGGGTACAGATTGACGCGCGTAAGCCCAACTTGGTTGGGACACATCCAACTGAAGTGTGGCGTTTCCAGACTCATAGCCTCTGAGTTGGAATGGAAGTCATGACGCAGGATTGAGTATCGTCCTGACTATATCAAATGAACAAGAAACACAATAAAACTCGAGATAGAACCACCGATTGAAGGAGCGCGCATATCGAAACCAACCGCAACGTTGAGCCCTACCCATTCATGCTGACGCCAGGATGTGCTCCTGGAGATATCCACCTCTAAGTCAGCGGTAGTTGAATCATTGATGTTGAAGAAAGCTTCATTTGATTCGACAAACGCACTTCATAGTACTTATGTGCCCTGGAACCAGAACCAAATACCAGTTCCTCCACAGAGTATCGTGATAGTCCTTGTCTGTTTCGGTAACGACTAGCCTTGTACAACTACAAGCTCTTCAAGTCAAGGCTTTTCTTTCTGGTCGCAACCAGCAACCTTTTGGCGCATTCTGATGGTATGTCATGATGGCTTTGATGAAATTGGACGTTGAGCGGGGAGGTTTCTCAAAGACACATTTCTCAAGTCATGAGGCGATAATGACATAGTTGGATCTTATGCTTTTCCAAACAAAGAACGAGTGACACAGGCTTATTTGAAGAGGCCTATGGGAAACGATGTATGCACGAGAATGTATCCAGCATCATGGACTGAAGCCTTCCAGAATCCATTGCCCTTTCTTCTTAGTATCGACAGGCAAGTTATGCTGTCGGGTAGTCTCTCGTACTGTATAATTAGACAGTAAAAGTACCGATCTGCCCGGCATCGTTGACGGTGACTGCCTCCGCGGCAGACGCGTCACCGTAAGACTCTTCTGCAGTAGACATCTCCACGGGTTGTTCCCACTGATCCGTGTCCATGGTCATCTCCATGGTAAGGTCTAGTAAGTGAGAGTGAGATGGGATATGTATGATGGGAGAGATTGGCGAGAAATGGAAGATAGAAGTCGGGAGAAAGAAGATCGGAAAGGTGCAGTTGTAGCAACAGCACCGTTGGCTGGTAGTCCAGTCAAGGGTATTGAGCATGATGAAGGTTGCTCAAAGACTGATCACATTATCAGAGATGCATAGAGATAGAACATGAGAAAATGGTCTTGTGCTAGACCCTGCCGTGATGATCTTCCCTCGTGATATAGAGACAGGGAAGTGGCAAGATGCGTTGTGTCTTTCTCGGTCTTCGTATGCCATTGCGTTGGGGAGATAGAGATTCAGTAAAGCCTCAGTATACCCTGGCTTCCGAGTGTTCCCCTGACAGCTATGTGTATGGTGGTCTCCCGCCGAAATTCATTGAATCGTTGCGATAGTTGGTAAGTCGAAGCCATGTGAGTAATTTAAGGCGGGACCCTCAATCAAGCGAACCCCATTGCAACAGCCGAAGCTCAAAGCTACCAGCCTAGCTTGTCTCTGCGGACCTGGCGACCGCACCATCACCACGCCGATTGATGGGTTTATATTCATCCTCCCCATGTTACAAGCGATACGGGTGATATGCAGCATTATACATGTCCGCTATCACGGTCACGATATCATCGACAACGTGATATATTCCATTTCACAGAGACATCATGAAGGCGTCATTGAAGCACGCATCGACCATGACCAAGTAGCTCGATGGTGCTCTGGCCTTGACGCCATTGGAAGTTGAGCATCGCGGCTATACCAGTTCCCTGGCAGATTAGAGCGAGAAAGCTAAGGAAAGCGTTATATGGGAACGAACGACAGAAAGTATCCGAAGCTCCGCAATATCGTGAGAAGATTAAGAATGGATATAGGTCCCTTCATGGTGTAAGAGTGAAGTGGTGACTTGCATGGCAGGATATATCAGACCCTTTGAGTAGGATGGAACAGGGAGTATTCCAGCACACAATAGAGAAGTCCAACAATGAAGAGGAAAAGTAGGAAGTCTAATATATCAAAGAAGATGCTTGCAGGATGCTGCTTGTGTCGATGGTGCGATGAGGTATATATAAGATGGAAATGAGTATATACGTTGATGATGCTGATGGAAGTGTGAGGATGAAAGAGGTGAGGAGGAAAGGAAGAGAGGGAGAGGAGAAGCGAGCTTCTTATAGAAGAGGCACAGCGAGAATCAGCTGATGTAATTAACAGCCATGAATGTGAAGCGGCTGGTGAAGAACCACCTTCATACAATACGCGACGTGTATAGAATCATTGAGCACAGGGAATCGTAAAGTAAAAGTCGCAGTGAGTGCACATTATTTGACTGTGTGATGCAATTCCATGGCTAAATGCCAAGGGAAGCATGCACCAGTACCTGGCCATGGACCAAGTAGCTTTCAAGAATATAGATAAATTCAGCAATACCAGGTAATTTGAAAAGGGCATGAGTGGGGTAGTGAACATGTGTGCGAAGGCAGCAAAATTTGTGATTCGGAGATTTCCATAAAATAATCTGCCAGCGTGAATCGGGACCCCGTGTCCGTTAATACTGCTGCGTCACTATTGCAAGAGTACGAAGTGACCGGGCAAGCTTCACAGACTGGGTCGTTAGCCAATTCACATTAGGTTTAGGAATGAAAACGGAAATCTGTGTAAAATTTGTCATAGAATCAATGTTGTGGGAAAGGCAATTTGTACGGATTTGATATGTGTGCCACCAGTTGTAGGACTCCACGTTCAGGTCAACCAAAAAGAAGCACAGGGCATCAATCAAGTTACTTACTGGGAAGTAATCTACAGGCTAAACCACTACAAGGCAAATGATTTCAGAAAATCCTATTCCAAAAGCTAACTAAAATGCTAGTAAAACAAAAGCCATGATGGGAATCATACAAAGATACCTTCACAAAGAGGGAAGAGAAGGAAAAAAAAAAAAGAAAGAAAGAAAAAGAAACATGCAAACTAGACCTGAACACTAGATCCATCACTCTTCTTACAAGAAGAGCATGCTCCAGCGCCAGCAGCAACCTGCGACGGTGTGCGAGCAAAACTAGGAGGAACATCCAAGGCAGGGTTCCTCGCAAAGAAGTGTCTCGGACGGAGAAGCAAAGTCATTGGCTCAGCAGGCATGATGGGGTAGTCTTCAGGGGAGGGGAAGTGCGTAAGGCCAAACGTATGCCACAGGACGACGTCCGTGTTGTCGATAGAGGAGTTCGGACCAGCGGCTTCAATCCACGCCGGCAGGCCGTGGGATGGTTCACCAGAGGTCTGGGGTACGTGGCGACCGGCGGGGTGAATCTGGTCATCGGAGTCTTTATTTGGAAGTTAGTGAAACAGTTCCATTATGAAAGGTAATGGTAGGCACTTACACTTAGTGACATGCACGGCATGTCTAGCGAATCCAGCCCGTTTCCAGACCAAACTACCTGCCTTGGGGAGCAAGGGAGGTACTTCACGGCTGACAAGCTTGTAGCAGACGGGCTTCTTGCTGTGGGGGTTCAGCTTGTTGGTGTTGGCAATCTCCCAGGTTCTGGACGTGTTGCCGTCATAGTCGGACATTGCTTCGAGAGGCGTAGTGTACTTCGTCTTCTTAGCGTAGAATGCGTTTCCGTACGGGTTCTCTGCACTTCCGACCTCGGCTTCACTGCGAGTTGCGTCGACTTGGAAGACCGTGTTGTTGGGTCCGTCGACGTTGGCGTCCACACGCAGACAGAAGAGGTGCTGGTGGTTGTGTGCGTTGACGCCAGGGTAGACCTCAGTTCCCCAGCCCTTGGTGTCCTCGCCAGGGTTCATGGCGTAGGTGTTCAAAATACCGGTGAGTTTGATATCGAGCTGGATAGTACCATCCTGGTGGAAGATCCAGTAGACGCAGTACTCGTAGTTGGCGGCAGTGAAGATGTGGGAGATGACTAGCTTCCGACCACGGGTTACAATCACAGACTCATCGCGGAAGTCAGTGTGCTTGAAGAGAATGCCGGCGTCTTCTTCGTGAATACAGATGGCGTTCTTGACAATGGTGCTAGCACCTGCGCGGTTGACAAAAGCAGCATCCATGTAGTGGATAGCACCCTTGCAGTCGCAGCCGAGGGACAGACTGTTGGTCATATAGCCACCACCATACTCTCCCAAGTCGAAAGCGTGCTTGCGCTGATGAGGGTGCTCAGGGTTTCCATAGGGGACGACCATCTCCGCAAGAGACAGACGGTAGAACACAGGACGGACATTTCCATTGTCATTGAAGGTGATGTTGTTCAAGACGATACCCTCACGGTAGTTGAAACCAACGTGAATGTTCCACTTCTGCCAGTCGATAGTACGTCCGTTGATGCCGAAAGAAACGCCCTCTGGCTGCGTGATGTGAATGGGCTTGATATCTGTCCTGTAACTGCCCTCTTTCTCAATTGAAGCCGGGTGGTAGTTGTTGGGAGGCGCCTTGCTGATGGGCCTCCGCACCGGCGGGATGTCGATATGAATGACTTGCTTGGTCTCCGCGTTAAAGATAGGGCAGAAGTCCAGAGGATACGTGTATTGAGAATCGTCAATGTGCGGACGGTAGTACATGAGAGCCTGCTGCAGACGGACACCATTTCCAAAGCGCTCGTCGTAGCCGATTGTCCAAGCTGCAGGTGAGTTAGCATCATGCAAGTCCACAACCTGTCGTCGGACGACAACTTACGATCACAGTAAACCTTGTACATATCCTCCTTCGGAATGCCGATGATCGCACACTGCTCAATGACCTTGGGGTCCTTGCGAACAATCGACTCGACCTCCTGCAAGTCTTCCATGGTGATCAAAGGTTGCACGCCAGGCGTGTGTTCCCATCTCACGATCTTCTTCTCATCAAGGTCGACAATTCCATCGTAGACCTTGCCGCCCGGCGCAATGGCAACGACGTCGGCCGCACGAGTGGGACGGGGAGCCTTCTGCGGGTTCTCCAGCCATGCCATCATCTCCGCCTTGCGGGGCTCATACAGGGTGACCGCATTGAAGTTGACCTTGCCGTATTCCTTGCGGATAAGGGCGACAGCGGCGTCGATTTCCACCGTCGAGAGAGGGTCTAAAGGGTGAGGAGGGGGAGAAGTAGCTTGGACCTGATGGGTCAGCTGTTGAAGGCGCTCGAGAACCATGATGAAGGAGCGGTGTAATGCAAGCGCTCGGAATTATCTCTTAAAAAAGTGAGTCCTTGGTGTGCAGTAGAAAGTATGGGAGAGGTAAAAGTATATGTTTTCCTCAGTTGGAAAATAAACCGGCGACCTGGCCAGTTGGACGGTAGGACGAAAATGAAGAAGTAAAGTGATGCTACCACCCAGACTGTGTGAAACCATAGTCGACACAGAGGGGCACAACCCACCTTATAAGCAGCGAGCGCATGGCTGCACGAGCGCATTGCCAGAGGAGGATATGATTGTACAGCACGACCGCTGCACCACCGATAAGATACGCCTCGATAAGCACGCCCGGATTCCTTGCCCCGAAGCGGTCTAGTGCCACCTACTTCTCCGCTACGACTCAAAGCGGCAATCGGAACCTTGTCTACGACTACCGGTGAGATAGGCTACCCTGGATTCGCAGACTGACCCGAGCGTCGGCCTGGAAGGGTCCGATCTAGGCGTCGGATGTGGTTGCCCCTATCAGGCTCATCAAGGGATGGACAGTCTTGGTTCGAGTCCCCCCTCCCGATGCAAGATCAGCAGACCGATCGCGGACGGGGTAATACAACGCGTTCTGCATCACTGCCAGGCTGTCATTGAGCCACAAAGGCTGAAGTGGGTCTGAGCTACTGACAAGATAGTTTAATAATGCTAATTATTAACATGTCTATCATAGAGGCAAAGTAGATTCCCAACCAGTTCTACCTACGGGGATAGAAACGGACGCTTAACGAAATAATGCTTGACGTAGATCACATTCCAGCCGGAGACGAACACCATACACCTATTGCAAACACCCACCTCCAAGGCAATACGAAGGCACTGCAGGCGATGAACTCCTTGAAACGGACCGAAAAACAGAAAACACTAGCAAACAAGACAATGCACCAAGAAACACAACCGATGCCACATGCTATGTACATCCATCACATCATATAGATTCCTTGCCATCTCTGCCGAAAGCAACATGACAAACAGGTGAAAAGTAATCAGAACCGCCGGCTAAGGTTCAATGGAGAAAAGTGACCGTGGATCCGGGTGCTGTTGCCAGATCCAACCGGTCAGGAGTAGGAGCCTATACAAGCAAGAGAGCAAAGAGTCAGGGAAAATGTACCTAAACGTAGACAATATCTCGAACTCCCCGAACCTGATCTAACACCAAATATTGAAAGGAGATAATACCAAGACAGCCAGACGAACCGACGAGCCTCATGACTTGGCAAGCTGAAATTGCCCCAGGACGCCGCCAGTGGCACCAGGTGTCATCGTATGGGGTGTTTGGCTGCCCAGGTGACCGGCATTGGGGGTGCTTGGCGTGCCGGTAGCCGAGTAGATTGTGGCGCCGTTGAGATTGGGAGTCTGATGTGGCTGCATGTGGTACAGCAAAGCCGGCATCTGACCGTTCAAGCCCCAAATCTGACCCGAGTATTTCGACTCGTCGATGCTGCCGTTGAAGACGAGTTGGCGCATCTTCCAGTAGATCTCACCCGTCACGAGAGAGTCCGACCCTGCCTGATGAGCGATGCCGACGCGCTTGACACCGAGCTCATCCGCAATGTCTTGCAGACCCGACTTCTGTCCGAGATTAGTGAGGATTTGAGCAGCGGCTGGCGTTAACGGAGAGTCGTTTACAGCCTGATTGCGTCCTGCATGTTTCATCAAATATTTGATATCATACAGCGACGGGAAGAAGATCTTGAGGAGTTTGTGGAATTCCTCTTCATTCTCGGGAAGAGGTTTGCAGAGCATAATCTTCATAAGGTATCCGAAATCATAGCCGGAGTGGAAAGAGACCCAATGGACATCTTCCAGAAGGACGAGCCCCGAGCTGATCAGAAGAGCACCAAACTCGAATGGGTCGATTCCGTTTTTCTCATGCATAGAGAAATCGATACCCGCCTTGGCCAGCATCGCCGTCGACTCTTGTGCGTACATATCTTCCTCCAACGAAAACCGGAAGTTGAACTGCCATGTGCACGGCGCAGGGACGAGGCTGTTTCCGAGAGGCTGGCCATTCGCATCCGTAGCGTTGGGCGGGGGTACCTCGCCTTCGGCAGAAAACAAAGTGATACCGAGCTGGATCATTTTCAGGAGATCGACGTTACACCGGAGAGTTTGATAGTGATAATCTGCTTTATTCGTGAACGCTCCCATTGGACGTGCGACGATACCGGGGAACTCGGTGTCCTGGGCCTTGGTTAGCGTCCCTCATCTCCCAGTAAAAGGAGCCGAGCAACTTCATAATTTCCCAGCTCCACAGCTAGCTGCATCATCTTACCATGCTGATGTAGGGATACTTCTCGACGAACTGTCGCAGGATGGCCATTTCCTGAGCCAGATTGTGGCTCCATACGTCACGTATCCGCGTCTTCACCGCACCGGCCTTGGCCTCGAGCGCCAGTCGGCCATCGTGAGTCTGATGTAATTGCTGCTGTTGCATCTGCGCGCCTCGTGCGAAGCCCATCTGGGCGGCGTGGCTGGCGAGTCCGGTGCCGCCTCCATCCCCGGCACTCGCGAACCCTGCGACGGACATACCATTTGCGATACCGGTGCCGGACAGTGTAAACGGATTGATATTTGTGTTCGGGTTTCCGGCGGCAAAACCGGGGTGACCACCGAGAGATGGAGGAGGGAGGGCTGAGTTGGCCGACTGGGCATGGGCCGGGTGATGTTGGGCTTGCTGCTGTTGCTGGAGATGGGCTTGCTGTAGGTGGGTATAGGAAGCTGTTAGGCCAGTAGGCCCGTATCGGCCGACGGGAGGGGGCATGTTGAAAGGCAGCGATGAGAGAGCTGATCAACCGTCACGCATCTGAGATTGGGATGAACGATGAGTTGAAGCGAAGTGGAGGGGGGTCGGTCGGCTCTTTTCGCGCTGGGCTCTGGGACGGACGGGCTCATCCTCGCCGGCGAAGAAGGCGGACAGCTGCGGTTGCTGGATCCGGACTAGTGCGCCAAGCCCCCAGTCCTCGCTCGAACTCCCTCGTTTCCGTACAGCTTCAACTTCCTCTGTTTCCGCCTGGCTTCATTCTCGCGCCACCACCCCCGGTTTCTCGTCCATTGTCTGTCCGGACCCTGCGGATCTCGGTCTCATTTTCCTGAATATTCGATCCGCCATCTAACTAACCACCAACTCACCTCCTCATCCACCGCCAATCCGCTCACCATGGCTCCCAACCCCACCGGATTTGACATCAACGAATTCAAGGCCGCCGCCCACCCCCGGTCGGCCTGGGCCAAGAAGGACCCCTGGGCTCGCTAGTACGCTACATCCACCGCCGACTCAATAATTACGTGTTGTACTGACTATTTACCCCAGCGAGGCCTGGAGATACACCGGTCCCTTCAGCCGCATCAACCGTTTCAAGCGCATCTTCCCTGGCTTCGGCATTGCCAGCGTTGCTTTCGCCGGTTACTGCGCCTACGAGCACTTCTTCCTGAAGGATGACCACCACCACCACGGCGAGGGCCACCACTGAATCACGATCAAGGGAAGCGTAAGTGCGGAGTTGGAAGAAAGAAGCCGACATGCGATGGAAAAAAGATGAAGGATACCCCGGATTGCTGAGATCAATGGCATCCGTACGTGATTAGAGGGTCACAATGTGTGGTGTACAAGCGGGAGAAGGGATTGTCGATTCGATTGGGATAGATTTCTTGTCTCATTATCATGAATGACCCTTAGCTCTCTACAGACGGCGCTTGGGTTGTTTCATTTGTCGGGTGTACATAGTAACTGTTATTTATCACATCAAGTGCATTTTGTTCAAACCTTCTGGAAGTTAGGCTGTGTAGGTATTCGACATTACTCAGCATAGCGATTAACTAAACTATGAATTACCAGTAATAGTACTGCTTGCTATGTATCATAATGCCAGCCAGGAAACTGTTGATTAAGTGAGAACTAAACATGGTCATAAATTGCATTAATACGCCGATATCTCGGAAATCCGCATCTATACAGGCTTTTTGGTCTAATCATCATGAAAACCTTACTCCTCAAATACCAGAGAAATACCGTCATCACCGGCGGTAACAACCCGCTTACCATCCGAGCTCTGCACAAAGGCCATAATACCGCCGGATTGTTCACCCTCCGAGTTCTCAACAAGACCCAAGTGGCCCTTCCATTCCTTCAACAAACCCTGGGCAGCAGCCGCAGTTCCTCCACGGGCATCCCAGCGTCTGACAACACCATCCATACCCACGGAGGTGAGCAGCCACGGTTGGCCTTGACCGGCCGTCGCGGCTGCCAGCGGACTGGGACGAGGCAAGGGGGTGGCAGGAGCACGGCTCTGCAGGAACTCAACCTTAACCACGGCGCCCTCGTGCGCCTCCTTGATGTGACGGCGGACGGCGAAGCGATGGGCAGCGTCGAACAGGGCGATCGAGCCATCCACGGAGCCAGCCGCAAGAAGAGTCAGAGGAGGGGAGGAGAAAGAAAGAGTCTCGACACCGTCACTCTGGGCCTGGAGAGAGGCGAGCAGGGTACCCGCAGCAGAGGCAGTCGCCTGTGAAGCAGCACCCTTGCCCTTCGCCTTGGAAGCAGCGCCGCCAGCCGGCGCCAAACGGGGAAGACCGACCACCTTGATGTTGCCCTCGGCACCACCAACAGCGGCAATAGCACCACCCGGGGAGATGGCGATGGAGTACAGGCCACCCTCGACGGCGAAGCGCTGGTCCTCCGCAGTCAGACCGACGACAGCGCTAGTACCTGGGGAGTAAGAGACGCCAGCGGCGGCAGCGTCGCCAAAGACATCGTAAACGTAGAAGCTACCGTCCTCGGAGACGGTCGCCAGCAGCTTTCCATCGGGGGTCCAGGCACCCGCAGTGCAGGATCCGGTGTGTTGGAAGAAAGACTGAATGATGGAGATGGGAGCAGCGGTATCGCGGGGGTCGATGCGGAACACCCAAGCGCTACCGTCGTTGGCACCCAGAGCAATGATGTTGCTCTTCTCCTCGTTGCCCTTCTCGCAAGGGCAGACAGCAACCCAATTGATCTCCTCCACTTCTTGAACCTCCGCGAGGAACTGCCATGCGAGCCCGGTACCCTGGGGTGTAGTATCACGGTAAGCGCGCAGCTTGCCGTCCATTCCTGCCGTGATAACGAACTCGCCCTTGGGTTCTGTGAAGGCGACGGCGTTCACGGTGTCGGAGTGGCCATCAAGCTTGAGGAGGGGCTGGAGAGAATCCCGCTCGCGCCTGGGTTGCGGATCCGACTCGTAGCTGCGGGGAAGGACAGGGCGCTCCTCATTCGGCGTCGAATCGAAGATATAAGCGGAATCGTCTCCGGAGCCAGTGATGACAATGTTGTTATGGATGGGGTGCTGAGCAATGCAGAAAACGGAGTCGTTGTGGCTATCGAAATGGGCGGCGGAGTCATTCTGCAGGGTGATTTCTTGTTCTTCGTAGCTCATGGGCTGATCGCCATCCTCATCTTCGCCATCGGACTCCATGGGGTGGTCCTCATCACGGTTGATAACCTCATCAGCTTCATCGGCATCAACGTAGGCGTCGTCGTCGGCGCGGTGAGGATCTTGCGACGACATGGTGATGTAAATATGAACTGCGGGGTTGCACCGAACGCAGGGGATGTGTTGTTTTTGGTGGTGGAAGTGTTAGAGAGGAAGTTTCAGGTGAGGAACAGCTTGCGACCGTCCGATTATAAATATTCAAGAGAAATGTGCAAGAACGACAGAGGGCGACGTCCGAAGAGTGAGTATTATTTTTTTTCGGTGCTGATCAATCTTCCCGATCAACCCCCGCTTAGAAATTCGATTCTTTCCCCGCGATGGATGCAAACACAGCAAACATCCGTTCAAGGGGGTCACTAAGAACTGACCATAAAGCATCCCATCTACTGTTTGTATCTTATCTAAAGGACAATCTGGTAAATGAGATCTTATCTATTATATAAAATGTTTATATCCATAGGAGGGAACGCGCTGGGACCAAATTTTCTGCAGCGTACCGCTCGCACATCATGCCAAAGTATAAGCATGCCTACAGCTTGGAACCAGCCTTTCTCCTTGCCTCCTTCTCTTGATCGCGAAGCATCCGACGCAGAATCTTACCACTAGGACTCTTGGGAATGGCATCGATGAAGCGAACGCCGCCCTTGAGCCACTTGTGTCGGGCTTTGTGCTCTTCAACATGCTTCTTGATCGATTGGATAGCCTCTTCGTCACTGCCACGGAAAGAAGGTGACTTGACCACGATGGCCTTGGGGATTTCTCCAGCCGCCTCGTCGGGGATGGCGATGACAGCACAATCAGCAACGGCGGGGTGGGTAAGAAGGTGAGCCTCCAGTTCGGCTGGAGCCACTTGTAATCCCTGTTCATTTCCGTCGGTTACCTCGCGAACTTTTTGTAAGAGGACGAATCAGTGAAAACATACCTTGACCTTAATGAGCTCCTTTATACGGTCGACAATGAATATATGCTCCGTCTTCTTGGGGCCCACGCGGACCACAGCTTCGTCACCGGTTCGCATCCACCCGTCCTCAAAGGTCTCCCGGTTCGCCTTCTCGTTATTTAGGTAACCCAAGACGACACTTGGGCTGCGGACCACCAGTTCACCAGGCGTGTCGTAGTCTGTGATCTCCTTCCCCTCTGGGGTCACAATGCGCATTTCAACGCCAGCAAGGAGGGTGCCAGATGAACCCAAGTAGACGTCCGTTGGGTGGGTCGAGCACACCACAGTTGATGTCTCAGTCAGACCTGCGCGTCCATGTCAGTGCGAGACACTAGTTGTCCTAGAGGAATGCGTACCGTATCCTTGCCGAATTATTACATTCGGGTAAAGTTTTTGGAAGTCTTCAGCTGTTTCCACACCCAAGGGCGCAGCACCAGTGAAAATACTCCTGATTGAGCTTAGGTTGTATTTCGCGCAAGTTTCGTGGTTGCGGAGCATGTTGATGATAATCGGAGGGACCTATTAGAGTTACTCAATTAGACCCATCGCGGAACAGTGCTTGCGTGTGAGCAGAATTACTGACCAGGAACAGTGACGAGATCTTGAAGTTCTGAATGGAAGCTAGATATAGATCCAATTCGAACTTTGGTAAAACAACGGCCTGGTCGCCTCTGAATGGAGAAGCATGGCATATGACCACCAGGCAATAGATGTGGCTCTGAGGAAGCAGGCACAATGCCACCTCGGTGTGGTTGCCTTGGGTTCCGGGAGCCCTGAGGTAGTCGCGCCAAGTGCCCTCAAATGCTTGGATTTGGAGCACATTTGCTATTACATTGCGATGAGAGATCATGACACCTTTCTAGTATGGAGGTCAGATGCGATCAGTCACATAAAATTTCCTGGATGTTCTGACTCACAGGCAACCCGGATGTGCCACTGGAATAGCATAGGAAGGCTGTCCGCCGAGAACCCTCTCCGGCGGCCCAGTTCAGTCTCTCGACCTTGGGGAGTGACTTTCCCTCTTCAATGAACTGCGAGACTGTCTTGAATTGTGCTGGAGCCTTGACTCCGGGGGTGAGTTGTGGTGGGACTTCCAACAGGTATATGCGATCCTTGGGCAACCCAGCGAGGGATGCGGCCTCGAGAGCGGTCTGTAGGAGAGGGAGACATGTGAACAAAGCCTTAGCCTTGGAATCTAGCAGCTGATACTTGAGCTCAGCAGCTGAGTAGGCTGCGTTAGCCGGGGAGACCAGTCCCCCCAGCTGGTGGACGGCCCATGACAGTGGCAAGGTGTCGACCTAGGAAGAAAACTGGTGAGCTAAGACGCTGTAGCGACCTGGGGCTTGAGACTCACAGTGTTCAAACTGAAGATTGCTAACGTCTTATCCCATTCGGTGCCTGTGTTTGGCTTCCAGTTAAGCTCCTTAGACAGAGCGCGAGACAGGTAATCAACACGATCCACCACTTCTAGTGCGGAGAAGCTTTTCCCGGTAATGCCGCAAGTGAAAGGGTCCCGTGAGTAACCCAGCGGATTCCGCCCATACAAGTCTGTAAGCATGAATTCACTGAGCGGAATATTGTCCGGGATAGGCGGCAAAGTGCCTGCCTCTTTAGGAGGTAGGAAGACCATCGTGTCGTGGGGTGTGAGGTTCTCAGCTCTCTGTAGGAACGTGGGTATATTCAGAGGCGGATTTCGCGGGACAAAACGCAGGAGGGAGAGTGATCAAGGATGGGTGAATAGAGGAAGAAATAATGGGGGAGGAGTCACGATCGGCGTGGGGGAGCCGTATATAAGTTACCGGTGAACTCCAAAAGCTACCAGCGATGTGCGGGGAAAGCTTCTATGGTTGAGGGGGGATGGGCCGAGGCTTCAATAACTTACATCAATAATTTGCGGTACCCCTGAGGCTTGCCGGGGATTATTACGACTCTCCAGAAAATGGGATTAGGCTTGCCATGGAGGATCGTAAAACTTTTCCGGAAGACACTCACCGCGACTCCTTTAGTCATTAATGACAATCTTGGAGCATACAACTGACACATAACACCTTGCAGCTACATCTCCTTGCTGCTCGGACATACTATAACCGAGGGCCGACTGGGGGCGACTAAAAAGTAACTAAGTAATAGAAGCAGACGCCCCAGAAATTAGATAGGCCGGTCGCCGGTCGGGGTGATCTGCAGCCCCACACGCGCTTGTGTGGCTTAACGGCTTTTTGCCTCTGCCACCGGGTCACACAATTGTTGCGCATACATCATCATCCAGGACATTAATCTTTTCTCCTCTTCAATCAACGGGTCGAATTGAGTTGACACTCTATCCGGAAGCATGACATCAATCGGTGGGTGCGGGAGCCGCGGGCTGTGCATTGCCGGTACCACCCTTTACTTTGAAGTGTGCATTGTCCCAGACGGTCCAGACTTTCCCCCACACCCTAACTCTCTGGGTCATGGGTTCATCGGCTCTTACCCGATGGCATCCTGGTCGATAGTTTAGCCAAGTTAGTAGGTATTCTGCAGCAGTATTACTTGCTCCTACTAAAGGTAGTCTATTCAGCTGCTCCCTGTCAATTTCCTAAATTGTTCAGTGTATCACGTAGTCATACCAAGTCAATATGTCACTGAGGAAGACCAATGTACTTCTACTTAGGGTACTTGAGGGATTCCACTCAACTGTTCTCTGCCATTTTCCTAAAGCATCCAGTGTATCACGGAGTCATACCATGTCAACAGTTACTGAGAAATAACAACTAAAACAAGTAACTAAATCCCTTTTACACTGTATACACTGAGCCTCATGTGTGCTCACCAGAACACTATTAATATTCTCTCTTCATCCTCATCCACTCCATATCCTCACAAACAGAGAACTCACCTCATAATCTACTCCTCATCACTGTCTCCCCTCATCCATCAAACATCATCCATTCAAAATCCACAAACCCATCAAACCACCCAACCACCCAACCACCCTAACATCAACACTAAACTATACCAAAATGCCAGACAGAGTATACACCTTTCCCCCAACAACCTGCTCAGCATGCCACCAGAAAGGCCACTCAATAATGCAGTGCCCCATTCCACGCTGCATGAGATGTGATTGTGTCGGTCATTCTATGAGATACTGTCCTATGCAGAGATGTGCCAAATGTAATGGCAAGGGACACGATAAGCGGGATTGCCCTGTTTGAGTTGAGACGAGAAAGACTGGTAGTCATGTGGTAGTTTGAGGCGATATGTTGCACTCGGTTCTTTCATCGTTATTTTGGAGTTCACTTTGTAAAGTGGAGAGTATGGCCATTCTGAGAGGGATTGGGATTGGGAGTTGGACTATGTCTCTCCATTTGTGGATTTTATGGTGGAATTTCGGGTTTATACTTTGCTGTTGAGGAATCAGTGATAGGATGATTGCCAACGGGCCTTGACATGGTGCGGGCTTTCCGATTATCTTGATAAAGCTGTCTGTGACAAGTCTGTCTCAAGCCCTGACATTAGCCACGTATGTAATCGAGTAGAAGAATGAGAAAGTTACTAATAATAACATGCCGCAGTTATGTAAAGATTCAATAAGCCAGAGTGTATCTGTTCAAAAGCTAACAGCGTGGACTAAGTACAACCCGTCATTACCTGCGCCGTCCTTTTTTATAGCATGAGAATTAAGCCTCTTTGAATCACTGTAACTGCCTATTTCGTTCGTTGATGAGAAGAAACCTGAGGTAACTGTACTTCCCGTCGTATTTCAATAAGACAAATTTCTAGCTAAAATGCGCACGCAGAGTCAGCACTTGCAAAGAGCTAAACTCGTCGAGGACGCCTAATGCTGCAGCTAACTCCAACCATGGATTGAGTTTAATTCTATTCTTGGCTAACAGTACCTGAACAAACCAGATCTACCAAGCCAGTAAGCCAAGAACACTCCACTCAGCATGCAAGGTATTAGCAATAGCGTGTAAGGGATAGGGGTAGTAGTGTATAGAGTGGTGTCAGCGAACAGGCGGAGATCCCGAGCCGTTCCTCGGAGTCCGCGCGTTCCGCCCGTACACACGCTATAGGCTTCATAGTATAAAGCCATCTGTGTGAACTGCTACTGGCTGCAGACAACACTACAAAGACTCAAGCAAAATGGATAATGCTACAGATGTCATCCACAGTTACTATCCGTCTTCGGTATATCTGCCGCATTATGTAACCAACGAGAGTTCGGCTCTATCGCTGGTTGCTCAATTTGCTGTGCTATGGGCTTTGGTGCTGGGTATCGCATCTGTCTACATTTGCCGTCCGCGAAAGTCAGTGTCTCGAGCCGACCAGTTTGCGTTCATTTGGATGTGCTTTAGTAAGTGGAGCTGTCTTCGCTTGTGTTTGAAATATATGTTAATGAGGAGAAACAGCGGGATGCATACATCTATTCTTTGAAAGTTACTTCGTGGTCTACCACAAGTCCCTAGCCGGCTCGCACACTTTATTCGGCCAGCTCTGGAAGGAATATTCCCTTTCTGACTCTCGCTATCTCACCTCGGATTCATTCCTCGTTTCCATGGAGGCTGTCACTGCTGTAAGTCCTTACATCCGACAACCCGACACCAATCAACTCACCATAAACTGTTGCGTATAGTTCTGCTGGGGCCCTCTCGCATTTACTATCGCATACTGCATCGCCACGCAGCATCCAGCCCGACATGTCCTGCAGCTCATTGTCTCCGTAGGCCAGGTCTACGGAGATGTACTCTACTACGCTACGAGCATGTTCGACCTCTATTACCATGGAGTGTCTTTTTGTCGTCCTGAAGGCTACTATTTCTGGTTCTATTACTTTTTCATGAACTTTATCTGGCTTGCTGCTGGTACTTGTGAGTTTCATCGCATTGCTTTCTGAGTAAAATGTCAGGTTGCTAATCGTATTGCAGATTTTGCGTACGACAGCGCGGTGGAGGTCACGCGTGGTATGAAGAAGTTAAGCGAAATGGACGGGAGGCGCAAGAACAATTAGAGATGTACTGAATTCAAAGAGTTCTTGGGATTGAGTTTGAGTGATATGCATTGGATTGAATTTGTAGAATACCGGGATTGGTTCATGGTTCATGGCGCGCCATTTTCAGAATAGATGGGATAGATAAGACGGTAGAGAAATGCCAGATTACTCGTCTGAATGAAATTGGTGTACTTGTATATACATCTAACTAGCGTTACTACCCAGGACTACTTGCTAACATGACCTTAAGAATGGTTTGATGCACAGACACAGGATCAAATCACAGTCGTGCAGGTATAAATATTGATGAATTTCAACCCCACAACTCAGAACTCATCCCCACGACCTGTCGCTCTCCCACAACATCAAACGACTTCATAACCGCATCAAGCTGCTCTTTCTCCTCAGCTGCCAGCGGAACCGCCGTGCAGTTCTCTTCGACACGAGAAGCTGCCGTCGCACCAGGGATGGGGATGATAGTACCACAGGGCCCAGAGTTAGAGTGAGCGCGGATCCAGGCGAGGGCTAACTGGGCGGGAGTGACGCCGCGCTGCCTGGCTAAGTCGTTGATTCTCTCCACCAATTCAAGGTTCTTGGGGAAATTCTTCACAGAAGTCGGTTAGTATAATCAAACTCATATTCGCTCAAAAACCAGCAGAACAAACGACAAAAGAATAACTTAGAGTAAGGTGATGAACAAACCTCCGGCTGAAACCTCCCAAACCAATGCCTAATATCCCCCTTCGGGATATCCTCCAACTTCTTCACCTGGCCCGTAAGAAACCCATACCCAAGCGGCGCATAGGTCAAAATTGGTACACCCAGCTCCTTACAAGCCACCGCAACCCCATTTTCCAAGATATCCGTACTCCACAAGGAGTACTCCACCTCGACCACACTCAACGGACACACCGCGTGCGCCTTGCGGATAGTAGTTGCACCCACTTCCGACAACCCAACTCCACCAATCAATCCCCCGGCCATTAACTCGCGTAATGCCCCTATCGTTTCCTCCACAGGCACATTCTTATCCATGCGCGCTGGCCCAAAAACATCTATCTTTTTAGCGTTGCCGAGGACATTTCTACACTCGTCGAAGCTTGCACGGACGCCTGCGCGTGTGCATGTCGGGGATAAGGTTTCCGGGTCTAAGCAGGCTCGGATGAAGAGAGTTACCTTTTCGGCATCTTCGGGGTACTCGTCGAAGTAGCGCCGCAGGAGGTGTAAGCCTGCTGTGGGAGGCTGAGGTGGCATGCCGTAGACGGAGGAGGATGACCAGATGGTGGCACCGTGGGAGATGGCTGCTTTCATGGCGCTGAAGGCTTGCTCGTCGGGGTTGGGCTGGGGCGCCATGTCATGCCTAGGAGGCCGAAGCCGGTGATGGGGAGGGGCTTGGGGAGGGGCATTGTGTGTGGATTGGATAATACAAGTTGTGAGAGTTCGGGCTATTGGAGGGGAGTGAGTGTATGAGGGCGAGTATACATTCTGTCGCTGGGGAAGGCCAGTCAGAAGGTAAATGGGCGAGTGGTGGATATAGCCTCGAGAGCTTCGGAGATCGAGAGCTTACTCCGCACGGCGGTCATCGGACTTAAAGGTGGAATTAACTTTACATCCGTTATAGTTTGTGAGCCAAGGAATATGCTTCACCTGGAAAAGCATTTGTTTTGAGGGATGCAGGTCTTCGAGTAGGATGTAATAACGTCTTACGAGCCTGAAAGGGGGGTATGATACTAGGGGGCAGTTTCATCGGTATCTTGCGATACCGGAGACGGAGGCTTGGTTGAACTGAGGTGGATGAAAGGGCTTTATGCTTCGGGGTGTGTACTTTATTGGGTGCGATTGTACTTATTTTGGAATAGAATGCTTGTGCCTCGATAGCATCGGTTTTCTTCGGGGATTGGCTATCTTTCTACATCGGGTAAACTGGGGCCGTGCTAAGGTTGAACAGAGTACTCCGATATAGTATCATCATACTCATGCAACATACGCCTATTGCAGGCTATGAACCGTCAGCACCGTCAATAAATTGAAATTGAAAGAAATTTTCCAGACAACTAGCGGCTTTGTCCCGCAAACTGTGGATGGATGCACTCTTAGGGGAACCACTAAAGTGAAACAGCAGCACAAAACGTTGAGTGCAATGATTTCCTCGAAACGGTGAAATAAAAATGTTACTTATCGGGCGAATCGTCCATATTCATAGCTTCTTGCTCCTCCTTCCAGTCCTCCACCTGCTCTATTACAGCAGTGCTTAGTTTCTTTCCCCTAATATTGACGGCTTTGAGGTCTCCGCACGGAATAGGATACGCCCACCGAGCAAGAAGAGTATACGTTTGATGATTAGTTTCTTTAAGATCGTAGATATGAGTCTTGGAAAAATGGAGATCTTCCCCATCGAAATATACCTGTAAGATACGGACTTTTGATGGGAAGATCGAAGTAATGAGAACCTATGACAAGTTACCCAATAAGTGACTGTCGCAGTAGGCTAAACTCATTTGAACCACTTACCGGAAAGATGGTTTGATCTTCGTAGCACTTGTACGTCAATTTATGCATCATGTATGTCAAAGCGCTAAGGACCTCACTCCTCATGAGAAGTTCCTCTGGCTCCGTGTACTGCAAGACCCTGAGAGTACAATGTGTTTTCTCCGGATCTTTCTGTGCATCGGCTTCCTTGACGACATACCAGTGGTAGACATCGCGGAAGTCCTCGCCAACCTGCACGTTGTCCCCGAAGAACCTAGTACCGGACACACAACAGTGCTTCAGTCAGGACGTATCCTTATAGCTCAGAATGTCTATGTATCTTTTCTACTTACTTCCGCTCTGTCCATATTTCTTTAATCGGCGTAAGGTAGGCGAGTATCTTGTCCAGATTTCTATGGATGTGATATGTCTCTCTTCGTGGGCTGGGATCAAAGTCAAATAGCTTTGCCTCGTCCCACGGAATGGTGGGGAAGAGGCGTCCTGCGTATGGTATAAAGTACACTTTGTCGCTGGTACCGAAATGGTCCCTAAGATCATAATATGTAAGCACGATACCGATATGCTCCTGAAATTCTTCACTCAAGCAGCTCAACGGTAGGTTTGTCACTCTTTCTTTGATTTCCGCCAGACGTTCCATGATAGCCTGTTTCTTCTCCAGGCACTTGATTAGGTCTTTGTGAGACTTGGCATTGGGGCCAACGACCGACATGATGTGTGCTGATCTGAGACAGGTACAGCGGTTTGTATGATAGTGATGATAAGGATCTTTTTGGGGTGGTTTGGAAGTGTTCTGGCAAGGCCAAGCCCTTGATAGAGAAGAGAAGGCGACTATTATCTGATAGTGAGGCTATTTCAAGCCAAAGTGGTAGACCTTACTACAGTGAAAATAGAGCATGATAGTATACACTTACCTCCATGCCATAGGAGGAATTCATGTAAAAATGGTTATCTGCATTAGTTAAACCCCGACCTTTGAACGGGGACACCCTTCTTTCCAGGAGGATGTAGCCAAATGAGATTAGAAATAAAGAAGCTTGGGCATCTATCGCGGAGGGATTGATCTGTTTCATTGTCCTGGATCGTGAATACCCGAAACATGTAGGCGACTGTGGAATACAATTCGCGATACTCTCATGAGAGGCGAGATATGTCAGTGTGAAAAGCCTTAACCCCGGAACTCGCCTAATAGGGCAACTATCATTCTCACTTTGTACCGGAACTTGATTGCTCGTGAGTGACTTGGATCTAATGTTCATAATAAAGCTGTATATAACTGGGTGGGATTATATGGGAACAGAAGGAAAGCCAAGGTATTCTGTTGCACCACTAATGTAGACATAAATGCTGGCTTCGTTCATTGCAATATATCTCGGACTTCGAAGCTCCCATTCGGCAACGGTTTGGCTCTTCTCCTTCTCATTTCTTCCTTGTTTCATGAAATCTATTTTGTCATTTACTTTTTCACCTCAGAGAGACCCACTCCTGTACTGAGAGCTGTCACGGCTGAACCAACCCCGCCATTACTTCAGGAGAATCTTTTCTGTAGCTTCGCAAGCGGCTGTGCTTTGATTACCTTCTTCGCCAGAGTGATAACCCCGGCAAGACTTCCAAAATATTACATAGCTTTATTTCCAAGCTTCACGAGGTGCTCTGCTGAGGAAACATTCCAATTATGCCGTGAAGTCCTTCCTCACCTCCACTTTGCCTCAGGCGACCTACTGAAATATGGAAAGTAATGCTCACTGATTTTGCACACGCGTACCTTCCGGGCCGATATCAAATCAAATCTTACATCGTAGTTCTCTAAAACAGGAAAAGCAACTTTAATGAGGCTTTTTATACCGACCGGAATCACCGAGCTGGGCTTTTGAGCAGCAGGATCGCATTTGGTGGTACAGTGCAGAGTTGCCTGTAATTTTTTTGGGAAGCTTGACTGGGCTTTCCATTGCGATCAAGAGTATTCCATGCTTTTTCTTCACGTTAAGCCCGGATCGCCCAGTGTTGCTTCGCCGGTGGCCCCGAATCTCGGGTTGTCCGAGATCGAAATGACAACCTTGCTCATCTTGACTTATAATCTATACTTTTACTCACAGCATGAAATTTGGCCTATCTGGCATGGTAGGGAGGAATACTTCTAAGGACATGCCCCTCTCAAAGTAGGTGCTCTACTGGCCATACTTGAATGCGCTGGGTTATAGGAAATATGATAGGACGTTGATCAATGTAGAAACAATAATTCTATTGAATCAGAATTTCTATCCTTACTAGAATTGTCATCTTATGTAGATAGGACAATTTTCTGTTCTGGCCGAATTAGCGAGGTCTAAGCTGATATCTGGTTTGAACGGATCGAGGCAATTCAAGACCAGTTTGGCATGCTTTGCGTTTCCGCCTTATCCTCCTCTCGACTCTGCTTATCTCCTCGTCTTTGCTTGTATCCTCGTCTTTACTTGTCTCCTCGTCTTTGCTTGTCTCCTTGTCTTTGCTTGTCTCCAAGAGCCTGTTTTTATCCCTGACCCATTTTCTACCAAATTCTTCCCTTTCCAGCACCCTGGGCTTGAAAAAGAAGGACAAACGGTAACCAGGCTCGCGCATGCTACCCTGTGGAAAGCAGCCCCGTGGGATACGGGATCCATCTGGACCTAGGATACATCCCCCTCGCCACTCGTCAGGATCAAAGGCATACCAGAGACCAAGGCAAAATAACCGCCATTTATCCCATATCATCAAACCAATATCGCGGTAAATTGGTTTATCATCATAACAGTGGAAGAGCTGACGTGTTGATGGTGTACTATAGTCAACAACCACACAGTGAGGGAGGAGTCCGATCGACCCCAATCCTCTGCTGACCATATCAGATCCCTGGCCCCAAAAGTCGTTTGGGCCCTTGTCTATAGGAAGAGCTGGAGGGGCCCAGACTGAATATTCGTCTTGCATTTGTGAAGGACCAGGGAGAGGATCCACGTATGCTCCATAAATATTGACGAATGTCTTCGCCGCTGGCATAGCGGCGAATGAATCTTCTCTCTCACAGAACATACCCCACAGCCATTCATTTACTGAAAGTAGTTCAGACTCCAATGATTTAGACGGGTTATCCCAGACGAGGGGTTTCGTCCGCAAGAGTTTGAGATCCTCCTGCGGGAATTTCAGTCGTTCAGCCGCACCCAGCAGGTCAGAGTAGAACTGGAAATGCCACAGCGCGCGATAGACTCGAAACTCTTCAATCCACGAGGGAGGGCCTGCTTCGCGCGGCTCGTATGGTACTTCATCACCACCATATCGCATGTGGCACATCGGTTTAATCCCCCGAATCCTGCTCAGGAACGTGGTCAAGCAAGCGCACGCAAGCCGTTGGATGTTAGCTGCGACATGTACCATCTCCCGTAGCGAAGCTTGCGATATGGATGAATTGAAGACCACAGACAACTGATCATAGTCTTCTGACCTGAACTGCTCGAGAGTAGTAACTGCTAACGAGGGCTGGCGCAGTGCAATACACTGGCAAAACAGGCCGTGCAGGTCGTGATGCATCATTGGATTTGTTGTCAACATGGATTTGACTATATAAATGGCTTCACGGTTCCCGGGGGTCTCGCCATCTCCGGCAAAGAGTCTTCGTACCCGCGGAGAGACTTGCAAAAGGCTTTCGAGGGCCACCCAGTCCGCGGCTTCCGTGATGATGATGGATAGGATCTCATATGGAAGCTCATCGAATGAATTCATTTTGGTGTTGGTTGTGGCGATTGGATGGGGGCGAAGCAGAGTAGAAGATATCCCGGCTTGCAATGGAGAAAGCGATATCGAACATAACACGTAACTATCGAAGGTAAATCTATTCAGCGAATTCGTTGTCATATCCTTCTATTTATCTTATCTTCTCCTCAGTATATTAGACTTTATATTCTGGAGTCAAAGCAGAATGTCTTTTGTCCCTTGTTCCTTTGTGGTGGAGTGTTTTTAGTCGAGGTAATTGGTAGACTCCGGCTAGTTCTAAGCTGAGGAGAACTCTAGGATGCATAACACCCCTGTTATGCTTTCTTGTATTTATTGGTTATTCTATGTTATTGGAAGTTTAGGCTGTAGATACATTGGTCGTACTACTCATGTAGTGGCATGTACCGTCTTAACACACTATTTTGCGCCTATTGCCAGAAAGAAATAGGTTTTTGTATAAGAGGTAGACTATTACTACTTCATAATGTTCCTCTACCATAATTTTTTGCTAGATTCCTTGGAGCCCTTTACAAGGAACACCATGAATACAAAGATGGGTTTAAAAGCAGACAAAGGCTCGCAAAATCGATTGGCTATACAAAGTTTTGTGATCTCAGGGACCGTATGTTAAGGACTGACAAAGAGGATCTAACGGGTATCATGAACAACAAAGAAGGGACTTGGAGGCCATTTCCGAGAGTTTATGCGAATAAGGCTGATATCATGGTAATCTCGTCAAACATGAATGCTCAGACAATTCCTATTGTTTGGGTAATACCTTTCCTATTTCCCCTTTGGTATATGTGACTACAATGGTCTCTTGTATTTCTATATGACTTTGAAGGCAAGTATGGGTAATATTATTGAATTTCCCAGGTCAAGATTCGAAGCCACAAACAGCAAATATCGAGTGTAGTGGCCCAACAGTACAGTATATTCCCTTGTACAGGCGATTATGGATAACGCTGACACCGAGTCTTCATGTAATATGCACTATGCTACAAATCTATCTGCACACACAGTATATTCTAACTTCCAGGTTTAAGTTTATTCGATTGATAGGCAGTCATCTAACTCCCTCCGTTTGCGTTGTCAAACAATTCAATCATGAGATGGAACTCAATATTCATCCCTTCTAACGTTATCAACCAAAGCTATGACCCAGCTTTGTTGCAATTTGAATTGCTGTAATAACTAAGACCCATAATGATATCCGGTACACTATGCGAGCTTTAACGTTTCGGTGAATGGTCGTTGCCGCAATTGCGGAACATTGCAACGCAAACTGTTGCATGATCTATTGGAATGGTATTCCATTCGGATCTCGGATCTTTGGGCGATTAGGACACGAACTAGGGCTGCTAGATACTTTGCAAAGGAACCCCATTTATTAGTAATGACCACGGAACCAAGAAAGTCGAACCAAGCAGGCAGCTTTTGTCCAGGCCCTGGGTAGGTCCCATCACGAGCTTCCGTCCGTATAGAGTTTACAGTTTACCAATTGATAACGCTAATATCAGTGAACTCAAATATCGATCATTCTGAGGTCAGTGGTTGCGAATTGAACCATCTCACAAGAATATACCTATATTTTTACCAATGGAGCCCTCTTTTGCGTTCGGTGAAGTGCTTTTCCTTCACCAACCCTGCGTACCATTTGCCTCCATTCACACCATCACTTGAATAAGCCCTTAGCCAGTCAGCCATCGAAACAATGGTGTATACCGTGACCGTTCTCTATCCCAACGAAGCCGATGCAAAGTACGACCTTGAGTACTATCTCTCGCATCATTTGCCTCTTGTCGATCGACTTTGGAGAAAATATGGATTACATGGCTGGACTGTCGTGAAGTATGGTCCGGGTGTCACTGAAGACCGAATTCCTTACTCCTTCGGATGTGTGCTCTTCTATGAGGACGACAATGCAGCGAAGCAGGCATTCAAAGGCCCTGAAGCTGCCGAGGTACTGGGGGATATCTCAAAGTTCAGTAACAAGCAGCCTTTGTTTTTGTATGGTGAGAGAATTAGCACGGGAGGCTCAGTTGGCCGGTTTTGATATGTTCTGTGTTGGTCATGCGAAGAAGCTAGGGTGCTTCGAATGGAATGGGAGATATGTATGTACCCATACTGAGGGATGTCGATATCGATGGATTGATGCGTAAAGCGACAGCTTTAATGTGTATCAGTTACAGAAGTATTAGGTGCAATGATAACCCATCTGTATCCAGGGATATACCTGTACTGAATGACATTTTCGTGGCCTTGGAGCCTCAAAGACATTCACTAAAGTCACGCGGGCCGACTGCAGGATTTCTGGTGCCCCTCACCGACGATCACATCATCCTTCTTTTGCTTATCGGCAGGAGATCTCACCATTCACAGGCGGTCTTTCACCATCGCCGAGATCTAGCCTGTTAACTCATCAAGCATCTCTTGTTTCTGCAAGATAAGGCTTCATTCTGGTTTCTGGTGCTTCTGCTGTCGGGGCATTGGGGATATCTCCTAGCTGACGCCTGTGCGACAAGCGGCAGAATATCTGGCACTTTGCAAGTCCCATCGTCTCAGAATTACGCTCATGTTAGCATAAGGCATAGCCATACTACTTCCAAGTGATAGTATCGATTCGCCTCAGCTAAATAAGCGCTGGTCAACATAGCCTTCATGACCAGACTTGCGACCTGGCTTTGGGGTCAGGATCCAAAGGATCGGGCTCTGCTGGCCAAGCTGGATGTTACTCTGCTCCCTTATTTTTCCCTTATTTGGTTCCTTTTTGGTGTGACACGGTCTAGCTATTCCTCGGCCTACATCAGCGGTATGCGAGAGGCCCTCGGGTTCGAGGGTAAAGAATACAACTACATGAGCACTGCGTACCTGGTAGTCTATGCTGTCTGCCAAATGCCCGGTACAAGCCTCCTCACAGTGGTGCGACCGAAATATGTCTTTGTTACTGCCAATGTTACTTGGAGTGTCTTGACCTTAATCACGTACAAGATGACTCGGGCCTGGCAGGTCATTTTGTTGAATGCGATCGAAGGAGGGTTCTCGGCCATCGCATAGTAATCGCCTAATCTACTTTGCATGTGATTGAGCTGGCCGACGCTAACTTTGAATAGCGTTGGTGCACAATTTATCCTAGCCTCGTGGTACAAAAAGTCTGAGCTCGGAATGCGTGCAGCGGTATTCTGCGTATTCGGCCAATTGGGGACACTGTCCGGTGGCTGGATTCAAGCCGGTCTGTTAGAGACACTGGCGGGTAAAGGTGGCCTGCCTGCATGGAAGTGGATATTCATCATTGTTTCAGTGATGACTATCCCGGTGGCACTCTTCGGTATGGCTCGTCCTTTGTCTCAGTAGGAGAATACTGACATGTTCGTAGGCTGGGTCTTCATTCCGGACCTTCCATCACACCGTGCGGCCTGGTACCTTACCGATGAGCAGAAGGAACATGCAGCAACTCGGCTGGGTACCATCTCCAAGAAGTCCTGGGATACCACGGTCTTCAAGCGCGTGTTTCTGAGCTGGCAATTCTGGCTTCTGCCGTTTGTCTTCATGCGTATGTTTAGATAGCTTTGCCTTCAAGTCACTGAGCTAATATTCAATCAGTGTATTCAGTTTGTGTGCAAATGCTAGGAAACAACGTCATGGCCTACTGGCTAGCCTCACGGGGGTACACGGTCGTCCAGCAAAACACCTATCCTACCGTCATCCATGCAACTGCCGTTGTGGGTATAGTTGTGTATGCAGCGATTTCAGACAAGCTACAATCGCGATGGGAGGTCTCTATCGCCATCGGTCTGACTTTTGTCATCGGCTCGGCTATCCTTGTCTCGACCCCTTCCACGGACGCTGGCTACTTTGTTGCCTTCTACTTACTCGGAACAACATACGCTCCCCAGGCTGTCTGGTATTCTTGGATGGCCGACGTTACAGGCCATGACCTCCAGCTGCGTGCCATCACAACTGGATTCATGAACTCCTTCGACTTTGCTTTTGTGACCTGGTGGCCGTTGGTCTTCTATCCAGTAACCGATGCGCCCAACTTCAGGAAAGGGTATATTGCGAGCTTGGTGACGGGGATGTTAACTCTCCCAGTTATCGGTCTTATTGCTTACCTCGAAAAAAGGGACACCGCTAGAGGAATTATTGGAAGAACACGTGCTACTAGTTTACTCGAAGAAGAGCCGGTTATTTCCCGAGGTAATGAGCCGGGAAAGTATGGAAGCACTGCGATAACCGTGCGCAACACTGAAGATGGTGTGTAGCCATTCAACAGATACCAGAAACATGGCTTAGTCTATTTGATTTCGCTTCTGTAGTTTGAGAGAAACTGGATGTGCTTGTTTCGTTACTTGGCCAAGAACAGACTGAAGATGTTTTCAAGGCTGTATCAATCCTCAGGGATGATATTTGTCCGTCATCTAGAATGCACAATGTCACCACCTCGGATGCCATATCCTGTTACATATCTGCATTTGAGAGAGCTTCTAAAGTAGGGCATACGAAAATCTAATGGGCGCGGGGTGACCTCTAGATCGCTCGGGTTTCCGTTTTCGGTAAAACATTATGTTCCTGTCTACTTCAACACCAGCCTTACAATAGTCTGCGACCGTGAGATTTAAACTTCCATAACCATTTTGTCCCCGCGGGCAGATATGCAATTAAAGCTAGAGTCCGATGACCCTTCATGTGATGAATATGGCACAGCATGCTTCCACGCCTCGGACAGTGCAGCCGTTCAGCCCCGATCACAGTAACCCTAAATATACTATAACCTATTTCTCATATTGAAACTCACATGCATTTCATAGTACAAATGGCATGGAGACGTGCCGCTCGTTCCGAGTCGCCAGACAAGGCTTATCTAGTGATCTACATCCCAGTCGATGTTGCTCCAATCAGCCCGTCCATCTCCGCGATGACGTCAAACTAGCTCCAGCCATGCATGCAAAGGAAGGAAACTGGAAGTTATCAAATCAGCCCATCTTGGATGCCACGCTTAGCCACTCAATCACCTAATTCGACGTCATTTAATCTCGTGGTGTCTTTATAAGACTTTCCAGTTTCCTCGAAGGAGAGAAGCATTTTCCTTCCCAATTTTCATCCTCGACTTAAACACAGACTTCACATCCGGAAATACTCTCATCCACCATCAATCATGTCGGGTTTCATCCACAAAGCCGAAGACGCTCTCCATCTTCACCACCACAAGGACAAGGCCGAGCACAAGCACGAAGATGCACATGAGCATCCTCCCACCATCGGTCGTGAAGGTTCGTTTGCCATTTCCTACTTCTATCATCTAGAATCATGCTAGACATTGGTGGCTAAAACATAGGACCAGGCCACGAGCACACCCACCGCTCTCACCCCCCTCAGAACAAGCATATGCACCCCCACCCCAACGAGGAGCAGATCGCCCGGGACGATTTCCGCTCTGACAGAGAATATGACCGTGCGTTGAGGTCTCCGCACCATGGGCCGGGAATTGGGTTTGAGGCGTAGGAAGTGAAATTATCATGTTTAAGTTTGATGTTCTAATGATTATAACGCCATTTAACTGAATTTGCTCGTTTCAATGCATTTAGTGTAGGAAATCATAATGCTAAGCCTGGGGAAATCCCGATACCCCGCTTCAGGATCGACTGGCTGCTTCTGGAGGCAGGTGAAGCGAAGCTATACCCCGTTAGGAACATTATTGTATTTGTGGTGAGACCATTGATGGCGACTGATTGGATCAGTTTCAATAAAGATTGGTATGCAGTTGAACTACCGAACCTTATTCAATTGAAGTCTCGCCCGTCCCTCGCTGTGTAACAGCCAACCAAGTGCACGCATGGGCTTATGATCATGGAATGAGTGTAACGTTGGGTCGCTTAAGTTACTAGCACGGGCGACCTGGTCGGATGAGGTTCAATAAATACAGGGGTGTGTATAGGTTGTCGAACAGTAGCACTTGTTGTCTCTCGCTCTGGAGTTCCGTTCCATGGCGGAGTTCGGAGAATATATAATAGTAAGTATAGCAGGTCATGCCTCAGACCGGACGAATTGTTGATACTGTACCAATATAGACACCAGGTTCTCATTTTCCTTGACGTCAGACGAGTGAAAATAGTCCCGCGACCTTGCTGGGGAGTTCGCTATAGCCTCAGTGTAGAATATAGATGCTCCCTGGCAGACGATGTTTATATCCCCACGGTTAGACAGTAGTGGGATCCACTTGGCATTACACTACTCCTACACAGAAATCTCAAAGTACACATAATAGAACTCATAGCTGGAAGATTTCCAGCGCACTATGAAGCAAGCATGGCAATAAAGATCTTTCATATTAGTGAAGTGATGTTGCGTTGGAAATATGTAAATTCAGGAGGGGGTTGGTTATCAGCTTTGGTTTTCACCTAGCTGATTCGTTTCAGTATTACCCTACATATAACACTAATTTCTTGCACCAAATATCGAGTCGTCTCGGTGGCGCAATTGGTAAGCTTATCCTTCATCACTACATCACACCCAATCAGTTACTAATTCAGCATTAAAGGTTAGCGCGTACGACTGTTAATCGTGAGGTTGAGAGTTCGATCCTCTCCCGGGACGTTTCTTTTTTCTTTTCTTTTTTTTTTGCCCCATACTTTTCTGTCTCCCACACACAGCAACAGCGGTATTGAGGTCGCAATAATATTGTTGATCTATTCTTCTACAGCTTCGTAAATTGGTTTTCGATACTCAATAAATGCTAAACTAGGAACACCTGCTCACGAACCATGCACTTCATGACATCTCTCTTGCTCGAATATGTGTGCACAGGCCAATTTCCTTCGGAAACTCCGCATTTGAGCAAGTCGATGACACAATATCCACGAGTCCCATACTCCAAAGGGCATAGCGTTCATCTGCCCCTGTGGCAGTCCCTGGATTGACCCCTGAGCGGCCCGGATACGAGGGCTTAGTACGCCTCGCATCCAGGCACCTGCCAGTCATTTTCCTCGACGTTTAGGCACGAAATCATGAATGACATGTTTTCTTACGTTCATGCCTTGGAATATTCATAAGCAATCTCCGTAAACCCATTTGAGTGGTCGGAAAAATTCCGCCAAGAACATAGTACTATCGCTTGTCACTAACCCATCGGCGCAGAATGGCCGAGGACGACGACGATAGCCTTGAAACCCCTCATCTGCCCCCCGCATTTCTTCAACCATGCAACAACATGCACCACATGTTGCCCGCATGATACATAATTCTAGTCTATTTCTGGTCTACTCTAGCCGCGATTGCCAACATCTTCTGCTGCGTGAGGGGTCGGTGCGATCGAGTGCCTGACGATGCCAACCCCAACGGGGTAATTCTCCTGCGGGCTTATCAGCCTGGGTAAGGTAAATGGAGTGATTTTGCATTAATGGGCCCAAGCGTTGCCCAATTCTTTGGCTTAAGAATGTAAGGAACAGGAATAGTTCTGCAGGCTGCATAATAGTACTATTGTTGCCCAAAATATTTAAAGAATGGCCCATTCCGGGAGTTGTAGCTTTCATATGATATCGCAAAGTAGAGCCGCCGACTCAGAAGCATCTAAACATGTATTCGTCTGCTTTGGTCTCGCTGGCCGCGGCATTGCTTGCCGGTCAGACGCTGGCCATTGAACTGACAGTGTCAAAGAGTGGTGGGAATTCGTCAAGCCCCCTTCTTTATGGGGTCATGTTCGAGGTATGGACTCTGATTAGCCCTCATCTCATTACTGCAATTGCTCATATGCTTCAACATAGGATATAAACAACTCTGGTATGCCATATCAACTGAGTCACTTGTAAATTGGCACACTAACAAGTGCTAGGTGATGGTGGCATCCACGGCCAAGTACTCCGCAACAACGGCTTCCAGGGCGACAACCCGGGCCTCACGGCATACAGCGCGGTAGGAAATGTGACTATATCGCAAGACACGGCCAATCCTCTTAGCAGCGCCATCACTTCCACACTCAAGGTAGCCGTTCCCTCTGGAGCAACTGGCTACGTCGGCTTCGCAAACGAAGGGTATGAGGGAGTTCCCGTTCTGGGGACTGACTACGACAACTACTTCTATGTGAAGGGTGACTATTCTGGGACCGTCAATCTCCGACTCGTGGGAAACTCGAGTGGGATCATTTACGCGGATCACAACATCACTGTAGACAGCACCAGCACCAACTTCACCTACTATGAGACTTCTTTCAGCTCGTCTGTGTCTGCAGATGCGCACAATGTGTGGCAGCTACGGTTTGATGCTTCCAAGGTGGCTGGGAGCTCCCTAAACTTTGGCTTGGTGCAGCTGTTTCCTCCTACTTATAACTCACGGTAAGTGTTTCTAACTATTTCATTCTAGGCGACAGTCTAACATCGCTCAGGTACAACGGTTTGCGCAATGATGTTGCTAGCTTCCTTGCGGACATCAAGCCGTCTTTCTTGCGGTTCCCTGGAGGCAATAATCTGTAGGTCCACATCAATCGGGATTGGATTTGGCGCTGGACTTTGAATTGACTTGTTTTCAGGGAAGGTGCAACACCTAGCGATCGCTGGAAGTGGAACGAGACTATTGGTCCTGTCGTTGATCGCCCAGGACGCGAAGGTACGGAGACCTGTACCTGTCTTCTATAGAGACCGCCATTGACTTACGTCTCGTGCAGGTGACTGGACCTATCCCAACACGGACGCACTTGGTAAGCTCCAGCTCGGAAATTTCGTTCGAAAGTAAAGCCATACTGACCTAAAGATTAGGTCTCGATGAATACCTTCAATGGTGCGAGGACATGGACATGGAGCCACTCCTTGCTGTATGGAGTGGCCTCTCCCTAGGTGGTGGCATCGTGTCCGGATCAGCCTTAGATCCCTATGTCGACGACATTCTCAATGAGCTCGAGGTATGCTACCCCACAAAATATTCCCAGAGCCTTTCTGACACTAGCAGTACGTCCTCGGGTCCGCAGACACAACCTACGGCGCCCTGCGTGCCAAGAACGGCCGCACCGAGCCCTGGGACGTCAAGTACCTCGAGGTCGGCAACGAAGACAACCTCAACAGCGGCTGCAGTACCTACGCAAACCGCTTCACTTTGATTTACGACGCTGTTCATGCCGCATACCCTAACCTGACTATTGTCGCCTCCACAACTGATACTTCTTGCCTCCCCTCCACCATCCCCGACGGCGTCATCACTGACATTCACCACTACCTTACCCCCGACGAGTTCATCGATCTCTTCGACGAATGGGACAACTGGTCACGCGACTGGCCCATTCTCGTCGGCGAATACGCCAGTACGACCGGCAATGACGGCAGCACCACCTACTGGTCGTACATGCAGGGATCCTGCAGTGAAGCCGTCTACATGATCGGCATGGAACGCAACAGCGACATTGTCAAGATGGCTAGTTTTGCACCCTTGTTGGAGCATTTCGATATGGCCGAGTGGTCGGTGAGTGCTTACTTTTCCATAACATACAGCTCCCAATAATTATCATAAAATACTAACTCCGCAACAGCCCGATCTCTTCGGCCTGGATTCCAGTCCAGACTCCATAACCGGTTCCACATCGTACTACGTTCAGAAGATGTTCTCGACAAACCGTGGCTCCACAGTCCTCCCCGTCAACACGACCGCCGACTTTGATCCGCTTTATTGGGTCGCATCCGTGTCTGACGAGGGCACGTACTACGTCAAGCTGGCGAACTACGGGTCGTCATCACAGAATGTAACCGTGAACATTGAGGGAACTACATCTGGTCAGCTCCAGCTACTCTCCGGGGGAGAGACAGTGAGCAACTATCCCCATGATGTGTCAATCACGACGCAGAATTCTACTGTGTCTGGCAGCGGAAGCTTCACTGTTGATATGCCGGCGTGGGCAGTTGCGGTGTTGGCTGTATCTTAGAGGTTCTGGCACTTATCATTGGTATCGATCGGCTAAACCATTGATTCTATACACATTGATTGTTCTTCACTTGGCCTAATCTAGTCTCTCTGAATAAGATAAAACATATAAAAAGATAGGTAAATAAAGTAGCCGGTTGTCTATAATAGGGAAAAAAGAAGTAGATTCCCGCTAAACACATGCGTTGCGCTCAAAACCCATGTCCCAGCTAAATGTCCCAATACAAAGGAAAAAACAACCCGATCGAATCCACACTAGTTCATTGCCTAACGCTGTATGACGATTATTTATATTACTTCCTGGACTCGTTATATGCAATATTCGGAAGCGTCCCTGACTTCTGCTGCGCCTGCGGCTGCTGCAAATGTAAGATAGGGCAAGCACTGAAAAGCTTTAGAAACAGGGAGGCATGATGATAGACAAAGGATGTCTCACAAAAGCAGGTTGAAGGGATATGTCAGAGCCACGGCGATTCGACCGCATCTTTGCGGTTGTCAAGGCGGGTGGAATGAAGGGTACAACAACTGCGAAGGTGATTGCAGCGGATGCTATGATTTGGGTTGCTTGTGTGCTTGGCATATCTGAATTAATGTTGGATTTTCTTAGTGAACAAAATTTGACTGCGATAGTAGACAGATGTGAATTATGTATGTGTTGATGTATTGCTTTAGTAGATATGACTTGTGCTCTGTGTATGTGCTTTCGATCGAACTTCTGAAGAGAAGGACTTCTCTTCATAATCTACATTCCATGTCATCGCGACCGTTGTCATCTAGACGTAAATAACATATTGGATGCGACTCAGTTGAGCAATGGACTCGCGCACTGTATGTATCGGGAGCATCGGGACAAATTCAATGGGGTTCATTATCCACCCGATCCTCAAGGTTTGGTCCGAGGATTTCCCCAGCTTCGGCTTCTCATCCGAGATAAGCCTTACCCCTCCTCTTCTGGAGCGTCGGGTTCGCGTTGAACTGCGCGGATCAGATGACTTCACTCGTAAATAAAGCGCATGCACATGGAAAAGGTTGAAGCTGTGTTTGATGTCTTGTGATGATCGGTAGTGTAGATCGAACAATTACTGAGAGTGGTATGTCTTAGGTTGGGTTGATGCTAAGTATCTACATTCCACGTCTATATCGCGGATTGATGGCCTAGTTAGCTTGGTAAATTTGGAGATATAGCTTAGGTGTGCTTAGGGTGGCATAGGCTATCCTCTACAGTGTATTCATGGCATATTGTAGACTCACCTTCCTCAAAACAGGCATACCAATGAAAGGCGGTATTAAGAAAGAGTGATTTATTAGACATGTACTATGCGCACTAGTTTCTACGAGTCCTAAGTTTGACCACATTAACCTAGCGAATCAAACGCATTTCTCCTTCTGGGAATCGTTCCTCACTCAATCGAGAATGCATTTCCGCACGGTCGGAGCAAGGTGTAGCTTTCAGAACGAAACAGGCAAGTGACGTATTAGGTCACGTCCTGCAGTCAACCCCTCACAATATCATCTTTTTGGTAAGAGTAGGAAATACTTACTAAAAAGGTCCAGGCAATTGAAGACTGTGGTCAATCATTGGATATCATGGAGCTCGGAAAGATCGGTACTCACCCGAGGGGTGCGTTGACCCGAGGATCCGCGCCCGAGCGGGGATAGCATATGGGGCAGCTATATTCTACATACTTGAATCTTTGTTCCCAGTGAATGAAGGAAGCATTCCATTCAATTTTTAGATATATACAAAGGGATACTCAGGAATCTTATCTTCGCGTCGACTCTTCCTGCACTTTCATCTTCTGCCTGTGCAATATACCCAAGACCTTGGTCCCCCTACATAGAAACGAACGACCTTGAAAATGGCCCCCACATTCGCGTCGAGCTTAAAAGACCCCAGCCTCTTTGTCGAGAAATCATTCATTGACGGCCAGTGGGTAGCATCACAATCAAACAAGACCTTCAATGTTTACAATCCCGCAACGGATGAGATCATTGGAACATGTCCCGAATCAAACACAAACGATGTCAATGCCGCCATCACAGCCGCTGCCAAAGCATTCCCCTCATGGCGGTCGCAATCAGGCCGCCAGCGCGGGCGCATTCTGCGTCGCTTGTTCGATCTGATTGTCGAGAATAAAGAGGATATTGGCAGAGTCATCACTGCAGAAAACGGGAAAGCGAAGGGTGATGCAGAAGGAGAGGCACTTTTCTCCGCTGGGTTCTTCGAATGGTTCTCCGAGGAAGCCCCCCGAATTTATGGCGATGTCATTCCCCACAGCAACCCATCGAGCCGTACACAGGTTCTTAAGGAGCCAGTCGGTGTATGTGGCTTGATCACTCCGTGGAACTTCCCTATGGCTATGGGAGCACGTAAGGTTGCTGCTGCGCTGGCGGCAGGATGCACGGTTGTACTGAAGTCGGATGGCCTGACACCTTTTTCGTCCAATGTCTTGGCTGTGCTTGCTGAGCGCGCGGGCGTTCCTAAAGGTGTATTGAACGTTGTCACAGCTCTAGAGAACACTCCCAATTTGGGTCTTACGCTTTGCCAGTCGGACATTGTCAAGAAGATCTCCTTCACTGGATCAACGCGCGTTGGCAAGCTCCTCATGCAGCAATCGAGCAGCACCCTCAAGAAGCTCAGTCTTGAACTTGGTGGAAACGCTCCTTTCATTGTCTTTGACGACGCCGATATCGAGACCGCTGTTACGAGCGCCATGATCAGCAAGTTCAAGGTCACTGGTCAAACCTGCGTATGTGCGAACCGCTTCTTTGTCCAGGAGGGTATCTATGATCGTTTCAGCCAGAGACTCGTCGAGGAGGTGAAGAAGTGTCAGGTTGGCAACGGCCAAGATGTCGCCGTAACACACGGTCCCTTGACCAACGGCGTGGCCAAGACCCAGGAACACATCAAGGATGCAGTTAGTAAGGGTGCAAGTGTACTCCTCGGTGGCAACACGTTGTCTTCTGTCGGCAAGAACTTCCACGAGCTCACGATTCTCGGCAATGTCAACGACTCTATGAACGTGGCCACCGAGGAGACTTTTGGACCTGTTGCTGCGCTCGCCAAGTTTTCAACAGAGGACGAGGTTGTTCGCCGCGCGAACAACTGTGAGGTTGGTCTGGCATCGTATTTAATTACAAGTGACCTAGGTAAGGCACACCGTGTGTCTGAGCAACTGGAGTTCGGTATGGTGGCTATCAACACGGGTATTATTTCTGATTGGGCTGCTCCGTAAGTTATTCCCATCGTGACTCTGATGATCATTTTGCTGACATGCAGAAGATTTGGTGGCATTAAGCACTCCGGTATGGGCCGTGAGGGCAGCAAGTACGGCATTGACGATTATGTCAACATCAAGATGGTCGTGACCGGTGGTATCAACACTGTGCGCTCGGCAAACCTGTGAAAGTCTATGAATATTCGGTCGCAGAATTGGTGGGTTGAAAGGGCGAGTTGATGGCTTTACATAGACATTATGAAAACGGCTAATGATACGTGATCGAATGACAAAAGCTCAATTATATTTGATCCCCAATTCCAAGTGTGAAATCAACCTTGATTGATACATTGGTAAAGAAAAGAAAGAAAAAAGTACACTACATACTTCAAAAGACGTCTCTATGGCTGGCACCTGTCAGTTCATTGTTTTATTGATTACTTGTCCATTGGTATCAAACAGAGTGACTCTGCTCAGCAAGTAGATTTACATCTTCGCTGGCCCTCGGAATCAGAAGATACTTTGCGACTCATTTCAGAGACCTTATCCCTCGATGCAAGACTTCGATACGCTGTGACCCCCGGATCAGAGCTGGCTTCCGCTACAGTTGGGCTTTTGGAGCTCCGCGACGCCGATACTCGTCGAGCTCGGGGAGATTGCGCATTTCGCTTCTCTTCAGCCGGCGCCGGATCGAAAGACCACAAGGACCCCGGATAGAACAGGGAATCATTTCCATCAACATACATTTGTGGAAATATGACAATCCATGGAGGTCCTGGTAGTAGTCGTTGTTGTCCCACCGCAGTACTACTCGATGGCCCCCTAGTCTTATTCCAAGCCGGGAAGTTGTTGTGCCAAATGGAAGACGCCAATACCCAATCTGATCCCCTCTTCATCTGGTTCCATATGTCGGCAGCTGTTTCCAGATAGGTAATCAACTCTTCCTCGAACACACTATTACCCTCGGAGCTCAACATCGCTTCTAGCTCGTGGAGGAGCTCTGACGTAACTGATTTTATAATGTCCCTTTGTTGTTCTTCCTCTTCTTCGCGGAAGGTTTTGAAGAGAAGTGAGCGAAGTATTGCCTTCTGGCGAGGTTCGTTCGCGGATCTCTGGATTTCATCGCCCATGCTCTTGAGCCCCTTCGGTGATGCAATACACATGGGCTTGAAGACATCCCTAGCTAGTCGATCCGCAATGAGTGACTGGGCAATACGCGCACATGGAACAGGATGATACTCGGCGTAAGAGAACAGCATCGGTTGCGAAGTCCGAGGAAAATGGTGTTGTCCCTGCCTCTGTGTCAGAGAAATATATCCACACCAGTAACTCATGCTAGCTCTCCGGCTCACCTGATCGAAGGGTTGCAAAGGGCCCTTGAAGAACCGTTCAGTCAGGTCAAAGAGCTTGTCTTCGAGATTTTTGAAACTTTTGGAGAAACTACCGGCGAGTGAGCATTTCAATCCCAACTTTGCATCTAGTATCTCTCACAAGTCTTGTTCCAAATGTACGATGTGGAAATCTCCACGAAGGCCATTTAGTGTCTTCTCGGTCCGCCGGAAACGGGAATTTAGGTCGGTATTCTTATCCCTCTCGCACTCAAGATCCTCTTCTAACTTGCGTAACTTTTTCTCGTACTTTGCCAACTGTTCCTTACATTCCCGATCTTTCTTCTGCGAACTCAACTCAGCCCTAGTGCGTTCTTCATCTAGTTGAGCTTCCAATTTATGCTCTCTCTCCTTCCATTTCAGAATGCGCTGCTCGAACGACTTTGTCAATTCTTCCTTCGTTATATCATTTTGCTTTTGCTCTTCCTGAGCCTTTTCGACCTTTGCATTGGCTTCCTTTAATTGCTGATTGAGTTCTTTGACCTGCCTCTGCAAGTTCTCAACCGTGTCGAAGTGTTCAAGATGCTGAAGTACAGCTGCTGCTGATGCCTTGAGGTCTTTAATAGCATTTAATACGGGCTTATCGGCTTTGTCAGATTTATCGGCTTTATCGGATTTATCTTTCGATCGCGAGTTCTGGCTGCCCGGGGCCATAATGAGAAGGAGAGAAACAGAAATAAGCAAGACAACACACAAGTAACCTATGAGAAAGACCAGGGAATTGAGTTCCATTTTGCTCCGGAATAAAAACTGTTATGAGTATTGGCGGGGATATACACCGCTTATTGAGACATGACCAACTTGTGCAGGCAAGGGGCAGGCAGACGTTGGACAGGAATGCCCCCCGTGTTTTTTACAGTAAAGAATTGTCTCAGGATGTGATTGACACTATTTGCTTCCCCTCTTTTCTGGTGATAATAAAATCGAGCGTATAGCTCTTGATAAACTGCAAGGAACAGAAATGTGAGACACATGCTTATCATTCAGTGTTTCTGATTTCTGGTGCCTACCCCAGCTAATAATGGTGATAAAAGGGCAAAACTAACAGGTTACATTTACACGCGAATAGTCTTGACACCCCGCGCGATACTATACACAGACGGAAGGCAAGAATCTATCACATACTCAATCAAATGCCATTACATTTAACTTCCTGTAGTAGACTAAACTTAGACCAGAAGCTTCAATACCGTTGTAGCTGCCTTTTGGGTGCCATGGACTTATTATCACACTAATATAATTATTATTCGAGAATTTCCACATCACGATGTAACTACACTCATTTGGAAAATAATAATAAGGGAACCTGGTAAGACAGACGCCGACTCGCCAGAACTCACCATCAATGTCGCATGAAGTATAATGTGTGGTGATCCATTGATATAAAGCCCACCTCCCATGAATGACACATTATTCCGTTCCTGCTGTCCGTTCACGATCGCGAAGCCGCACTTGCTCCTTGACGGGATAATATGTGAACAGTGCAACCTCGCCAGATTACGATAGACTAGACATTGTCCGAATCGGGAATTCTTCTAGACATAGTTATACCTCTTTGTCATGTATTTGAGCATAAGTGCTCTGATCGCGACGGCATCTGTCGGCAGTTAGTGGAGCGGACTGAGTGATATGATTTTTGGGCTTTGCCTTGACCAGCAAGAATAATTGAGATTGGGTTATAGAAGTAGATCATTTTCATAACGCCGTCAGTAACCCCACTTTCGATGTGAATGTGACTGACGCATGTGTGATGTGTGGAGCATCACCCATTTCGCCCAACCTGTAGAACGCCGGAGCTACCAGCAGGACTAGTAGATACGCGAACAAGACCTTAGAGTATGCATATTAACACATGTATGTAACTATGTGCTGAAAACGAATGTGTAATAAACACGTGGAATAATCAGGCTGGGATACTTTAATAAACTACCCTACAAACCACAAGGCTCGCCGGCATTTTATGCCACTGTGACAGTAGGGCCACGGTTTCTGCAGATGATGGGTTTGGGCGAGCTGCAAATTCCGAGATATTAGCCTAATGAAAAGTAACGTGCCATGCCGAATGCATCCCGCTGAACGGTGGACAGCTAGTCCTGCTCTGGAAGGCAGGCTTATAAAGACTGCATGTATTAGGTATTGTGCCTTAGAGTTCTAGTATCTGATTATATGGTGTAGCTGGGAGACAGAACCTCCATCTCTACATGTATCTAGGGTAAATGCACTCCCAGTGTATTTATGAATCCTTTCAGCAGTTCTTATTGGTTTCAATGGCGAGGATACTAGATTGGTACTCTATATTCACGACCTTGAATGGTTCTTAATACCAAAGTAAGTTGTACATGAATAAGAGACTAAAAATTCTTTGTAATCTGTTATAGAATGATTGTTTTACCGCGTGGTGGCCTTGTCTTCAGGACTGCGGACAATACCCAGTCGCTTTCAGAAGTTCTATACCTCAATAAGATCTTAAAGCAGCTTATTCCAGATCAAGGGAGTTCTAAATCTCGTCGAATTTTCTTTGACGTGCAATAAACAACCTTGAAAATATAAATCGGGGCTTTGATAAAGCTTCCTACAAGAATAGGTAGCATGATGCATTCTCTCATTTTATTCACAGGCTTGCTTTTTGGTACCATTGTATTGGCAGTGCCGATCGAGGGCGATGGTGAGGTGCATTCATCCCATTTTCTAAACGTAATTGACTGGGGACAAAATGGGGGAAACGCTTTTGAAGACAATGATCTATTCACGTACTGTATACTAGAAGCTGGTATCGAACTCATAGTGTTAGCTTTTCTCTATGAATATGGCGATGGGAATACGTTTCCATCGGGTACAATTGGTCAGTCGTGCTGGATACTACTGAGCGGCGAGTCTTTTCAGTGTGAGGATCTGGGTGCTGCAATCAAGAAATGGCAAACGAATGGACTCAAAGTATTTCTCTCGCTTGGTGGTGCAACAAGGAGCATATTCTCTCTCGTCACAGCAGGAGGCTGAAACGCTTGGCCAGCACCTTTGGGACGCATATGGAGATACGAAATGTGATGTTGTATATCGACCCTTTGGAATAACTTTTGTCAATGGCTCGGACTTCGATATCGAGATATCTAGTGGTATTGAATATTACCAATATCTCATCAATAATCTGCGATCTAACTTCAACTCAGATCTTTCCAATAAATACTATATCACTGGGGCACCGCAATTCCCTCTCCCTGAACCAAATATGCAACTAATTATCGCAAACAGTCAATTCGATTATCTTTGGGTACAGTTCTATAACGAACCTTGCTGCTCGGTTAATGGTGTCATCAATTTTGGGTCCTGGGTGACCAACATCGCTGGAACAGAATTTTCCAATACTAAAATATTGGTCGGTTTACCAGCCTCTCCTTATGCAGCCACGAACATACAACGGAGCTCAGTATTACATTTAGTGGAGCGCACTTGCGGCCTTACTCCGTGAATTTGCTAGTTACCCTCATTTAGGTGGCGTTATCTTGTGGTTTGCTGGATTTTCAGATTTTAACATAAACCACGGCTGTAACTATGCTCAGCAAGCCCGCAAAATTTTCGACGCGGGATCACCATTCTAGATGCTAGTGGGCCCTAATTAGAGAGGTTATGGAAGAGCCATAGCCAGAAAAAGCTCTAGCTAACTAGGAAATTTACTCCTAGTTGCCCAATAAGGAGCCTGTCTGACTCAAGAGTGGGCCTTACCCTCACTGTATATTGTGGGCCAAATGACTCGCGAATGCCGTCATATCCGGTGGAATGATTCACGCAATTATCCCCACTGTTCAAATTCGCCTTTTTCAGCAATGGCTCCTGACAAATTCAATACATTCCAATGAGAAAAAAGGGCTTTATTTCTACGCATTTCGGATCCCACCTAACCCACCCTCTTGTACACGAGTGTGTGGGGGGGCCAATCCGGTATCGGATTTGTAACCAATGCTAATCCAAAAATTCCTCTCCGTCTTATAAGCAAACTGGACTGCTTATTTCTGAATTTTGCCAAATTAATTCACAATGGCACCCAAAACTTCTTCGACTTGGATTCTGCCATGCCAAAATGGCATCGAAAGTCTTCAATTACTCGAAGATACCCCTGTCCCTGAAATTGGGGACCATCAAGTATTGGTCAAGGTCCATGCCGCCTCTCTTAATTATCGCGACATAGTAATTGCCAAGGTAAGTGATATCATTATCCAGACTACATGCAAAACCCCCAAGAGCCTCTTTCGCGTCTCTGAGACCACCTGCTGATGAGCACAGGGTGAACCTCAACTCTCTCATTTCCGACCCGGCGTCATCCCCGGTTCTGATGGCGCCGGAATTGTTGAGGCCGTCGGTTCCAACGTCAGTGACTTCCGACTGGGTGATCGGGTCTGTACGCATCTCACATCTGGTCTGCCGTCCGATAAGGCGGCGTCGTGGAATGATGTCTGCGAATTCGGACTGGGTCATAATTACAATGGCACACTTAGTTCATATGCAGTTTTTCACGAATCGTCTCTTGTTCATATGCCTGCGAACTTGGACTTTTTACAGGCGAGCACGTTGACTTGTTCGGGGTTGACTGCCTGGAACGCTCTTTTTGGACTTGAGGGATTGAAGCCTAAGAAGGGAGATTGGGTTCTTATTCAGGGGACTGGAGGTGTTTCGATTGCAGCATTGCAGGTGAGTCTAACTTTGCTCCAGGATGCATTACTTGAAACGAACATTTTTAATGAATATGACATTTGGTAGTTTGCCTTGGCTGCAGGGGCTACGATCATTGCAACAACAAGTTCCACCGTCAAAGCCGAGCGACTCAAATCCCTCGGCGCTCATCATGTCCTCAATTATCGGGAGGATCCTAATTGGGGAGAAACAGCTAAAGGTTTCACTCCGAATAGCCAGGGAGTAAACATTGTGGTTGATGTGGGTGGCTTATCGACTCTCCCGCAATCAGTTAAAGCCATTCGCGCTGGCGGTCTCATTGCTCTGGCTGGGTTACTTGGTGGTGCATCCGAGAATGCTTCCATTCCTACGTTGATGGATTGTCTGGTCAATACTTATATAGTTCGAGGACTCATGCTTGGCACTCGTGATCAGTATCGCGAGATGAATCAGTTCATTGAGGAGAACGACATCAAGCCCATTCTGGATGATCAGGTCTTTGATTATAGACAGGCCAAGGAGGCTTATCATTATTTACAGCAACAGCGTCATTTTTCAAAGGTTTGCATTCGGTTTTAGAGGGGGGAAGCAGTCAATGTATACTATGCTGATTTGGATATGTTGGTTGCGGATTTGAGAAAAGTTCGCTTTGTATTCATAAGATTTCTTTAGTGACATTCCTGCGCTATCTCATTCGATGTTCTCATTTGGGATGGTCTTCGACTCTACAGCTTCAGCTGACCCCGATCCTGTGGCCCAGAGCAGCAAGAGGGTTCGGGATGCTGGGTGGATCTGTTGAAGGACTGGCAGAACTGCGGAACGTCAAGTGCTGGGTTCTTCGTGAAGAAACCATCGGGTTTAAGCATGACGCTGAAACGTTCCATCGGCATAAAAAACCTTAATACATCTTACACCAACCCTAGAAGCAAAGGAACCCCCAATTCCATACATCATCAAACCCTATGCATCTCTCAAGCCTGATCCATCCCGAGTTTCCGCTGCGCAAACCCTCGCGTCCACGGACCGGCAAAATACATCGGAACGGCCATCGCCGCGATAACCGCACAGATGATCGCCTGGACATCCATCGACCCATGATACCCAATCGCCTTGATACTCGGAAGAACAGCATAACTCAACCCGAACCCAACCAGCCCACGACCGGCACAGATGACAACCAACAGCGCCGCCGAGCGCATCGGGAAGCTGTCCAGCGCGTACGTGATCCCCACTATATTCGCCCCAAGAAACCCGAAAAAGACACCCTGGAAGGGGACTGCGATGGCGCTCCAATGCCATCTCGACGGGAATGATCCAGCCTGCCCGTACAGAACCGCACTGATAACTCCGGTGATAGACGGCATGGCCAGACCGAGAAATCGATACTCGGGTTTATACTGTCCGCGGTTGCGCCGGCTCATGACGCGGATCGCGTAGTCGCTGCCATACCCAAGCAGAGGGAGGAAAATGAAGCAGACGAGGATCTGTGCCGCTTGGACGTAGCCCAGACTGGTAAAGGGAAAGGCGTACGGCGGCGCCAGGAGGATCGTGGAGAAGGTGGATGACTGGAAGATGTATACGCCGAGGAATGCGCCGTTGAGCAGGAATAGCCAGAAGATAGACGGCACGCAGAATGCCTGGCCGAGGTGTCTGTAGAAATCTGGGATTCTGCGCCACTGGGGGGTGACCTGGACGAGAGTCATGTGGCCGAGGAACGAGCGAGGCTGCTGGGCTTGGAGAGAATCCACCGAGACGACTTCCTGATGAGTGGTCTGCGCGTCGTCCTTACCGAGGGTCGTTGAATCGTGCGATTCTCCACGCATTGCTTCCGGGGTGCGCTCGAAGGCGGTTTCGGTTACGAACACAATGCTCAAAAGGAGGATCGCCCCGTTCAAGATGGCGAAGACCCCGTACCACCATCGCCAGCCCCAGGCATTAACCATGTACGTGGATGCGATGTAAAACGCGCCGCAGGAGATGTTCTGGATGAATACAAACCAGGCGACCTTGCGACCGCGCTCATGCAGGAAACAGATCTCGTGGATTATCATCGGTGCAAGCGCCTCGCTCTGGCCGGCGGCCATCCCCATAATGTCCCGACCAGCTATATGGCTGTCGAGGCTCTTGGAGAATGCACACCAGATGCTTGTCACCACTAGCAGTAGAATGCTGAAAACGAAAACTGGCCGGCGCCCAAGTGCCAGGGCCAGTGGCATGCTGACTATATTGCCGATGCCCATGAACAGCGTTGGGTAAGTCATGAGGTCGTTGACACGTTCTTGTCCGGGATATTCGGCCTGGATGACTGAGAGGATTGGCCCCAGACCCGAGACGAGCACCACTGCGCTGAAGCTGTACGCGGAGACAAGGAGTAAGATCATCCATTTCCGCCATGCGGGCAGCTTCAGGGGATCTGTAGACCCGGGGATCAGTTCGGCTATTTCCCCCGGAGGCCACGGAGCAGACTATACCGTGGGGATCCGACGAAGGGGTAGGGACCAGGACAATGTGGTTATCGGAAACTAGTTTGACATCGCCTAAGCGATGCCTGGTCTCCGAGAACACATGAGTAGTCTTCGATGTGGCGCTGTCTTCTGCCTGCATGGCGCATGCAGAGAGATAAGCTGGGACGGGAGGATGAAAGACCATAATCAGCGCACCTCAGTGTCCCGTGCATACAACAAGCCTCTCTTATAGACAACTAGGATACCCCGCGAGGTAATGCAGAATCCGGGGTTCGAAGTGTGGGGGAACCTTATCTCCAATCCTTCGCGTTGACGGACCCGACGAACCGAAGCGAGGCGAAGCGAAGCGAGACGACCCGAAGCGAGATGGCACGAAGAGATCTGGGTGTCATTTACCTGAGGAGGCCATGCGGTTGAAAGACCTTTATCCTGGTGCTGTGTCCGAGACTGTTCACAGATATTGAATATCCCATTGACCTCAGCCGAACAAGACCATGAAGAACGACGCCGACATCCCTACCGAGCCCCTGCTACCACCAGCGATAGGACATGCCGGATATCAAGGCCTCAATCCCCGCATCGAGATTCTCCGCCAAGGCGACCGTCCATTCAGTGCTCGAGCCCTGCCCTGTGATATCCTCGTTGAGCATGATGTCGCCATACAAATGCGAGACGGTGTGAAATTGTACGCCGACATCTATCGCCCGACTGCAACGCACGACCGAGTACCGGCCATCCTGTCCTGGAGCCCCTTTGGAAAGAAGTTCAACGGCATCCAATGCCTTCGACTAATCACTCCGTGGAATCTCGGGATCCCACCTGACGCTTTGAGTGGCTTGGAGAAATTCGAAGGCCTTGATCCGGCGGAGTGGGTCGACAAAGGCTATGCGATTGCAAATGTCGACTCGCGCGGAGCCTTCGATTCCGAGGGCCGCATGGTGATCATGGGCACCCAGGAGGCCGAAGATGGCTTCGACACCATTGAAGACCTGGCGTCGCGCGAGTGGTGTAACGGGATGATCGGCATGGCTGGTAATTCGCACTTAGCTATCGTGCAATGGTTCATTGCCGCGCTTCAGCCACCATCATTGAAGGCAATCGCGCCCTGGGAGGGCTGTGGCGACCTATACCGGGAGCAATTTGCTCGAGGGGGGATCTACGGCGGAGATATGTTCGACCAGCTGATCGTGAAACATATGCTACGGGGGCATTCCGGCATGGAGAGCTTCCGGCATGCATACGAGACATCTCCCTTGATGAATTCATGGTGGGCAGATAAACGGCCGCAGATGTCAAATATCAACACCCCCACATACATCACCGGAACCTGGACTAATTCCATGCACGGAATGGGCGCCATCCGGGGATGGATGGAAATCACCAAGACGGACGATAAGTGGCTGCGATTCCATCCATACCAAGAATGGCACGATCTGTGGGCCAACAAGCAAGCCCAGGAGGAGCTACTCCGATTTTTCGATCGCTATTTGAAGCTCCAGCAGAACGGATGGGAATCGACGCCGCGCCTGCGACTGGCGGTTCTGCGGTATGAAACCGCACCGCCACTGGTGAACGTCGTGCATGACGACTTTCCCATCCCCCAGACGATCTACCGCAAGGCATACCTGCGCCATGGGGGGTTGCTCTCACTCGACGAACTCGTTCCGTCTCAGGGCGTCGTCGGAGAAGTATCGTATGATTCCCAGGACCGTTCCGACTTCGTCTCGTTTACGTATTTATTCCCACAGACAACGCAGCTTGTGGGAATCGCTAAAGCCGTGTTGTACATGTCCTGCCCTGCAACCGATGATCTGGATATTCATATCATCCTCTGCAAGATTTCCTCGGACGGAAAGGAACAGAGGAGCCTGAACATTCCCTGGGATAATATTCCTGTCTCATCCATCGATGAGATCCCAGACGAAAATCAGTCAGAACTTATCCTTTATAAAGGCCCGGCGGGCGTTCTTCGCGCCTCACACCGGGAAGTGGATGTCTCAAAATCGCTTCACGAGAATTGGCCTTTCCACCCTCATCGGAAGGAACAGAAAATTCCTCCCGGGCAAGTCACACGGCTTGAGATCGGGATATGGGCAATGGGCGTTGAGTATGCCGCTGGCGAAAGCATCCAGCTCCAGATTAGTGGTCACTATCGGGGAATGACAGATTTTAAAGGGCAGGAGTCATCAGTGAACAAGGGAAAACACGTGGTGCATTTTGGTGGGGGGTACGATAGTCATCTTGTCCTTCCATTTTTAACTTAGCAAGCTTACAGTGGGTAGGTCGTTGGAATATCAATGGAAACTGATCTGTATTCCTAGCCGTGAAAGAAAAAAAAAAAAAAAAAAAAAAAGACCGCGAGACCACACGAGGTATGCCTGATACAGGTAGATCTCATGCAATTCTTGATATAACAGAATATACATGGTACATCTATGGTACTGGGTGCACCTCAGTCAAGTACGATATGTCAGACTCAACACGATTGCTGTTTTTAGGTAACGATATGTTTCTAAGAAGCAGTGTATATAAACTAATGCAGTGTTTATAGTTGCAAGACAAGGATACACCCAACAGTCATCCATCCTGCGCACAATCCATACCCGTCTTAACATTGCACTATTGCAGTCCGCCTAGCATAACATGATCTCACAGCGATGGGATATCGGCGCCACAAGGAAGTAATTCTCAAACTTCATACTATCCTCTGTTGTAGAAGGAGCCAGTCTCGCCGTCGGACACTTCAGAAAGAAGATCACCAGCCCGGTAAAGAGTTCCAGCATCGCGAGATGCATTCCTATACACACTAAGAGAGTATTCGTCAGTGCACGACTGGAATGCTACACGTCTCATCCTCACCTCTGGACCCTGCCCCAAACGGGTGAAATGCAGCGTTCATTTCGGGAGTCTGGCTGAGCCATCGATCGGGATCGAAACTGTGGGTGTTTAGAAACATTTCGTGGATCAGGGAATCACGGACCGGACGCTCACGTTTCGGGTCCTGGAAAGTACAAAGGATCTCGATGAATCGAGAACGCCTGGGTGCTCACGGTTGTTCCACCGGGGATGTTATACCCTCCTAATTGCGCGCCAGATAGCGGCGTGGTTCTTGGGAGACTGCTCGGAGCGGCGCCGTAGAGTCTCAGCGCCTCGTTCACAACTGCCCTGAGGTATTTCGAGCGCATGAAGTCGCTTGGGCTGGCATCCACGGGAAACTTGCGAATTTCCTGTAGCACGCGCTCTTTGACTTTTCGATTCCGTGGCCGGAGCAGCGCCCAGATCAAGTACGTCAGTGAAATAGATGTGGTGTCGGAACCAGCGATAATCATATTTGAGGCCTCGACGGCGATGTCATCTATCGGAAGGCCTTGTGTGTTCTTCGGGTCCAGGAACCTCGAGAAGAGACTCAAAGTGGGATTGTCATTTTCAAGAAGATGCGTCCTATGATTCTCAATCGCCTGCTGCCCATATCCTTGTAACCTACCAGGCAGAGACAGTGCCTCGCGCATTGCTTTGAGAGGAAGCCAGCGTAGAAGACTAAACAGCCAGCCAAGCTCAGCCCGCACGCCAGATATCATCATGGTGACCTCCAGATCTCGGATATACTGTGTTTTCCGCTCTAGTTGCAACATGTCGAAGGAGCGGCCAAACGACAGCTCTCCCGCAATATCTGTCGCCATGAACGTGAACCACTTGAGGATATCCGCATTTCCAACCTCCGCGTCTCGCTGGATCTTGGATACTGCAAGTTCCACCTTCTCGCGGACGATAAGCTCAAATTTCAGTATTGATGTGTTGGCAAATCCCTGCGCGAAAGCCTTCCGGCGTGCGGCGTGATCCCTGGGATCTGTCATGGCAAAGATCCCGGGACGGGGACTCGTCACGAACTTCAGATACCAGGGCGCCTTTTGGTATCCGCTTCCAATCTGGTGGATGGTGCGAAATGTCTCGAGGTTTGCGATCGCTATCTCTTCGGGGGCGATCCGGACGATGTGTCCTGTGCGATAGTCAGCGGGTCAGAGCTGGTGCAATTCCCGTCGGAGGATTGGATGTATACCGTATTTCTGATGCAAATCGTGGATGTACTGAGATCTCCGCCCTCTAAGGACAGCGATTTTTAGAAAGAGCCGGGTGAACCGGGCAGATACTGGGCCGGGAATCTTTCTTAGAGGATCCAAGAGCAACCCGTAGATCATTCTAGCAAGCAGAAATAATGAAACACATGTTGCTATGAAGGTGAACTTGGACGTCATTTTGCTGGCCACTAGGTCAGACCTCACCAGATCATTGCTATGGGCAGCGTCGAACTAAAGAAATATGGACCACGGCATCGTAGAACAATCCTCCATCTGATTTCCCGAGCGGGGAGTCTCTCTGCACCAGACACTATCATGAGGCCCGAACGCTGAATGCTGGAGATAGTAAAGCGAGCCTATCCGAAGCGAAACGAAGCGAAGCGAAGCGAAGCGTGTCAGACATCGAGATAAGCATCCAAGCCGGGTTGGCGTCTCGTATTAATGTGCGCTTTCCTCCGTCTGCTGTAGCTCCGAGCACACTTTCCACCATACGATATGTCCACCACCGTCGAGACAGTGAGAGCATCTGGCCGTCTTTTCGCCGGAGGGGTCGACGCCAAATATGGTGACTTCCGAGACGACCTCCTTCGCGACGGGTATGCCGTCGTGAAGCAAGCTGTCCCGAGAGAGAAAGCATTGGCCTATTCCGATGAGATCTTCCAATGGCTCGAGGACTTGTGAGTGTAGCGTCACCACCAGAACACCCCAAACTAACCTCGAGTGCCAGCGGCCTTGGCTTTCGACGCGATGACCCCAAGACCGTGCACAAAGACTTCCTGCCCGACATCAATGAGAAAGGAATGTGCTTGGGGTATGGCGTGTCTCATGAATCTTTCACGTGGGCTGTCCGCCAGGAGCCCGGTGTTATTGAGGCTTTTGAGAAGGTCTATGACACCCAGGACCTGATTGTCTCCTTTGATTCTGTTAATATCTCGTTCCCCGGTCGAACAGACATTAAGCCAAACAAGCCGTGGCCACACCAGGATCAGGACCCCGAGAGACCTGGCTTCCGGTGTCTCCAGGGATTGGTCAATCTTCTGCCTAACGGGCCGAAAGATGGAGGGTTGATTGTCTGTCGGGGTGCGCATTTGCTTAGCGAGGAGTTCCATGAGGAATTCAAGAATGAGGAAGACAAGATCTTTGCTTGGTATGACAGACCCCAGACTACGTGACTGATCATAGCTCTGAAGGGATAATCACGATTAGGACCAAAGAATGGTACGGGTTTACCGAAGCCGGCCTCAACTGGCTCAAAAATAAGGGCATGGAATGGGTCAAGGTCACTGCCGAGCCGGGGGATCTCATTCTCTGTGAGCCTGCCTGATACACCATCTGGTTAGGATTGTTGCTGATTATTTATCAAACAGGGGACTCGAGAACCCCCCATTATAACGTTTCCTGTGAGGGTAATTCGCCACGCCTCTGCGTGTACACGTGTTTCATGCCAGTTGCAGATGCCACGCAGGAGGACCTGAAGAGAAAGAAGATTGCATTTGAAAGTAAGTTCATCTTCTCCTCTGTTTTCCGAGTAAGCACTGAGTGTTTCATTCGCATAAAGATACTCGGATGACAACCCATTGGCCCAACGCCCTCAACTTGGTGGACTTGCCCGTGCTGAGAAACGGGGAGCCGGATCCCTATAATCGAGCCTCTCCAAGACAGCCGGTAAAATTGAGTGACCGGGGATTCAGACTGACTGGAATCCCGTATATCGAACCGACGGGCGCAGCTTGAAGCCTTCGTGCGGGGACCAAGGCCATGACTTTGTGCGTTGTGATTGTTATTGCTTATCGTCGCACCGATTGAATGTGTTTTTGAAACCGATGATAGTAGTAAGCCTGTATTTTGCGTACCGTATTCGATGCGAAACTGTAGGCTATCTTGTGTTTTATTGATTATTTGTGCATCCTTCCTGAGCACCTGAATCGACCGATATAGGCAGTTCCGTGGTGTTGAAATGTGGCCTGCGGACTCCTGGGGAAACATGGGATCGAACTGGCTCAGCGCCTAGTAATCCATCCCTCTTACATTTTGACGCAATCATACTCCTCCATAGACCTATCCAAGAAGACGCATTGAGCTCTATGGTTGCACCCCTGCCGGTCCAAAGGCTTAGCATCCAAATCTCCCCCGCATTTCGGCTACGAGTGCCATGGCCTCCCCCACATTTCCATCCGAGGGAGCCTTGGCCCCGTGGCTTCAATCTTCCTAGACATACAGCTATCTTGATCACCACTTCCATAACACGATGCAACAAGATACCACGAACCCCCCAAAGCGCAAGCGGTTGTCGTTTGCTTGTAATTACTGTCGGTCCCGAAAGACCCGATGTGACGAGCGACAACCGGCCTGCACAGCGTGTCTGCTGGCAGGCATGGAATGCATCACCACTGACAAGCGCAGACCAGGGGTACGCGTGTACTCCCGACGACGGAACCTCGATGCAGCATCTACCAGCGAGAACATTCCTTTTCAGGATACTGTTCAAAACCCCGTTGCAAGTCCCTTGCTGGGATCTGTCATGGGCCTGGCGATCCCCGAGCTGTTGCCCATGCATAGTCCTGGGAGCACGAGTCCTGAGAGCATTACGCGGCTCCACGACGATACATTTCGAATTCGAGGCGCCCATCCCCAACATTCTTCTAGAGAATCATCCTGCACGGACTGCCCGCCAGCCCCGGCCACAGCCCCATCACGCCCCCGGGAACGATACACCGGCCGACTGCCGATGATGCCTCGATTCTGCGGCACAAGCACGGTGCAACTCATGACGAACTGGCTAGACCTTGCATTTCGCAGACTCGGTATCCCGGATGCGTTATCCAGCGCAGGATTGTTTGGTCCATCTTTTCGAAGTAGCACGTCTCTGCCCCCCTCAAATCTCTATCCTACCGGGCTACCGGATCCACCCACACATCTCGAAGCGTCCAGGCATCTGTCGAGATATCTATCCGACGTCCACCCGATATTCCCCATCCCCATCCAGGGCGTCCTCGAAAGAGTCCATTCGACTATCTTCACCGCGGCCGATTCCCCCAAAGCACTACTCGCACAGCAAGACCCGCCCCTTCAGGCGTTGTATTGCGTGGCCCTCATCTTGGGCGCAGGAGCTGCGAGACCTACAAGCACAGGTTTCAAAGCGGGCGCCTGGATGGCGTACTGTAACAGTCTACTTGGCCACCTGATCGGCTACCGAACAATTCGCTCCATCCAGGCGATCTTTCTCCTATCTCTCGCTTTGCTCGAATTCGACCGAGTCTCCGATTCTCACGATGTTGTGAAACTCGCAATCGGCATGGGCCAGTCCATCGGTCTGGGTGGAGGCCAACGACCGAGAGGATCATCGACCCACCCCGATGAGGGAATAGAGACATGGTGGTGTAGCGTGGTGTTTGAAAAACTCCTCGCATTCATCACCTGCCAGCCATCCAGCGTTGGGGGGATAGATCCGGGCCTTGATCCGAGTGATTGGGCCGATGATGGATCGAGTACGGACTTGCATTTCTACGCGCTGAGGGGCCTTGGGAGGACATTGCATGAGATCAACGACCAAGCTATCAGGGTATGGGAGATGGAAGAGTCCCAGGATCTGTCTCCGGAAGACTCCATACGCGAGAAGCTGGGTGTAGCTGGGAAACTAGTAATGCTGCTCGACGAGTGGCATGAGAAATTAATCAAGCTGCAGTATGTTGGACTTCGTGCCCATCCCCAAACTCCAATTGCCACTGGCATGGAAGCTTAGATATCTAATCGGAGACCCAGACTATTATTAACCCCCGCGACAAGCACGAATGTCCGTCGGAAAGTATTTTTCACCTCGCAGTATTACAACACGTAAGGGTGTTCCTTGCTTCCTCCCAGCCGCAGACCTTATCTCCCTCCCTCACTCACTCACCCATATGCTTGATGCAATTCTAAGCTCACCCTGACCCCAGACTCATCCTCCTCCACCGAGCAACTCTACTCGTCGACCGAGACGATCTCCTCCGAGCACTCCGCAAGTATGGGGCCCAGCAACCATGGCAAGACCTTGCCTCGAGCGCCGCAGTTTCCTGCACAGAAGCAGCTCGAAGCATGATCACACTCGTCGTTCATCTCGAGGAGATCAACGCCAGCACGGTCCCATTCCTAATCAATCCCACTTTGGCGGCATCATACGCGCTGTGCGTGCGGATCCTCATCGACCCCGTCCGTAAGATGAATCGTTCTGATTATGAGGTAGGCACGCTGTCTGACGAGCTGGAGCGATGAGTCGGTATACATACATATATACATATTCTAACGACGACAGCTAATGAAAGTTGGATTGCAATTCGCGCGGGATCGACATCGCATGTACAATCCCACTGACACGTTAGATCTGGTATGTAGTGCCATAGAGCCATATCTAGCGTCATGTCTTGAGCCTCCAAAGCAGGGACAGAACTTGCTGCGGAACGCACCGGTCGAGCAGTTGTCATCCCCATCGAGCTGGGGAGTGAGTGCGGACGAAGGTCGCCTCCAGCTGGTGACTGGCACTGCGCTACCGAGTATCGATTGGACAGGCTGGAGCTTAGATGAGGTGGATGATATCTCGTTCTCGGCCGGAAGATGAATGAGAAGAGGAGGACGGAATGACCGTGGTGGACACGAACGTTCAGAGATCATCGAAAAGAACTCCGCGGATGCTGTGGGAGGAAGGGTTGGAGAAGGGAAAAGGGCGACCGCCCTTATATGGCCTGGAACCGAAGAGAACATGATGATTGAAGGGGGAGCCGAAAATGGCTCCCCTCCCCAGCGACTGGCGACACACTTCGCTGGGGTAGGAGGCATTGAGCGAAGGGAAACTAAGGGCCGCAGAAGTAGCCCTTTTCGGCCGCTTTCTAACCGTCACATCGTTAAGTGGAGTAAAAGAATATGATAAAGGAATAATTATATTAATTATCTAAAACACACAGCAGAGCAAGTATGTAATAATGCTTTATATAACAGCCTGAGTGCCAACAACACGACCAAGCCTACATAGATGGTTGCCTCAACATTCAATCATGATGGATATTGGAGTGTAAGGGTCGGCTATCCTGATACAGGTCAATGGACCGTTGCTGATAATCATGCTCCCAAAGTACGTCCCATATTTAAGTTACATGCTATTTTTGAGCCATGTGGAACCTCTGCGGCTATACGAACACGAACGGGGACCTCAAAAGTCTATGCGGGAACGAGCAAGCCCCCTGATTCGATGAACCCGGTTAAGCTCTGCAGATCCGTTAGAACCACTTCGTCCATGGACTAAGTGGGCGAAATTGCCGCCCGACGTTCCATTCCTTTCTTTTTCTACATGGAGAATAACGGCTTTACACTGTTGGCTTCTTAAAGTTTACTGGAAACAAGATGAGTACCCTGCAACGTCATCACATTTAAAAAAAGCCTGGGAGCGTGCTGTACGTGGTTTGTGCCTACCAAGTGTGCAGTACGATGGTGTTAGCGTGGAAAACGGGCAAAAAGTTGCAAAAAGAAGTGTCTTGCATACTTTGTAGTTTCAATTCAATTTAACTGTGTGCAAAGCCGCAAGCACCAGTATGAAGGCGTGTTTCTAGGCTCGGGATGGTGGTGTGTTTCGATCAGCATGTTTTTGTTTAAGCTCAGCAGCCGTCAAAGCTTATGGAAAGAATTTGTTACAGGATGAAAAAGCAACGATGTGCATGTCAATTGAAAACATAATAAACTAATCTATCAAATTCTATACATAGTACAAATACAAAGCTGCTGGAAAATAATCAAGCTAAGGCTGCCGACAAGCCTCTTGGCTAGACAAATAGTTAAGCATCCGGTGTGTTGAATGTTCCTTGAATACAATCTCTCCCCATAACATCTATCCTCCTCGCATAAATGCAGACAGGGCCTCCAGAAAATCTTTCGGTGATATGATGCTGGCCAACCTCAGTTGGCGCGTGTCTTGTTGTCGAAGCTGGTCAGGGCAGTATGGGTAGCGTAGAATTCACCCTTAGGGTTGTAGTACTCGTCGAACATCAATGGCTTTGCGCCCTTGACCCAGGTGTAGGCATGCTTATCGGTGAATCCCCAGAAGGTGATATCGGTGACTCCAGCGTCGAGGGCCTCAGTGAGGACGGCGCTGTAGATATCAGTTTCGAGGGTGGTGTTCAGGGTATGGACATCCATCTCTGAGATGGATACCTCCAATCCAAGAGAATTGTAAGATTTGATTATATCCGTAATCACACCAGGGATCGGAGCTACTTCGGTAACGTGCATCTGTAGAGCGATTCCGTCGATCGGGACTTTGTCTGATACAAGTCCAGAGACTAGATCGTAGAGCTCTTGACGCTTACCGGGAAGCGACTCGACCAAATTCTCGCTGAGAAACAACTTGGCGTCTGGGCCCGCTGCCCTAGCGATATGAAAGGCGTCTGCAATGTATCCAGGTCCAAGCACCTTGTAGAAGTCATTGGCCTGTAGACCACCACCCATAGACTTAAGAGCCTCGGTGACAACGTCCCACCGATCCATCTTGCCGGCGTATCGGTGCATGATCGCTTCAAAATGAGTGACCATGGCGGCACGGAATTGTTTGGGATCGGTGATGTTGAGCAGGTAATCGGGGTTGCAGCAGCTCGAGATGAGCCCATGCCCCTTCACCACCATGTCGTGCTTCTCCGCGAAGCTGACAAGGCGGTCGGTTGCGTTCCAATTGTAGTGGTTTGGGGTCGGGTGTATGAATGTCCACTTCAACTCATTCTCGGGAGCGAGACTTTGAAACTGATCGGCAAGGACGGTCGCAAATAAAGTATCATTGAGATAATTCGGATTGATAGCCCCGGACCCAATGAGGATACCCTTGCTTCCTGCTACCTTTTTCAGCGGGGTGGTGTTGGTCTTGGTGAAGGCATTTGCTCCTTCACTCGCGGCGAGCAAGGCGGTAATGAGGGTCGCGGCACCAAAGGTCTTCATTGTTCTGGTTGAACCTATGTTCTCTTTTCTTTCCTGATATCTTGCAATGAATAGCATCCAACTAAAGTCTGCTGGTCAAGGTATTTATAGGTTCTTCAGACGGGACACATGGCGTCGCAATGCCGTGAATAGAGTGGGTCTATCATCCTTGTGCCCGTTGCAGCAGGCGATGAGGACAGAAGCTTGGCACCTGTACGAAAACGAACGCGCCTTTTCATTTGTTGAACCATTGTTCCTTTTTGCCACGAGAAGCATTCCCGAGACTTTGTGACCTGCAACAGATCCTGGATCCTTCGTATACTCGTACAGAGTACACTGCCAGCGACCCACATAAGAACTTTAGTGCTGGTATCTCCTGTTTTTCCTGCTAAGTTTTGAGCTAATCCGACGATCTGCTATGTTCATCCCTGGCTCTAATTGTAAATCTCATGAATAAGAATAGGAAATTCGTCGTATAGCTCAACGAACTCAGTGGAGGGTTCAGTGGAGGTCAATCTGTTCTTAAAGCTACAAGTTAGACGAAGCGTTCCGGATGCAGTTGCCAAGTCTAGAACCTTGACATACTCTCCATTTCAAGGTCAAAGGAGAAGATCAGACGCCCCAGTGACCGGTCATTCATCATATACATTAATAGGCCAAGTCACTGAAAACATTATCGTATCTTAGGATATATTTGATATAGTTATCAATGCTTATCGCACTAACCTGAGAGAACAGGTGGGCCGGTCAGTAGCAAAGTATATTCCACCTAAAGCAAAATAAACTTAGTTCGATGACTTTTCGCGTTTTTTACGTCGCAGTGATGTCTTCTTTGTGGACAATTTCAGGGATGGGAATTTTTGAACTGCGATTAAGATATAAGACTTCTGGTAAATTAAAGGCCTTCGAAGATGTTCATCAAATCTAATATAGAACATTCCATACTAGCTTCGTGCTTCTCTCATCTAAAATGTTTGTTAAAACCAAATAGAGAAAGGTACAGCTTACGGTCCTCGACATCAGAGCAGCTATAGCTCTTTAAATACGGTGGACAAATACGGGGTTTCATATTTCGAGAGTTATCGGGCCTTGTATGGAGAGTTGTGTCACAAATAAGTGGAGAATGGTGTGGCTGCTTAGCATTAACATGAAACCTCGACCAACATGTTTCCCCTTCAGCGTTGTGGCTCAAGGCCCTTCTCGAAGGGAGGCGCTACCGCCACACCAGCCAGTCTTCGCTCATGCAACACCCCCTACCTTCCATTTAAGGTAAGGTCCCATCCGAGTAAGGTAAGGCTTAGTTCTTATAACAGGCAGAACCCTACCGCCTGCTACTTTAAGAGTTTTATTGCTTAGTCCAGTAAACTACCGCATTAGAAGGGCGGTGAGCTGTATTTATAAGGCTATACTCCAAAGGGAAGGAACTTTGCCTTCTTAGGCAGGCGGAGAGGGTGGCATGAGCGAAGACTGGTGTGGAGGAAGCCTGGCTGGTGTGGCGGTAGCGCCTCCCTTCTCGAATTAGGGAAACACGGTTGTTCTTCAAATACCATGATATATCCAACCTATTTGAGGGAGTATATATAGAACGCCTTCTCATTTGATCAGATTCAAGCCACTACTCTTCATGGCAATAATGGTCAGCTTAGTAATGCCTGCCAGGAGGCGGAACCTATACTGGTCACACACTTACCGCTAGATGAACAATGAAATATCACGTCTACCTGACCTATTGACCGAGGGAGATGTCTCAATTCATGCCAAAGGTAAAACTATCTGCACAAACGTCAATGTTCTGAAGAGGGCATAGAAAGGTAGAAAAGGTGTACTAAAGGACCTCAGCAGACTATTGAATAAACTAATCTTGCTTATTATGTTACAGACAGACATAGTGCCCCCGACGCGGATCGCGATTGAAAAGTATTGACATACTCAAGGTATAAAGGCCTTGCTGATTTGCTAACCGCTCTATATTCTATTTGGGCGAACCGCAAACTCCGAGATATTAAGCCGAATAAGAATGCATGATTTCAAATTCTTGTTAAATGGCAGACGGCTTACTTCCCTGTAACACAAGGTGGTCTATTAGCATCAAGTCACCGGGTAGAGAAATTCAAAATCCAATAATGCCAATAATGTTCCACTAGCGCCATCATGCCTCTCCTCAAAGGGCCCATGAATATCAGCCAAACGATATGTTCCACCGAAACATAAGTCAGATAATCTCACTTTGGGATGCAAATTGAATGTGGCACAGACTATTATTTATTAAAGCATTATCTTTCAAATATTAACTATCTTCATTGAGATCTTTTTTTTTCGATATAAAAAGAGCACTCGCTCCCCCTCTTCCTACATCACTCCACAATCTAACATTCCTCCTCATTTAAGATCTTTGTTTACGATTACCCTCAGAAACTCATCCACCCTTAACATTATGAAGACTTTTACTGTTGCCGTTACTTCTTTCCTGGCAGTTGCTGGCCTTGTTACAGCAATCCCAATGCCTCAGGGTCTGTATCCCTTGAAGCTGCTCTCCTGTTATATCATGTTAATTATCTCTGTTTCTCTATAACAGATTCTGAACTGGCCAACATAGTGGGTCAGATGGCCACAAGTATTGATCCACCGGTTGGCCAAGGCAGACCTGTTGCTGCAGGTATGTACTGCGACATTGAGTGTGCTACAATTTACCCACCAAGCCTCCCCACTTTGCCGAGGCGATAAATAGTCTGGTGCTAATGCTATTCTAGCTAATGCTGGACAATCTATGGCTGATCCGGGGAACGCAGCTGAGACGGCAGCGAATGTGCTTGCTGGAGCTGGTAATACCTTCAACGAATCTCCAGGCGCTGCCCCTGCTCAAAACAATGCACCGCAGTTACAAAACACAGGTAGGTATCTCCCTTGAACTATAAGCTGCGTGATACTGTCTCATACTAATTGATTTCAAGTAAATTCAGCGGAGGGAGTTATCGGGACTCTAGTCGGAAACGTAAGGAAGTAATTGGGATGGGTGAGTACTTAAACAGCCATGGCTCCTCATTACCATGGAAAGGTGGGAAGTATATATTTCCTCGGTTGACTTACACCCACAAACGGGGCCCCATCATACTGACTGCCAATAGAATATCTCATTGTACTGTTAGGTAGTACTGAAGGCCTGTACTTGACGCAAAGAGGGACGTGATGTAATTGAGAAAGAATTGATTTCATTCATGCCAAAACTTGCTTGATAATTTGTTTCTCATGATGGCAACCATGATGGTGGTATGATGCTAGTGTTGTTGCCATTGTTTTGCGAGTCTCGAATTCGGGAATGGTTCCTAGCGCGGGAGCTAGTCCTAACCGGTATCAAGCTGCTATATCAATCCGTAGCTCTAGTATTTCCAGCTGGAATTCATTAAGCACAACAGTCAAGCCCGAAGTATGATAGGATACGACGAGTAGATGTAGAAAATAATATGTAGACTAGGGTGTAGTTTACTTATAGAATGAAGGTAGTACTGGGCATGTTGCTCCTCACTCACATCTTTCAGTTCCCAAACGCTGGAATATTACGGCCTATTTGGAAGCCAAATCTTCCAGATGTGCTACAATGTTGGGGGAGCACAAGGCTTCCAATATGGGCTAGTGTTCCTCTGAGCCTGCAACCTTCTACTAAATGGACTATCTAACGTATGTGAGAGTAGTCTTGTCACAGCTCTCATGTACAGTTATTTATTAAGGAAACGTCGTAAAGGTGACGCCCGATTCATTATCTGTGAGAATTTTCATGGTGGTATCCTTGTTAGTTAAGTTTATCAAGTAGAATGTATAGCGCTTTAGATCAAATAGCATGCTAATCATCATATATGCTGAATCTACTTAAGAGTTACCAAGATTGCTTGAAGGAATACCAGGGTCTGTGAAAGAAGCCAATGAGGAAAATGGAAAGAGATTAACAAGGATGATTCCACTCACCTAGTATAAAGGAGGGCTATTTTAAGTCTGGTATAATGACAGGTAAATGTATCAGAATAATAGTAACACAAACCAGCTGCAAGTACACAATTACACAATCGGAACTTGACCAAATAGCCGGATAACCCATATTTATATCTATGTCCTGATGACTGATCCCTTTCCCGGCCGTTTGAAACAGAGGCCGGTCAAATAAGCATAATATCAAGGCGTTTAAGCAATTAAGGGGGCCTAGAGCCAACTGCTGGACTCAGCCCAGTTTAATAATAACCATACAGACCTTCAGAATTACGCAAGCGACACCAACTTCATCCAACAGACAATTCCAATGTGACACCTTCCGGCACACATCGTGCTTATACTAGTTGCAGGTAGTCTTCAAACCTAGATCAACAAAACTAAACCCGACCACGATTTCAAGTCACCGTCGTCCTAACCCAATATGGAAAGATCGCCTTGAAGTCCTCGGAACACAGTCACAAATGCCTGTTGAGGTAAAGCCTGGATACAATACCATGTCAAGTGATAAGTATGTGTAACTGAGTGATCGGACTGACCCGATGATAATCATCCCTCGGTCGGCTTCGATATCCGATGCATCTACTTCGTATCTAAATACATATCGTTTCCCTCACATACGCGGCTCAGATCTACCCCTCTTATCTATACTATCCTATTCTGTCTTATCGAGAACTCACATGATATGCTAAGGATCGGAATGACATGCTTACAGAGTATGATTCTTGCCCCCGTTTCCACTTCCGTACAGTTGACAGAAGAAACAAGCGATTGATACTTTTGAGGAAATCATTGCTTTAATAGGGTATTAAAATATGAGCACCACTGCTTCTACTAAAGACAGGCAGATAAAAGTCATCAAGATTTGGTGGTCCCTTTTCGTTTCCCTAATTCAAGCCCCTTCATCAACCACTCATCATACAAAAGCCCCAGAGCTGTCGGTCGGTCAGAAGGATTCCATTGCAAAGCCCGTCGAATCCACCGCAGAAACCCATCTTTGTCTTCGCCCCTGATATCGATAGCCAAAGATTCTAAGGTAGTATCAGGAACCGGGGCTAATCCTTTCCAGGTGCCGGTGTTTTCCCAGAAAACAGAACTGAGATGACTTCGTTCATGGAACTCAGGCGGTGGGTCCTAAGAGTGCAACCAATTCTCCAAGGTGGACGCGATCATCGAATATGCCATCTGAACTTCTGCCTCTGATGAGTGTGGATAAGCTCACAATGTCCCACGCCTTTTGGATACAAATTAGCATACTTTTAGTTTCCAGCAAAGTAAATAAAAACCGATTGCGTGTGATGGACTTACAACCATAGCGACACTCCAGATATCAACTTTATAGTCCCAGTTTGCTCTTAGAATCACTTCAGGCGCCTCGTAAGGATCTGGCATAATGTCTTCGTTATGCTCCTCATCGCCAAGTCGAGCTTCGCCAAAATCACTGAGAAGTGGCAGTCCGTCTCCAGGAGGGAAGCGGGACGATTTGTAAATAGTACGGTCTTGAAGCACCTTTCGGGCTGTTGGCATTCTTAGCTCCTCTTCCTCAAATTCGAAAAGCGCCTTTGGCTTAGGCGTGGGAAGAAGCAAGTTCTTCAGTTGAAGATCTGGACAAGTTAGCCTTTCGATATCGCTAGGTATGAAGGCATAGTACCCGTGTGAATCACACCAGCCACAGAATGTAAGAAATCCAACGCAATCAGTAACTGTCGGATGCACACTTTCATATCCTCAAGAGTTATTGTATCTCGAGGAATCCATTCCAACAGCTCACTTGCACTTATTTCTAAGGGTTCGTGAACAAGACAGATATGTTGCCCATGGCGACCCGTGATAATGAAATGATCGAGTAACTTTCGGATGAGACTTTTACCTGGATGTTTGAACTCTGCTGAGTTCATATGACGATAGATATTCAGTTCATGGTCTCTTTTCTCACCTGTCACGTATATTTTCAAAGCAACATAGCTGGAATTTCTGTAGTACATTATAAATGAAAGCTCCACCCAGAAAGTAGATGATGAATGTACTTACACCAAATCACGACCAAACCATACAGTGGAAGTGACTCCATAGCCTATCTTGGCTAAAACCTGATATCGGTTGTTGAAAATTTCCCCCTGTTGGATGGGATAATATTTCTGGGCCTGATATGTTGGTAATGTCTCTTCTTCCATACGTAAGGATGAATCGAGTAATTTGAATCCAGAAGATGGAAAGTTCCGTGGCATCGATGTCCACTAAGGGGAGACCAAAGCTCTTTGTTGTGGGTACCATCCTGGGCATTTGGACATGTAGAAATATAACGGGCTGTAGGACGTAGAGAGCAATGGTCGCTTTGAAGTCAGCCAGATTAGAGAAGCAAGAGGATTGCGCTGGTATCTCGAAGACCGGTACATTAGGACCCTCAATTCAAAAGAAAGGAACTGAGAATAGCAAAGGTGCAGCTGAAAAGGAATGAGAAATGACTATGGTATTAATCACTCTCCCGAAGAAGCTGGAGGTATACAGTCCCTAGGTGAGATCGTGGAAACCTCTTAGGCAAAATTTCACCATTATTTATCTGCATTTTGTGGAGTGTGCTGAATTTAAAGGAAGTTCACCTCCTTAGTCCCACTAATAAATCTACCTGATGTACGGGGTATTCCTGTACATACTACCTCCCGACTACGGATACAATGTGACATACAGAACATTTATTGTTATAGTCTCCCAACATCCACAATCGAATTCCTTTCTCAAACACGGATGGAAGAAGCACTATGCCTAGCTGTTAATAAACCCTGCAATGCCAGCCCGTGCAATAATTTCCGCAAACCCACCCTCTCTCCCTTCACGAGAAGCGAGGAATTTCCACGTCTTGTCCTGGTGGATATGGATTGTACCAATATGAGTTCCTGCATTAGTCTTCAGTCCCACTGTGACAACAAGGCTTTGATCTTCTCTATCGTTAGAAGAAAAGTGAGCCTTGGAGGCTCTACGCGATGATATTAGATGACTGGTTCAATTGAAGTACGGTGATGCCTACTGTATTTCTGCCGTAGTGATCTCTGGAACCTAGAAAAATCAGCGCCAACTATTCTTGGCTTGTGATCAAATCATCTTACAGATTTCCCAATTGAATTGCACACAGAATTCGTTGTATCGATCCATACAGGGCCATCTATGGTGCCATTGGTGATTACCATCTCTTCGAGAGGAGCTCCAGTGAATTGCATCAAAGAAGCAGAGGCCTTGTGGAGGCCCCTCGCAAAGTTCCGACTCATAATGATAGTAAAAATTATAGTCTTAATCTTGTAAGTGCCGGGTGTAGGGAATAGAGGACTCCGTAACCCTTTATGGCCTTGATGTCCTCTGTATTCTCCGGAATATACCTGCCAAATGGTAATCCTTTCCGCTCTCTCCCTTAACACGAAGCAGGAATCTACCGGTCTACTCTCATAGCTTTATCTGTCCACCTGGCTGAGATGGTGCCCTTTCGGCTCTGAGGTATCTCAACGTAGTCGAACATGTTGAATGTAGTCTGGAATTGAGATATATTGTTAATGAACCTACTCAGGGAGTATATCATTCCTGAGGATTTGGCTTCAGTATCTGTGCATTACTACTAATTAGAAGGGCCACGCTACCTGCGGAACAGCAGATGTTCTGGTTATGTTCTGCTAGCTTTCTGACCAAATGGGCCTATAATACAAAACATTATTGATCTTTCCGCAGCGACCCCGGACGCATGAGTTTCCAGTATTGAGAGGCAACGGTCGACGGATGATTCCTCTTTAGTACCATGAGTAGTGAGTGGAGGGAGGGAGGAGTTGCATTAAAAGTTTGTTACTCTGTGGGCTTGATGTGCAATCGACTATTCAATACTTGAGAAATCTCCATGTCAGAACACGTCCCCATCGAAGAAGATGTCACATTTTAATGAATCGAAATCTAAGAAGGTAGCATCACAGACCCCTGAACCAATCTTTCTCCGACCATCTCCTGCACAAATAAATCATGGAATTGTTCCATTAAACCAGAAGGCTCATCAAATCAAGCATATATACTTCTGGTCCCACACTCGAGGGGTAGAGGCTATACCGACGCAGAGCTGTCAAAGATCAGCCTGCTCTCCCCGCCGTGGAATCAGGTCCGAAAACCCGCTGTATATGTATGGCTCTAGCGGCTCGCTGAGATATGGGTTTCTTAAGAGCACAGACAGCTTGGAATAGGCGCCAGTTCCTTGATGTCAGCTAGCCTTGTTACGCCTTTGGTAAATACGAAGTTCAACGTATAATCCTGGTATCTGTACCTCTGTCTATAGTCCTAGTATATTCATCCTGTACACATAGCTCGTCTCCGAACGCTGATTCTAGCTTCCTCATGGGTCAAACCAACCCATCAAACAGAGTTAGAGTTATCAGCACACGAAAAAGCAGCAGACCCTCCACTCTCAGCATAAGATGCCATGATGTATTTAACGGACCCATAAGTTCCCGCCACCATCATGAATGAGCCGATGAGTATCATCAACACGCTCCACACCACTTGGGACATCCACCTTTTCGATAACCGCGCTGCATCCTTCCCCTTCCTCCAATTATCGTACAGCCACATGGCACCCATCGGTTGAATGCAAATAAGCGGACCAAGTAAAGCACCGATGAGAGAAACCAAGGCATCGAAGACGGGTATTGTGCTGGCAATGATCCACGCGATCGCGACTATTCCGAAGGTACAGCTCAGCCACGTTATCCAGTGCGTGGGCGAGTTGCTGGTGAGGTGGCGCGAGCCGCGGAGGATATTGACGAAGATGAATTTTGCGGGGACCTTTAGTGTTTTAGCAAGAGGTATGGTTGGCATGTTGGGACCTATGTCGCAATTGGGCTGCTTGTGGCTTACATGTGCAATTATTGTCAGTGTGGCTAGGAGCCCGGGTAGTGCAAATGCATAGCTGATGATCTTTACAACTCCACCGGCTGAACCAAGTGCCGGTGAAGAAACGTAGGTACCGCAGTAGTAGTAAACAACTCCGCCGATTACAGAATATACGGCGAGGACTCCAGTCTGGCTTATGACCACCGCTTTGGTGTATTGGTGGGGATCGCGCATTTCGCAGACGATGGAGAAAAACCCTGGAATTGGACGGTATTAGTGTGAGGTAGCATACCTGGAAGGAACAACCAGACGGGTTTAGCTCACCCGGGATTCCTGTAAAAGAGAATAGTAGGTTCGATACTGCTGCAATTCCATCCGCAAAACTGGGATGGCCGACGGCCACCCAGTCGGAAACCCAGGGACCGTCCGTTTTGGGCGCGTCAGCGGGGCGGTCCTCTATACCGACTGCGACAGTAACAATAATCACTATGAAAAGTCAGTGTATCGTGCATAAGACGTGTCAGTGGGGAAAGTACCGGCAGTTAGGATACATGGTAGGCCCACCCATGCAACGGTGGTGATGCGACCTAACGTTCGGATACTACAGAAGCAGAAACCGACGATGGCTGCAACGGCGGTGAAGACGGCAGTGCATGTTGCATGGGTAGACACAGCGTTCAAACCAATGGAAAGACCGAGAATTGCAGAGCCGCTGGTGAAAATGTAATCTGCATATAGTTAGTAACTACTATTGGCGTTATATTACTTCCGACTATTTGATGGGGTCATCACGTACAAAGGCAAAACGCGGCTGAAAGGGCCCACCGGCCCAACGGGCCAAACATGAGGGCACCGGCATCGTCAATGCTGTACACCTCGCGGTGGTTGATCTTGAAGGTGCCAACAATAAAGCCAGACCAAGTAGTGATACAGTAGATTATAAACAGACAAATAATGCCCGGGACCATGCCCAGAACATCTAGAGCGGATGGGATGGCGAGGACGCCCAAACCAATCTGCGTCTTCATCATGAGGATAACGGTTCCTATGAAACCGACCTAGTGGAATCAATTAGCTTCTGTGACTCTGTTTAATGAGAACTGTTTGTATAAACATTGCGAAAGTTGGGACCGTGCTCCGAGATCTCTCCGAACACATCGTCATGGACGTATTCGGGTTGCTGCGGAACGTCCTCAATGTCTTTTTTGTCGACGTCCATGTCGAAAAGGGGTTGCCGAATATTTCCTGGAGAGAAGAAGGAAGATTCCAGCGCAGTGAGAAGGCCATGGCGACCCCTTTATAACAGTTGTTGGGAACCAGCGTAGCCAATGACGTCGGGGCCAATACAGAGGCACAGAACACGATTCATGCATCTCGGATCCCCCGCATTTTCAGTCAAAGTGCGGCAGCTGAATGCGGTCTTGATCAACAAGCTTAACCTTTCCCAATACCGCATATTGTGGGTCGTACCCCCGCAGATAAGCCGACGTTGGCGTTGACAGAAAAGCACCCTCGCAAAAAAACCCCAAGATTCCTATGATCGGGTGCCAACCCGAGATTTGCCGAGTGTCCTCCTGCTGCTTCGCTTATCGGTTAAGATAAACTGCGATAGAAAGAGGGATTAATCGAGAAGTAAGACTGAAGATCAGACTCAATCACGGTCAAACTCAGTATGGCTGATATAGCTAGTAAGTGAGCTAGCCAACCTGCACAGTGGTCGGAAAGCCATGGTAACCAATACGAAACTGCCCAAAGGATCATGGCATGGACGGGAAGAGAATGGATCTATTTACTACAATGCTAATTCGCTGGCTGACCAAACCAGGCAACTATAATATACTGCCACAAACTGTAGGCACCTATGCAATCTTTTGAGTCTGCGTCGAAATTGTTTCGACGAAGAACATCCGATTCTTGACAAAGTGTTTCATCTCAGGAGTTTTGTATGGCCTCTTGGCTAACAAGCTCCCCCTCTTCTTTTTTGATGAATAGAACGTCCCTCCACAATTTATAATCGGTACACCGTGTATTGAGTGTAGAGCTCAATCATGTCACTGATACCGCGCACTCCGACGAGGAGTCTCTCTGCCACTTCTGTCGGAAACAAGTGACCATGCTGACGCGCTCGCGGCCATCAAGCGCCTCGAGTGCCCGGCGCTCAGTGCATCTACCCTGCATGACCGCAGTGGTTCTCTATAATCCGAGGAAATCGTGCCATTACTGTAAATCTGCATACATGGGGTGATAAACATACTATAGCTGGCCCACGAAATTCCATAGCCTCCCACTAGACGTCCTGAGCGCCGTCTCTCTACTGGCCATGTCAGTGCAATCTGAAATTAATATCACATACACAAACGGAAAATTGTTATAATGCCACGCGATGACCGGGAGCTCATTGTCCGGGGAAGCAATATTGACAATCTCATATGTTCGCCTTCTCGTTCCGAATGTTGTCGATCTTGGCAATCAAAGTCGCCCATTGACGAAATGAGGTCAATTTCCAGCAACCTCGAACGTCCTGTCGAGGACTTCCAGAAGTTTCCAAGCATCTAATGTGAAAGGGACACGAGTATGCCTATTAAAACTGGAGCTTTTAATTGAAGATCTGCTCCCTAATTTTCACCATCGCTGTTTCGGGAAACAGAGGGAATGGATCTGTGGCCGCGTGGAGTGGCATGCCGTGTCCCTCCAGCCCAATTTGCTCCATCGTATAGATGAACCTTGGGGTTAGTTGTTCAGTTGCCTTGCTAGGTCGAATGATTCCCACTTGGCGATCTTTGCTCCGAGGATTAGTGACCATGGCAGGTCGTAAGAGGGCCTTGTGGCCTTATTGGTTGCGGTTTCAATAATAGTGGGTAGTTTAACCTGGATGAAGATTGCTTGAGGGGCCATTTTGGATAATGGATCATGTAATGTTGTCACCAACTTCAATGATGAACATGCCGTTGCTGGATACCTGTAGATATGTTTATATGACTCGGATTCATGCTTGGGACGCCAATGATGGCGCGTGATATCTCGTGGTGGTCAATTGCTTGCATGGTAATGTTCCTACACTATCGGCTCTTCCGAGACCTGCAATTGACCATCAGAAATGAAACAAGCCGTGATCTTGCAAGACAGGCAGTATGAAGAAGTCTTATTTGGTTTTTGGTGAACCCGATCCCTGGCATCAATGGTCGCTGCTCTCGGCAGCACCCGCGGCAGCACCCTCGGATGAAGGTGGGGGTCTCGGCTTCTATCCGATGCTTATCATAGAACGTAGGGAATCGATCGTCTCGGAATCGGATGTGAGTATCTATCATAGTAGCCGGAGACAGCGAGTAAAGAATGACCGCAACTGCTTTATTCCGAGACGCTTCTATGGAGGCAGGTTGGTAGAAAAACGATGCATGAATTACGAGTTTGTTTATATGGCCCCGATGCCCTACCAAGGTAATACTCGATCAATCATCCAATCCTCACCATTCTTCTTATCTCTAAATCACTCCTCACCATGTCTTCTATCAACCTTAACGACGTCGCATCTGCCCTCCGCGCAGCCCTAGCTGAAGGAAAACCCATCGACCCACCAACCAAGACCTGGCCCAGCCTCACCCCAGACGATGGCTTCAGGATCCAAGAAATAAACTCCAAGCACAACGTTGCCAACGGCGACCGTCTAGTCGGATACAAGCTCGGCAACATCGCAAAAGTGATGCAGACCGCATTTGGTCTTGACCACCCCGACTATGGGTTCCTGCATGCAAAGTCCTTCATCTACGAAGGCACGCCTATCCACCTCGATAAATTCATCAAGCCGTTCGTCGAACTCGAGCCTGCTTTCGTTCTGAAGGGGCCCCTGAAAGGTCCTAATATCACCGTGGCGGATGTGATCAATGCCATTGACTATGCTATTCCTGCTATTGAGATTATCGATTCCCGTGTCACAAACTGGGCGATTGACCTGCCGGATACGCTTGCGGATAATGGGTCAACTGGGGCTATTATATTGGGTGGGACGCCGCGCAAGCTTACCGATCTTACACTTAATGATACCCGCGGTGTCCTGAAGCATAATTGCAAGGAGCTGATGACGGGAAATACGAAGAATGTTCTTGGGAATCCGATCTCGGCTGTGGCGTGGTTAGTGAATCGGTTGGCGGAATATGATATCGAGTTTCAGGCTGGACAGGTTATTATGCCCGGGAGTTGTCTAGAGGCTATTCCTATGGAAATTGGTCAGTGGACTTGTACGTTTGAGGGATGGGGGACTATTGAATTTGATGTTGTGTAGATCGTCACTAGGTCTAATAGATATATCACATTGTTTTCTTGTGGAATGAAAACTTCTACAATCCAATGAATGTAAAGACTTATTATGGGGTCTAATAAATGGCTTCAGTGATCATTGTGTACTGCTGGTAAAAGATATATTTCCCGTAAGATTCAAGATCCCCTTATACCTCCATCTCGACTACTCGTAGACTGCATCATCGAATCGTATATACTACCTAAGTCATGAACCCTACGACCAATATGTCGCATACTCACTTCCCCCCTTCACTACCTTGATAAACTCCTCCGCAATAATCTCATCCGTCCTCTGCGACGGATGCAACTGATCATACCACAGAAACGAATCCGGACTCGACAGCGTCTCACACTCCGATCCCGCCACATTACAATGATGGATATAACCCGTAACATTCGCCGGCGCAGATCCATTAAGATACTGCTGCGGATGATAATATATATCCGAGATCTGCGCAGATCAGCAACCTTTATACGTCAACCTCCCAAGGAAAGACCTGAACTCACCAACGAATACATATCCATAACCGCCACCTTCGCCCCAGGATACCTCTTCCCAACAACCCACTCAAATGGCGTCCGATAATCATAAACCTGATTAACGGTACTCACCTGCTCCCACATGCGATAACTAATCTCGGTGAAATTCCCCGACTTATCAGGCCAGTAATTATTCGCCCCGATGCCCCCATTCTCCGGCGTCGCATACAGCGGTGCTAACTGCAACGGCACCATGTTCATAATAACAAAGTACTTTCCCTTCGCGGCTTTGTACACGCCATCGAGGGCATTGAACACACAGTCAATGTAATCCGGAATCGTGTTGTTCGCGACCTGCGAATCAGTCAGGAACGCGTAGTTCCCCAGATCGTTCGTCCCAATCCAGATGGAGTAGATTGTGCTGTCTGGATCGTTTTGGAGGAATTTCTCTCCAGTGCTAGGAATGTGGTAGGCGTTGTCGGCTGTGAAGGCTGGGACTTCGTATTCCAGGACAGAGGGGTAAAGTCCGAAGGAGGTCGCTCGGGGGGTTATTTTGTTCGAGCAGGAGGCGCCACTGACGGCGTAGTTGTACCGGTGGGATAGGTGGGCGTATTGGTGCACGAAGTGACCCCAGATGTAGCCGCCGGAGGCGGATTCGTTTGTCTGGTGGTTTTTGTTAGCGGTGTATATATATATGATGTGGGTGTTTCTGTGTATTTGGAGGTAGGGATAGTTTATATGATATCTGGGGAACATACAATGGGCTCGACCCATCCCACTGGCGGCGCGGACCCATTATGGTTGATGAAGTAGCTGATTCGCGTATCGTCCGTATAGCTATCACCAAAGGTGACCAAGGTTTTGAAATCCTGAATGCTCCATTTTTGGGTGGACTCGGCGAGTGCCGCTTCCAACCCTAGGAGAATCACGCTTAGGAAGCGTGGCAGGCGCATTGTGCACTGTCGGTAAGGCGTATGCGAAGAGAAAGTAACGGGGATGTTCACCCCTCTTTATTACAAACATTGAGCACGAATTCGGCCTATGATCGATCGCATTGATGTGCTCTGTTTTTATCCGGATGCGGAGGTGCGGGTAAACTCCGCTCACCGTAACACGACGCTATTCGCGGAAGATCTGCGTCGGGGTGGCCAATGCAGGTGTTTATCCGGGTTGTTTGCTGCAGATTTGGGGTAGTTGGGTGGCTTGGCGAAGCTGGGGGGCAGCGAGGGGTTTCTTAAATTTGATTAGCTGTTTTAGATCATTTGATGGTTGGCTGGGGTGGTGTGGTCTCCGAGGGAATACAGTTAGAAGTAGGCTGTCTAGACGCATGAGTTTATATGAGAGCGTCAATACCTCTGAGCTATCACCATGCACTTATTGGACGTGTTGATAGACTTCGAATCAATATTCCTATGGGCTACGCTAGTTTAAAGGAAAAAGCACGATCAGTATCCTGAACACACCGCAGTCGGAGTGTCCGAGTGCAACTTTCAATCGAAATAAGTAGCCTGAACCTCCCCATAAGATTGGCCATTAAACTCCAGCTCGAATTTAATTGAGGCGGACCCCGGGGTCATAATCATGACATGACTAATAGTGTAGTACTCCGTGCCTTTGCTGTTCGTGTGTTTTGTGAAGTATCGAGTTGGTACACTGCTTAAATCAGTTGTCAAGGTACACAACTGGTAGACACCTGCATACTAATTAGCTGATGTACCTCAGTGGAACATGAAATAGTCAGTTGCCTACTACTATCGCTACGTTCTGGCGCTTCATTGTGAAGGCATATTTTTAGTCTGCTAAAAACACTGGGCGTTCTGCCAACAGCAACGGTGGTGTCAAAACCCATCCTAATGGGTTTTCCTTCGTGAATCTCGTCGCCCTACAAAGTAATGAGCAACAGTTGCATGGTTCGCTGGAGATCATCGACTGAGTACTTGCCTTGTGGATATACCACTTCATCATGTCGCGAATATACCACCTTTCCTTCAAGTCATCCCAGAATCTCTTTGCGTCTGGAAACTTAGCCATTGTGTCGGGATTATGTGTTTCATGCCAAATGCCATAGTGGCATCGAGCAATTCGGTTCGTAACCTGGTTGCCTCCCAAACCATATCGAACCGCACCACTGGATTAAGGTAAGCAGGCTGCGCCAATACCCTTTCTACCTTTAGAGACTCACAGCATCACAGCAGACCACCTAATGCTTGTTAGCCTGGGCAGCATAAAAGACATTCCTTAACTTCTTACGAGTTTGGTGGCTGCATCACAGCAATGTCACTGAATGTCTCCTGAATACAGTGATAGAGGTACTCGGATGACCCGAATCCTCCCACCAAAAGGATTGCCTACCGGTAATAATCAGCCACGCTCGTAAATCAACTGATGTACTCACCTTCACTGGCATATTTTTCGCTCTAGCACTATTAACCTGGTGAACTATCTGCACCTTGACTCGGTCAACAACCGGATCGAAGATCTTCTTAATCTGAGCACTATAGTTCTAGAGTTTAGCTTCGAGGCGCGCAGGGATGCATCGATGATGCAGATTTACTCACCCCTCCAGCTGAAGAAACCCATCTTGTAGACCTATCTTGGGGTTGTCCTTCAATCCAGGCAGAGGTACAAAATGGGTCTCCTCCTCAAAGTCCGGGTCACTCGCAAAATTGGGCTTAATTTGATCTTGCCAGTACTTCAACGCCAATTCGGAGGATTTTCCACTTAGGTGCTTATCGTTCACCAGGACATTGAGAAAAGTCTTGAATGCGGCATCGAGCAGAACCGATCCACAGATGTCACCTGTTTCATTTGTCAGCCGATTTACATAGCGTCTTAGCTGGACGCATAGCATACCGCTGCCCTCGGATACCTCCTCCAAGCGCAATGGAGACACCGTCTTCACGCAGTATGAGATGAGATCCTGTCGTGTTCAGTCATGATAATTGCCAAATAGACACCCATGTGTGGATAGGCTTAGTTACCACAGTACCACCACCGGCATCGCATACTACGACAACATCGTTGTTCTGCATTGGACGTCAAAAAGGAGCTCTTCTTATTGCGTACTCCAACTTACCTCGATGGAGTTAGGTTGAATTGCATTGAGGCAGTACAAAGCTGCCGCCTCTGGCTCAGATACCAAAGTAATATCCTTCTGAGGGATTTTGGCCCTTGAAGCAGCTTTCAAGGTCGCATCCTTTGCCTTATCAGACCAAATGGCCGGCACCGTTAGGACATACTTCATCTCCATCTGTTCGGCTGCTGGGCCAAAGCGCCTCTGGAGAATCTTCTTGGTGTGGTCAACCAGTCCTGTTAGATACATGCCTGTCAAAGTAACCGCAGGTATGCGCGACCTTTTGAGCAGTCCCGCATCTATCAAAGATGCTACGTATCCTGAATTCTGGGGCTCATCTAATAATAGCTTCATGCCCCGGATATTATCTCCAACAAGGTAGTTGGTTTGGTAACCCCAATGGACACGCCCACCGCATTTGATCGCCATGGTGCTAGGGACTTTAGGTGTTGTCCCTGTTGCTAATTATCAGCAGATTGTTTTAAAAACGTATCAAAAGACGCCACAAACGGTTCCCAGCTCCAGGCCACGACATTATGACTTCTGGCTTATCTGGACAATCTCTCAAAGCCCAGGCGACACTGACAAATATTAGTTCCCCGATCACGATTGGGTAATTCATTATCTCTTACCCACTATAAGTGGTGCCGAAGTCAAGTCCAATAACGATACGAGGATTCGACATATTCGAGACACTGTAGTATATTATCGTACAGATACGAAAAAGAAAATGTGGAAATGAAAGGAGGGGTGGCAGAGCGGATTTAAGGAGCCGAAGAGAGATGGATTCTGTCATTACCATGCATCACTTCCGTCCCCATAGTCACGATGACGATTAGCCAGAAGTGATGAAGTCAACGTTGGCAAAGACCTTGGAGGATGAGTTCAGCATTTTACACAACGGCAATTACCACCATGGAGCAGTTCATCGACATCGTTTCCCAGTACTTTCCAATGCTTGATGTCCTTCGCAACATGGAAAGGCCCCGAAGACTTGCTACGAACGGCGATATGTCGCCTCCAAGATTGTCACCTGTTGAACATCTTCTTCGCGTGAGTCGATTTCACAGTTGACGATTCAGTAATGACATCCCCATGCTCACATTCCCAGAACAACCCCGAACTATACAGAGGGTTAGAAAAGGCTGCACTGGCAACGGGTCACGTAGAAGAGGGCCTTCGGCGTCAACTACACCATGCGCAGCAGTTTAAGGAGTCGATGAGATTAGAGCTGGCTAGAAAGAAATCAGACATCCGATCACTCACGCAGCAGATACAAGCACTAAATTTCCAGCCAAACATTCTCTCTGACGACGATATCGCACAATATATGAGACGGCTCCTACAGCGACTGAGGAACTGGACCAATACCTACTTTCGCGACTTGGATCAGCTGAACAAACTCAGACAGGATCTCGAGCGCAGTGGAGCAATGTTTGTACCTCGAGGCCCACATGAGATTCGAGCGTTTATCGCCTCTGTCGTCAGCCAAATTCTGTTTCAGCGCATATTCAGTTCATACTTACTAGGAATACCCAATGAAGAATCGCCAAGGTTCGTGTCTATTGCAGAGACACTACGGCAGAATTGTATGACTTCCGGTCTATTGTAGGTCAAAGTGAGACTGACCGGAACCCTAGGCCCCGGGAATGTTGAACATCACTGGCGCACGGCCACAAGCATAGCTGCGGAGAAGCTTGGAGATGAGCAAAGCGACATCAATATGGTGGTATCTCAAGTGGAGATAATGCTGTCGCAGTACTATTCCGTTGAACCGCCCACCGTGGCCAGACGCTTGCGTGCCCTTGTGCAGGAGTGTATGCAGTTCAAGCGCGATCTAGATCGTCAACCGAGCCGCTATCATTTCTTTCGCAGTGCCTTGGGAGATAACTTTGCCCCGGATCATATGCAGCAGGCTATACCTTTCCAGGAGGTTGCAGGTCGTGTTAAATGCACGCTGTGGCCCGGCTTGTACAAAGAGTCAACGAGCGGGGCTCTCGTTGTAGTACCAGAGACGGTCCTGGCTACGAAAGATGCAGAAGATCAGAGACCAACCTATATAGAGGCGTCAAAAACTCTGGTTCCAGGTTTGCAGGACGTGTCAGACCACCTATCGGACAGTGGGGAGAGCCTCGATAATGAAGGTGTTTCCTGCAGGGATTTGGCCTTTGACATTGAACTCGGAGGAGATACTGTGTGAATGCAGGCTTCATTCCCTAATAATTCAAACAGGCTAATTTCATTTATTCTTGATGATCATAGGCTATTTGTCGGATATTAGAGTCAGTCTCCGTCAATTTCCAGACATATTTAGTAGATAAACCCCCAGTGGGCTGCTGATGCCTTGCTGCCTGGGTGCCTGGTCAGGATTTGCCCCACCCGCAAAACATGTTCGATTTCCCCTGCAAGGTGCTTGCTTCTCCCTGTAGTCAACACGGGCCCTAGGGTAGATACCCACCAACAATGACCTGCTTAGGTTTATGTTGGGACACCTCCATGCATGGCCCGAAAATCATGGGAAGCGGTGTATATCATCCTCATCTATTACTCCGTACTCCGTGCTGGATGATTAATAAGTAACCCCGGCTTCGGTTTCGGAATTGCTAGCCGCGGACTCCGATTGGGGTGCCAGCTAAGGGCTGACACCCATCCCTCAATCCTTATCAGCAGCGCTCCATCGCAATGTCTTCTCTGCCTCATTCCCAACTGGTCTGCAGTTGTACGACGGCACCATGACTTTCTCCGACTCCAAGGGAGGCGCATGGGGCCAGAAATGGCGGTCATCGCCCCTTTTCATTGTCAGCGCCATGGCCATGGCCTTGTTCACTGGTAACACCTCAATCGACTGCGTTTATCCTACTGTGAGGAATTCTGCTTACAATATCTGTCGCCTTATCTAGACACCTTTCTCTACGCCTTCCTCGTTCCCATCCTTCCCTACGTTCTCGAAAACCGCCTCGGATTAGACGTATCCCTCACCCAGCGCGTGAGTTTCGCTTTGCTGTCAGAAACCGCCATCGCTGCTCTCGTTACAAGCCCTTTCATTGGCCACTATGCCGATCGCATGTCCTCCAAGCGAATCTTGCTCGTTGGGTCGCTGTTAGCTGCGTTGTTTGGGTCCATAGTCCTGGCCTTGGCGACATCAAGTAGGTCTCTATGTCGCATATCTCTGAATGTTGGCATACTGACAACCATGCACAGCATTTACCCTCTTCGCGGGACGTCTCATTCAGGCAATTGCCAGCTCCTTCATCTGGGTGGTCGGATACGCCACGATCGCGGACAATGTGCAACCAGAAAATCTGGGCAAGACATACGGGGTTATTTCTCTGGTCGTAGCTGCAGGCACCTCAGGAGGTCCGATGGTTGCGGGCATTCTCTTCGAACTAGGTGGATACTGGGTAGCGTGGTCTAGTGCCTTCATTATCCTTATCCTCGACATCATTCTTCGTCTGCTCATGCTAGAAAAGCCGGACGTCCAAGGCGATGCGGACTATTCTAGCAATGCGAGTGTCGCATCGGATCCGGAACGCGCTCCTCTCCTGAGCAGTAATCCTGGCTTAGAGGCCGACATGGCGGGCTGGAAATTCTATGTATATATCTTGCGGTATCCCCGCTTCGTCTGCGGCGTGCTCAGCTATCTTTCCTTTGCGGTTCTGGTCTCCAGCTTCGACACCACCCTTCCTCTTCATGTTCGCGATGTCTTCAGCTGGGGTAGTTTTCCTGCAGGCATGATGTTCTTCGCTCTGCAAGGTCCCGGGATCCTTCTTAGCCCCATCTGTGGCTGGCTGAAAGATCGGGTCGGGACCCGATGGCCTACCACGGTCGGCTTTTTGCTTCTCGCGCCCGTGATGTGGGTGATCGGCATGCCCGGTGACGAGCGATTCCCATGGGCCAACGAGGGTGACCGCGGAAAAGTTATCTACGCTGTCGGTGTTACTGTGGTGGGATCAGTGTCCTGTCTGCTGAACGGGGCCGGAACCATCGAGGCTACGGGTAAGCATAACTTCAGCAGTACCAAAAAGATAACACTACGAACACAACCTAACGCAAGTACAGTCACAATTGACGAAGTCGAAGCCAAGCACCCCGGCATCTTTGGCCCCAACGGAGGCTACTCCCGTGCTCTGTCAGTAGCCAGTATGGGGTGGACGCTCGGAGCATTCATCGGACCCATCATCTCCGGCTACATCGCCGAACAAGTCGGCTACTACGAGATGAGCTGCGTTATCGGTTTGTTCCCTACCACTCTCAATTTTGTGACAACGCTAACGACATTAGCAATTGTGTGCCTTCTCTCCGGCGTCAACACCTTCTTCAACCTAGACTCGAAAGTCCATTTCGACCGTGTGGCGGAATCCACCTAGACTACTAGACTTATTTTCCGACGCGACCGTCGCGCAGACTCGTATATACCCGGCCGAGATAAACTCCCCGGTTGACCTACATGAAACGGTCTATTGACGATACATCCAAAAGTGTTTCTCCTTGCATATACGAAAAGTTCATGCATCTTGCATTTAGCGTTTCAAAGATATGATAGCATAAGAGAGATCCAGATTCAGAGTCATCATTACATTACATGTGAAGCCGCGCATCCGTGCGTCAATGTCCTATCATTCGTTCATTATCTAGCCCTGTCTAATATATGAGTTGCCTAGACCCTACACTTTAGCACGCCAGATACGAGACACGCTATCCGTGCGCAGCACCTATCTACTTTTTCTTGTATACCCCTAATATCCAAGATACGCATAGGCCTCTCCCCGCCTCAACGGTATAGTTGAAACCCTTATCGGTGCAAACTCGATCGTACAGGTCCAACATGACACAGCGCGACTCAATCATAGGTCCAATCTAGTACTAGTAGGGGACCGTATGTACGCTCGGACCCAAAATTCAGTTGGCCCTCTCGCCTTATCTCCATGTGTTGGGGAAACATACACCTCATATTCAATATATTTGACATGATGGGGATACGTCAACTGTAGGAGGTGGTCTAGGTTGGTCTGTTGGTTTATGTGCGGGGTTAAGAGCAATTGTGATGAGATGGCTTGCGGTATTCCGTACGTTATCATGCTTTGCTTGGGAGACTTTGGGTCTGGGTCTGGGTTGGGTCTGTTGAGAATCCCGTGAACGGCGTAGTGATTAGGAAGTTGTTGAATGTAGAAGATATTATGTGTCATGCTGTTGTTGGAGACCTTACTACTACCTGTAGATTCATCATGATGCACGGAATAGCAACTCCGAAATACAGATCTAGACCTATCTTTCTACGTAGTAGTATCACGAAGCGAAACAGCCTGGCCAGCGACGATCACCCACGAACAATAATGGGCTACTCATATAGGGAAATACCCTCCGCCATGCGGCATTTACCACAGATCGAGATCCCCAATCCTATCTGCATCTGCATGGAACTAAGGTTGATGATGATGAGTACACCCAGTTCATATTGGATAATGATAATAATCGATTCACGCATGGGTATGTCAAGCCACGTCCTCAGGATGAACTAGGCATGCCGATCTCGCGATAGAGTTTGATGACAGTTACCGGGGTGGGGATATAATCGCTCTCTTGTCCTGTCTCTGCAACCGTTGGACCTATAGAAAGTAGCTGTACTAGGCACTAAACTCATCACGAGACGGTTATTTGCGTACGTGTGACAACGACTCTGCCCCCGCTCGCCAAGAGTGGCAGGGGTTTTGGACTTGCAGATCGTCAGTGTCGGATATCGGGTGCGAGGTTTTGCTCATCTTTGGCTATCGGGGCGGATGCAATTTCCGGGTATGATCATGGGCTCCTGCTTCCCACTTTGAAGCGAACGGGTGTTTGATGCGGTGCGATATCATAGTTGCCTGGTATCGATTTGAAGGCTGTGATTGACGGACCTGTATCCCGAGGGAGGTGGTTGTGTTGTAGTGGACGCATTCTCGTATAATGTCTCTGTCAGTCTGTCTAGGCTATGTTTCTATTCCAGGGGTGATGGAGACGCCGGATAGCGGAAAAGGAGGGGGTAAGAGGGGCTTCGCGTGGCCGTTCCGGCAATTCCTCCGGAACGGCTGCAGCAGATGAGGAGTTGACATCCCCTGTTGCGACTCATGATTCGAGGATGCGTTTGTCTGCATAAGGCTGAGTAGTCGTCATGGACGGAGTTGCTTCTGGATTGAAACGATCCGGTGCGTACTAGTCATGGGAAGCTGAAATTCAGAAACAACGGCAGTTCATGGTGTCGGAAAAACAAAGAGAAAAAAAATGTTGACTAGCTTAGTTATCGACTAGGTAGAGAATAGTAGCTATGGATCGTCAGGAACACACACCGTTCTCGGAGGGCGTTGCTGGTGGTGGTCGACCCTGAGTGGTGGAAACCCGAGTTGACGCTAGAAAATTCAGATCTGACAGGTCAAGCGAAACCGGTTTTGAGTCACGCATGGTTTCTGTCTCTGTGCATGACAGGTGCATGAACATTGACATCCGTGAGGGCAGACAATGGATATGTGGTTCCCCTAGTGACTGTCTATACGAGGCAACAGGCTGCCTTCAATTCGCCTAACAGAATTGCCATTCCCTTCTCAGTCTGTTTCCTTACCAAGTAGTCGATCCGAGACCATTGAGGCTGCGTCACGCAGCTCACGGACGAGCCCAAACGAAGTGGAGACTGGAGAGGACAATAGCGCGAGGACTGCATCGAATTTGGTTGGATGGAGAAGTACCGTCGATGGAACCCGGCGGCCGCAAAGACTCCCATAGTTCTCCGTATTATCCCCCTATCGAAGATTCCAAGTCGCGGGAAGAGGGGACAACCAAGGGGAGCTGCAAGCGGAGTCTAGACTGTCCTGATCATTTCGGAGGGTCGGGATCGCGACCGAAGGACACTTGGACCATCTGTGTGCGGTTCCTGAATTATTAGTGCCTGGCTTTTGGATCGAATTCCAACCGGAATGCGTAGTGTTAGGCGCACAACTCCTTTAGTGGAACTGATATGGGAGTTGGGATATCAGGATAAGCGCAGATGGCGCTGACAGGGATTGATCCTCATAGTCTTGGGTTAATAAGCTCAATTGCGATCGTAACATGTGATTGAGATACCAAGTCGGTCAATTCAGCGGCAGTAAATTGAACGACAACATTCTTCCGATGGGGTTCTCTACATCATCATGAACAACTTCACCTGTAGTTAGTTAGCCTGAAAAACCTGACTGAAGATGCCAGGATGTATGCAGGAGCAGGTGACCCCCCCTGCCCTCTTCACGCATTAGTGTCTTGGCTACACACAATCACACACCAAACAAGTAGAAATTTTCAGCAGAAGATCTCAGCTCATCCGCATCTTTGTTTCTGCATCACCATGCATAGTTTCCTACCATTCCCGGTCTCTGCGCCGGCATCGCTTGAGAGTTGAGACACGAACATGAACCCCTTCCGGCCGACAAGATCAGTCCTCCATCCTGGCTCATCTCAGTCTTAGCTGCCACACGGACTGACCCACACCTTCCTGTCCCAACCTCGGTAAGCACTTCCTTCCTTCTCATCCAGTCCCTTTGATCTATCAGTCCCCTCAATATAGTACCTACCACTCACCAATGCATCTAATGGACTAACTTGCTCCCAAGAGTGCCGCGCCGGACCGTAACGGTTGTGATGAGATGATCCAGCGTGCCCACCGCGGGCCAGGATACCGTTCAGTCAGTGACAGCTTGGTCCCACCAGCCTATAGCATCCCGAATCGGCCGTGGTCTCGGAGGTCGGGTGGAGCAGCAGACGCTGGCCTGGCGCCGTTGATGCTCGGTCTCTGCCTCGACGGTCGCCAGACGAGGTTTAGTTTGATGAGTGGAGAGCCTGCAGGCAAATCTCTTTTCGTGGTTTTTATTTTTATTTTTTATTCTATTTTTTTTTTCTCGACATGGAAAGTAAAACTTTTTTTGGGTCTTGGTTCCTGCCAACTTTTTTCGCCGCGTCGAGTCTCCATACCACCATGGCAGACCTACCTCCGAACAGTCTCCATATCCGGCCGAACATGTCTCCTGCTGGTCTCTACAAACTACGGAGCCTGGCCGGTGCACCGGGGTGATTGGTGTACATATACAAACCCCAATCCCCTAACCTTTTCCCCCTGGATATTAGTAGTCAAGTCTCGCCTCCGAAGGATTTTTTTTCTTTTCACTAGAATCTTCTTTATTTTCATTTTAAGCGAATCCTCTCTGGTTTGGGCAGCTACGCACACGACACGCATTCTCTTTATGGCAGCACCCCTCCACAACCTTCCTCGATTTCTCATGAATAGAACCCTGTACCGCTGTCGTATCGGTTGAATCACATTGCAGAACTTGCAACCATGATGGATCTTGGGTATGAGGCGACTCCGCCACCTTCCGCCGGAAAGGATTGGGTCAGCTTCTGGAACTTCGTGGACCGAGCTCCCCCTCTCGAAGCTGAATCGGTCCCCCGCGATATCTTGGTCGTGGGTGCCGGCATTGCAGGCATTGCTGTTGCCCTGGCCCTCTCAAAGGAATTGACGCCCTTTGTCCCCGATCTCCGGATCAACGTCTATGAACGGCACGACATCCTTTCCACATCCGGCGGTGCTATCAACCTCACCCCCGTTGCTCAGCGCCATCTGGATCGCTTGGGTGTCCTCGACGAGCTGGACAAGCTGGGACCGGAGTCTGGCACCGATGTAGATGCTATCCAGCTGTTCTCCAGCCGCTCGGGACGCTCCCTCGGCGCCATCAACTTTACTGATGACAATGGAAACGGATTTGGTGGGTATAAGGGCCGCAGAGTGATGCGTATCATCCTGTCCTTGGCCATGTTGAAAGTTGTCGAGCGCACTAAGAACGTCAATGTGGTCTTTGGCAAGAAGCTGGTCCGCGGCAAGGAGTCAAAAGACAAGGCCGTCCTATACTTCCAAGATGGCACAACGGCCACCGGGGACCTCGTTCTTGGTTGCGATGGGGTCCACTCCAACGTCCGCACCCAATGGGTCTCTCCCGAGCACCCGTCCGAGTACACGGGCATCTCATTCGTCCAAACCATGATTGATAGCAAAGACATCAAGGCCCCTGTTCATTTCCGCTCCACCTCGATGAACATTTCCCGTCATGGCTCTTTGCTCGCCAGTTACTGTGATCGAGATCATACTCAAATCTTCGTTGCCGCCATCGTGCAGTTCCGGGAGGAGCTCCTGTCGCACTACAAGATTGAGCCGGGTCAGGATTGGCGGCGCACCGCGGCTATCAAAGATGCCCTTTGCCAAGAGATGCGGGACCGTTTCGGCCGGTCGGGCCTGCCGGCCATCCGGGACATGGTCAACAAGGCCGACGACTGGATGCTCTATCCTGTCTGGCAAGTTCGCCCGGGTGCACGCTGGTACCGTAACCGGGTCATCCTCCTCGGTGACGCGGCGCATGCAGTAAGTGTTTATCCCTCGATTGCCATTGATTCAATACTGATCTTATTAGATGCCGCCGCGTGATGAATCTGCCGCATACGCGCTAGACGACGCCATTCTCTTCTCGCGCATCCTAGCGAAGCACCGTTACGATCCTCTCCCTGTCGCCTTCAAGGCTTATGAGGATCTGCGGCGAGGAACAGTCAATGCCGCCTTCCAGGTGTCGCGGCGGATGTGGGAAAAGAACCGTGACCTGGGCTTTTTGGAGGGCCGCCTGAAGGAGTGGACCATGCCCATGCAAGTCCGCAACGGCAAGGAAGCTCGCGAACAGGCGTGGGGTTTCGATGCGACTAAGGTGCAGCTCCCCGGACCGGGAGATTCGACCTCGTCGCTGTATTCATCTGAAAAGGAGTTCCTATAGAGGGTTTGCATGGGTGGTGTTCCGGTTGGCGGGCTTGGGTTATTGGGTTCTCACGAGCTATGATATCATCTATACAGTTTTACCACACAGCAGGCATAATGCCGTGGCTGTTTGATTTTTGGCATTTCGGTTCTTGGTTCGGCATCATATATATCAGACATGTTGGTCTTTTGAATTCATCATCCTAACATTTCGGTTGCGCGGCGTACCGAGTTTTGATCCGAGGTACGACGGGGGGAGTCTATTCCCAGATGGGAAGTCTTCCGGATTAATCAATTTAGATAAATGATTAGTTAATGTCAGTTAATATCTCTACTCTTCATCCCTTTCCCTCCAGATTCGAGATATTAGTGACCCAATAAATGAACTGTTATGATCGTCTCGTTAAGAAATAGATAAATACGAACGGAAAGAGTCCCCGAAGCTGCCCCTAATATTCTCCCCTCCCCCAGGAACAACCAGTCCAACTGAACCGTTATGAACCAAAAAGCAACAATTTACCCACCCGGTTAATAACCAGCCCACTCCACCCCACTAACATCCAGAAAAGCGGCTGGCGTAGACTATTTACCCCTTCCTTTCCCCTTGTTCCATCCAAAATTCTTTTCAGTTCCATGGAACAATCCTAATGTCATGCCATGTGCCTGAAAACCAAAACATTACCCCGGAAAGCATGGGACAGACACAATGGAGAAAATTTTTCTTTCTTCCTCGGTCTTACCCTATGGTCAATCAATGTCTTGGCTATGGTCTGATCCCTGCATGTGTCCCATGTCGCATGGCCCTTGGGTTACTTAAGTTTAGTCGGTAGATAGTTTCTGCACTAAACTGCCTAGTGGTGAGTTAGTTGGGCTGACTACCGTTAAACCAGAACATAACTAACTAGTAGTCTAGTTTGGGGTTAGTAGGTTTGTTGTGATGGAATTTTTCGGGATCGTAAGCCGGGATTTGCTCATATAGTTGGCCAATGGGGTTGTTTGGGTGGGTGATGGGTATTAGTAGTCTCTACTATTCATCATGGTAGGTAGGGCGTGGATGGGATGCGATTCCGACTCCGGGCTCGGCGATTCCGATTTCGATTTCGATCTCGCCCCCATTATTAGTTAGATGGATGGACGGACATGCCGGATCTGAGCGGCATTTGGATGTTGGGGTCGGATCTGATCGGGGCGGATCTTTGGGGATCTTGTGATTGTTTTTCAGTGGTATGGGGGCCGAATGAGTACGAACGTTGTAACTGTGGAGGATGTTGTCGAGGTATCGTGTGTTGTGAATGGAAGTTACGAGTCAGTGTAGAATACATGTCCGGCATTGAGCCTAAGGAATTTCCGGGAAAAGGAACCAAGGTCTCTTGTCTCTCCCATGTCGGTCCGTAGGGTTGTGACTGTGTCGCGTGTCCTGGTGGTGAGAGGAGTAAGTGGGGTTCTACGTCATTCGATTGGGGATGGCTGCAATTGCCGGTCAGAATTGTAGTCTTTAGTCTGGAGTAGGTGAGACGCGACGCAGTATGTAGTAGAATGGACGGGATGGTGTGGGGGCGTTTTTGTGGTAGTCTGAGAGTATGGGGTGATAAGTGTTTAGGCGATGGGCGTGGGCGTTGAGTTTCCCGCGGAGATGTCGGAGGTGGGAGACTGCTGGTGGATATAATATAGTAGAATTTATCGGTTAGAGTGGGTTGATTTGGTTTGAATCTTGGTCCCTTGTGACGTGTTCTGTAGGTGCCTAGTACTGTTTATCTATTTTCCAATGTTATCTAGTGGTGTACTGGCTTATGTATGACAGCGTTGCAGTGATATAGTTAGTATCCGTTATGCAAACACCCATTCTTTCATTAATTATTACCCCCGTAGTACTAACTTTGAGCCCCAGAAGAAACACAATCAACATACATATACTACTAATGCCTCTCAAACCCCTCCCCAACACTCCACCCCATCAAAGAAATTAGGAATTAATCAATCATACTGCCACGCCGCAATCGAACTCCCATTCGACACCCACGGGTACGCAAGAGCCTCAAACCCCAAGCAATCACTCACATTCCCCGACGGCACCGTCGCATTCTTCATGGCCGCAAAGACCTGCCATGCACCCCCGTTCACCTCTTCATCCTCATCCAACGGACAAGCCATGAACCCCGTCGCCCCAAGGCCCGTATACGTCCACTGTCCATAGCTCGTACCCGGCGTGTAGCAGAACGTGCTCGTCGACGCACCAGGGTCCATGTATGTCGTATGCGCTTCGACAAACTTCAATGCGCCGGTGGGGTCGACGTAGATTTCTTGGACGTACCCAGAGCTCTGTTCATTGTCAGTCATTTACGTGGTGGGAAGGAATTGCGGAATGGTATGTAGACATACCAGGTAGTTGCTGTAGTCGATCACGGTTTCATCTCCTGGTGGGCAAGCGTCGTATTCAGCTACGTCCTCCGGGCATGCGGTGGAGGTCGTGCCTCCTAGGTAGAAGTTGGTGTCGGCGGCGGTTAGAGGGAGGTTTTGAATGAAAGTGCCGGAGCGGATGGACATGACGGTGAAGGCGCCGGTGCTGCAGTTCGTGGCGGAGAGGGCAGGGGTGAGGAGGGCGAGAAGGGAGATAAAGGTAGCTAGGAAAGTCATTGTTGTGGTTTCGAGGATGGATGTCAGTTGGTTAGATTGGGGTGGATGTGATGGGTTGTGGTTGTGATGTTAGATGAGACGGTCAATCGCATATTTATATTCTTTGAATAGCTGAAAATGACAACCTCAACTCGGCCTCATGTACATTCTACGGTAAACAATCAGGCGTACAATGATCATCTGAGCTTGGCTATTCTAACTGAGAGCTGCATCCGCATTTCTCCGTTAAGCACATCCTGATAGGACATGGCATCTGACAAGCATGAAGCTATACGCGTCGTTGGAATTGTCTCACCTGTGACTACTTTCTACCGAATCACCAGGCCAGCGATACGGGTGGCTGCTTACAAGGAGTTTGATTGGGTTGGCGGGAACGGCCGGGTTAAGTCTACTGGGATGTTGATAGGACATTGTCAGAAAAATACATCATTATGCATGAGGCTGGGTTAATTATAGTTCCGTGTCCGTCTAGTGGGACGCCGAGGAAGCTTACTTTTAGTGTGACTATTCTAATCAGTAGGGGCTGTGTATAAGCACATTGTGTGCTGTCGGGAGATGGTCCGTTCTGATCCTTCTGCTTTAATCACTCGGCTCTTACATGCATCCACCATCATGCCCCTTCTTGTTATACGCGTACGAGTCAAATTTTCGTATTATTTTCTTTAGCACGGTCCCTTGAACATACTAGTATGTGTTCGGTATACTAAGCGCAAAAAGAAATCTTCAACTCACACTGTCTTCTCAATCCCTCCCATGACCAGCGCAGTTTCCAGCTGCTGTGCCACCTCCACTCCCTCCAAATCACGATGCAGCAATGACCCCTTCTGACATGCCTCCCAGTCAAAGCAAACCAGCTTACGCCGATTCGGCGTAAACAACAAATCCAGCTCCTCGAGCGACCGCTGTGCAGTCTCCGGATAGAACAAATACGTAACAAAAGAAGTCGCGATACAAACACCCCCAAAAACGAAATAAATCTTCCATGCAGCCTTATTCAACGCTTCAGGCATATATAAACCGAGCCAAAAATTCGCAAACCAATTAATGCAGGCAGAAAGTGCAGTCCCTCTGCCTCTCGCGGAGATAGGGAACACCTCATTCTGATAAGTCCAGGGCAACGCAGCGCACGTTGAGCCAAAGGAAATCATATATAGAAATACAAATGCCACAGCCGCATTGCCGGCCTTGACGTTCGCAAAGCTGTATTTCAACTGCTGGGATTCGGCATCGAAATGCGGCGAGCCGTAGCCAACTAGTAACATGCCAACAACAAGCATGCAGATGCCCATGAGGCTTGGGCCGATAATTAGTGGCTTCCGTCGACCGTATCGGTCAATCATGACAGTGAGCGAAAAGGAGGCAACTAGGAAGAGGGAGGATCCGATGCCGTTCGCTAGCATTGCCGCTTGAGTCCCGGTGCGTCCAGTCTGCGCGAATACCTTGGCCGCATAGTAGAAGACGATGTTGACGCCGCTAATGTTCTGCATAAATTGTAGACCCATTGCTAGCGCAGTGCGACGCCGGTAGGGCGCTTTAGCGAGTAGGCTCAGGTATGATGGGGGAGGTGCGCGGCCCTCATATTGCACGACTACTCGGATTTCTTGGAACTCGGCTTGTACGGATGGATCGGTGCAGTCACCGTGGCCATGAAGGTCTGCCAAAACTTGAAGTGCCTCGTCGCTGCGATCGTGTTGAAACAGCCAGCGTGGAGATTCTGGGCGTAGATAAATCAGCATACCCACTAAGACCCCAGGTACTAGCTGCAAGGCAAAGCACATGCGCCACGCGGCTGTTCCGGAAATCTTAAGCGCTCCATATTGTACCCAGTAAGATACTAGCAAGCCAACAGCGATCCCTGCGCTCATTGTGGAGGACATAATGCCGCGGACTGTGTGGGGGGTTTTGTTTCGGCGGTATACCTGACACTTTCAGCAAAACAACGAGATCGGAGGAGGGAATAAATTAGAGACAGCGATAAAGATGATATACTTACAGAGAAATGGATTGGAATAGCCCACCCGCTCCGAGTCCATTGACAAGTCGGCCCGCAATAAACATAGCTTGGTTTTGTGCGGCGACAACAAGTGCTTGCCCGATCAGATAAATAGCTACACAAACGAGAAGCGTGTATCGACGGCCGAATCGGTCAGCAAGAAAGAACCCAATCAGTAGCGAACCCCCAAACTCGCCAGCTTGAAGAGCTGCTGTCATGGCACCTTGTCGGTAAGCTGATGGCGTATGAAAGTAGGAAAGAAACTGCGGCATCGTTAAGATGCCGCTCATGGACGCAATCTCCCATCCATAGGCGAAGCCCGCTATTGATGGTGGCAGGGCGTAATACAGCCCCGATCGCAGGGTTACACTCATGTCTGTTCAATCCCTGTAGGTTGATTAACAGCGTTCGATAATGTCAGTTCTAATATACCAGGGTAGAAAAGAACTAGCATCTGGTGGCCGTGGCTTCAATCTGGGGAAGATGCGGGGCCCTGCGCGCCAGCTCATCATTTCTCCGACCAGCATAAGATTGTGCCATAAGCAACTTCCAATATATTGCTTTGATAGCCGGCTGAGTGGATGAGGGGTGAGCATAAGAGGGAGATAGCCAGAGTAGTTGGTTGGCAAGCGCACAGACGAATGAATATGTGATTGGCCCTGCAGGCCGATAAAGCTTAGCATGCAGCCAGCTTGCAGGGTACGAAAATCCTGCTAGTGGCACTTGGTCCTAAGCTTGAGCAGACCATACTTTTGCAGGCCAGTATTGTCTTTTTCATGCATTCATCGCTGTCAATAAGTGCTAATTACGTAGTCTCAACGCTAGCCTTCTCAACGCGGTTATAAGCACACCACGAGATTGCATATATATCGCTCACGTATTCTTGCTGTTCTGTGACACGTAGTCATGTCTGTATGTCATATTAATATAGAGATCGTCGCTCAACGGCAAACTATATATGGTTCCATCTAGAAATGTACGCTTCGGTACAAGCTAACAGCTTAAAGCACATTCGACATACCGTCCCTGGCACCCAGCGCCCGAAAATACTGCTCAAACGCCTCCATGCTCCACTCGCACACCGTCCCATCGCCTGGCAGTTCCCCAATTCCAGTACCTTCAGCAAGCCTCTCCACGGGCACTGCATCATAATTGTCCGGCACCAATTCGAGTCCATTCGACACATCGACCTCGCTCTCGTAACCCCGAACAGTCAAAGCACGGGCCCTTAACTCCTCAATGACCGCCCAATTTCCAGTTTCCAGTGCAGATTCATCTCCTTTCCAATACCCATATGCTTGCTCAACAACCCTCCATGCCTCGTCCCTTCCCTCATTCACCCCCTCCGCGCCCAGATCATTCAGCAGCATCTCCAACATTCCACACTCTATATCTCTCTGAACCAACCAAAGCCACTTCTGCCCTGGCTCATGCTCCCTCAGCACGAGTGCTCGCTGAAGGACCTCTACACAAATAGGTCGAAAATTGTGTCCAGGCTTACACACCGCTAATTTCATTTTCACCAGGAAGAGCTGAACAGTTGCCGCGGTTATAAACTCTAGGGGATTTATGGAACCACAGTGCGAGAAATATCTGGTTTCAAGTGACTGTCGAAAGTCGTTGATGGCCTTATGCTTTTGGATCGGGGACAAACTGTGATAATCGTTTGCATGGTTGAAAGTATCCGAGAAAATGATGCGTCGGGTGAAGGATATGAGTTCAAAATGGAGTAGTTGGAAGAACGTGCTAGATGCAGTGACGTTGGATGTGATCGGTGATGGGAGGCCTGTGTCAACTATGAGACATGGAAATTGTGTAGTGAAGGATGGTTCAAGGATATAGGGGGTTGTGTTGTGATCCTCTGCGGTTCGGGTGTCAAGGGTAACGAGTTGCCACCATAGGTGACGTCGCGATTCAGTCTCCAATACTGAACTGTTTTGTGTTGTGCCGTCGCGGTGGAGACCCATCCGGTATGCCATGTTGATGGCTGTAGGGAGGTGGGTTTTACCTGATGGGCCGTGGCTGTCTAGTCGGGCGCAGGTCTAGTACGATTATTAGCTGAGTTGGGGCGAAAGGAATGAATCACGCACAAGGTATAGAATGAAGGCTTGTAGGAGATTAAATTCCAAGGACGATGAAAGGTCTACTCGTGCAAGTGCGCGCTCGACTCCATTGCGATATCTATATTGTTAGCTAGGTTCGAGTTTGAGGACATGGCTATCTTACCGTTTCAATAGCGTTGACCTATCTTCATTGAGCTTGTCCAGGCACGTGGTTGATGGCATGCTGATTATTGAAGCGTAATAAATCGCAAACATTAAACACTGTTTCGCTACGTCCACAATGGTCCCCTCTGTAATAACTCGCATAATGTCTTTCTGAACACTAGGCGTGTGGAACACCCTGAGCACGGGATCAACAGTATCCAAGTACCAATGCCACAGAATGGATATTGTGACAGGCGATGGGTGCTGTCGTTCGGTTGTTTCTTTCGCGCTATCAAGAGTACGATTTGCGCAAATTGGAGGCTCTGTTCGATTTTCTGAGCCAAGGCCAGTATCGACGCAGTTTCCATGAGGGTTCGAGGGTCTCGTTTGGAGAATCTCACCATCTCCCGTAGTGTCTGATGCCGTAAATGAGAGTAGATGGCGTAGTGAGTCTCCAACCTGACCAAAATCCTCGCTCAGTACTCGTAGCGTATCCTCGATTTTATCAAGCCGACTCGTGACACTGACATTCCCTGAGTCTGGGCTCCGAGAGCGCCTTCTCGTCGGCGGATAAACACATGCCGCTCTAATCTTTACACAATAGGAACAAGGCAGTGACCTATCACATTTGATCTTTCGCCGACTACATTCGAGGCAGGATCTCCCGGATGCGATTGTTCGACGTAACATCTTATTTATTGAATGAATAGCCAATATACGGAATGTAGACCGTACTGAGCAGGCGAGAGAGTAATTGAAATGATGTAAGGAGGAAAGCAATCAGTGATTGGGTATGGCGGACAGCGGAGCGCCGTCCGTATATTTATAATCATGATGAATCATCTGCTTAGAGGTGGGTGATGGGACGTAAGCACTAAGCATTGAGCTGCTGGGGCTAGTCCCAAGTTAGGGTTGAGAATAGCGTATTAGTGTGTATACAACTGATTATCAAGTAGATTCAGTCCCTCAAAGGCAAACATAAATAGCGGCTATGTTCCCTCATTTCTAGCTGCAAGTTTCACAGCAGATTTGAGCAAACGATCAATTCATATCACATCTTCCACTTTACTCAGACCAAAATGGCCATCCCAACCAAAGTCGCGATCATTGGGGTATGTCTTTCGTGTCTATATTCCTTCGGACACCCAACTGACGAAAACAGGCAACCGGATTGATCGGTCAAATTATCCTCAGGGCATTGAGCTCGAATGCCAAAATCACCGTTACCGTCCTAACCCGCCAAGAATCATCCAGCACGACTGAGTTTCCAGTCGGCGTTACTGTCCATAAGACCGACTTTTCGGCCTCCAGTCTCCGGTCACTCCTTCGTGAGCAAGATGTGCTCATCTCTGCAGTTGGTGGGACTGCCTTCACTGAACAAAAGAAGTTCGTCGATGCTGCGATCGAGACAGGCGTGAAACGGTTCATTCCCTCCGAGTTCTCGACCAGCAGCGAAGATGATGCTGTGATCCAGCTACTCCCTCTATTTCAGCAGAAGAGAGATATTATCAACTATCTGAAAGAGAAAGAGGAAGAGGGGCTGAGCTGGACTGGAATTGCTACTTCTGGGTTGTTCGACTGGGTGAGTTGTCTTCTTTTACCACGTCTGATATATTATGACTGATTGGTATTCTAGGGACTTGCATCTGGTTTTCTCGGCTTTGATATGAAGGCCAAGTCAGCAGTTATTTGGGATAGTGGTGTCACCAGATTCACCCTGACGAATGAGGAACAACTTGGGAAAGCTGTTTTATCTGTCGTCTTGCGGTCGGAGGAAACGGAAAACCGCTTTCTATATATTGCGTCTGTTGAGACTACTCAGAACGAAGTCTTGAAGATACTCGAGGAGGTTACACAATCACGGTGGGCAGTCACGGAGACTACGACCCAGGAGCAGGTTGCTGAAGGCCTCAAGAAGCTGGGTGCAGGTGATTTCAGTGGTGCGTTTGCACTAGTCCGGGCGACTGCGTTTGGAAGTACTCCAAGCCTCAAAGCAAACTACGTCAGGAATCAAAAGCTCGCCAATGGATTGCTGGGACTGGGGATGGATGATGTAAGGGAGACTATTGAGCGAGTGGTTGGAGTATAGCTCACCCATATGATAATTCGCCTGCCGTGTGGAATTATAGTAGATAGTATATTTAGAGGGCGGTTTGTGGATGCTCCAATGGACCATAGATGGTAGTACAATATCTTAGATGTGTCGGACGGACCTGGAACGTGCATCAACTCAAGCAGAAGCAGCCTACTTAGATAATGTTTGTAAAACGTCTTATATTCTGATGCAATCGTACAGGTCAGTTGTTGACTGAGCATTATTGACACGCGGGTGTATGGTGAACCTGTGTGAACTCATCTCCCGCGAACTATTAGACGCACTACCTGCTGTATCCATCAAAACACAAATCTTGTTCCACTATGCAACTTTCTTTTTCTCGGGAATGATAATCCCCCAGCGCTAGATGACAGGAAAACCCATCAATACCAGGATTTTACGAAGACCCAGCGAAGCTGGGGTTCACTTTAGCAAAGTCTTGCAGCTGGGCAAACTCTTCTGGTGTGAGACCAACAGTGGAATTCACAATCCGCTGGGTCATGTTGAACAATGTCTCGCTTGTAGTGACAAATGGACGCTTAGTCCATCCAAGCTCTTGGGGCAGGCGTTCGTTTTCTACGCATTTAACATGTTAGCGGCGCTATTGACCCATAATTCATCAAGTCCACCCACCAAAAAAGTATACTACCCAAGATCTGTTGGCATATCCAAGACCGTTTTCTTCAAATGCGATCATGTAGGCGGCAGACTCTCCGAAACTAAATGCCGTCCCAGTGTCCGAGACGTTAAAGTCAGGGTTGTTGGCCTTGGAAGTGTTCCACCGAGCTTCATGTGCCTCAGCTGCTTCCTCAATATCAATCAGAGGACTCGTCCAGTACGATTTTGTCTGGTCGAATATTTTCTGGTTGAACTCATGGTCATTCCCGAAGTAAGGGTCCTGGCGACTGGGCGAGTCAGCTTGATTTCCTGATGTATCTGGGGTTGCAGATACCTCAAACTGGCATCATGCTCTAGGATACCGGGGCGATCAAGGTCACTCAAGGAGAAGGTAGTCGCGTTGGGGTCTTCAACTGTGGTCATGGCCTCTTTATACAGAGCAACAGCAAGGCTCTCTGCAACATTCAGCGTGTTGCCCAGTACATCGACAATATCTTCTTCAGAAATGTCTTTTCCATTGTGTGGTAGAAGTCCGTGGTTCGCAAGGGTATTCAGCATTGGGCAGGGGCCTCGCACTGTTGCTTCTTAGTTTCCATCACTAACTGAACAAGTCAGACATACCATCGCCATGCCCTGGAGGCGACCACGGAAGCAACTTGGCTGAATCTGTGGCCAAAGCCAGGGAAAAGAAAGAGAGAACGGAGAGTAGACTGGCTTTCATTGTGCTGCTTTAGTTCCAGATGTCTGACTTATGCCTTTTGCCAGATAGATGGATGTTGATCTCGAGAGGGTTTATATACGAGCCACCGGGAGGCTGGATATCACGGGCAACAAATACCTTACACATTATTGGTGCATTCAATCAAATAACAGATGCAGTGTAACTTTGGCTTGCGTCCTTGTGAGGTTCAAGGAGGGGAAACCATGCATTGCTTACATGCCACTGACAATCTGTTGTGGGTCTTATATTCAATTTGTCGACATGGCCATGCAACAGCGCAACCCTTAATGGTAGTTGCAGCATACATGATATTTGCAGACAACCCTGAAGCTAACGGTTTGTATAGAGCATATGCTTTGCATATGACCTCGGGAGATCACTCCATTGATTTGCGCAGATCTTATTGCTTCTCACGCATAACTGAGCATGTCATATGTATTGGCACGCTGAGACCTCGACAAGGCTCAGAATATCTCAAATTCTCTATGATCTGGTGATATGCTGCACAGGATACATCGATACTGGGTCAAAGATTTTCGTCCGTACGCTCGATGCTATTGCTTGAGGCTCCCCTTACGAGCTACTGACATAACAAGTTACAAGATGTATAGCCCTGATGTGCTAGCTTGCCGTAATAAACTATATCCCATAATAGAGGCAATCTTAGTAGTCATCCCCAGCAAAATTATGATAAATGGACTCTGTACCTATCGCATTTATTACTTTGAGTGCCACAATATTCATCTACCGGCTAAGAGGCTATAGTCAAAGGCTCCCCAGTCCACGGTCGCAAGCATGTCCCTTAGGAGGAGACTATATGTGACAGATCACCCAGAGCCGAAGCCGGGTACATCTCTATACGTTGTATCCCACCGCTGCTTGTCCACCTGCACGATTTTGGCGATGTTTATCGCATTGTACACCGCAGCGCCAATTAGGTATTTCGCAGGCTATGAATTTGATTTTATCGTGGCTCGTTTTTCACCATCTTTCACAACCTGGCTCTGTCCTAGGTTGTGCTTTTCTTTTGGACAAGTTATCCGCATGTTATTGTTATAGGAAGAATGCGTGCCATGTAGGTGTCCCATCTTACCATAGAGTAAATTTTCGTACTACATAACCCCATGATTTATTTTTGAAAACTTCATGAATTATTTCGACACCTGATTTGTCTTGTGCAGCTGGCCAGTCAATTGGAGTCGATGTATCCCTTGCATAGGGGGCTTGCTGAGCAGACCCTACGAGCTGATGAGTATACTGCCTTCACAAATATGACTCTTGAGTACGGAGCACTTAGGAAACATTATTCTGAGCATATGAAGACACTGTGAACAGTTGGACCTTGTACAGTCACTTACCCGGAAAAGTCTCCTGCCGTGACGGCGGTAAGTAAAAAAAATACAAAAATGCTCACACTCGGATTCGAACCGAGGATCTCATGATTGCTTACTAGTCATGCGCTTTACCAACTAAGCCATGTGAGCTGATTGGTTGATTGCGTCTACATTTTGGACTTACAATTCAAACGATACAGATATCGAGGCCCCCTGCGTGCCTCTCATAGGCTGAAGGGAAAAACCCTCGCTTGCGCCGAGTGGCTGAGGATCTAGGGATTTGGAGATATCCTGAATATATTGGTCGCACATTAAGGCATCAATGGATGTAGTGTTCACCAGTTAAGGTCCTATATTTGGGTCGCACGTCTCAAGTTGCATCAATAATAAGATGATAGAGATAAAATGATGCACAGTAGGAAAGAGTATCATATATCATTTTCTCTACTTAGCCAGACCGACATGGAATCTCATATGACAGGTCTCCGAATTCATCATAGATTAAGGTTTAAGGAGATCGATCTCGAGATGTACTATGGACAGCTCCAACTTCCCCCCTCCCCCGCAGACCGACTGTCCTATCCTGTAGCTTGGGCAGCTGCACCGAAAATTTCTTCATAGCTCGCAGAAACATGATACCGCGTGATCCAGACATGCTATGTCAGCACAAATATATAATCACGATGTCCATACTTTAGGGGCATCACTATTTCGATAGCACAATGAAGAGGATATTGTGACAGATAACTGACTGTATCTAGGGTGAAAACCTCACATGCTATGCACCGCTTTGCCTATACTAAGACCTACTGAGATAGGTCAGGTCTCAACTCGATGATTGCGGACATAAGATGGCATCGGCCTCCAGGTATTACAAACTGGTAGATTTACATTGTAGACATCCGACATCTTTTATGTAAATATATTTTCCTTCGACGTTGCACAATATATGGTATATGTCAATATATTGAAACGGTGTAGTCGTCATGGGCGCTTAAATAACCTGACGATGATTGCGAACCTAGCAAGCTGGCATACGCAACCATTAAAATCCCATGACGTATGGCATAGTATATATTTTCAACTGATGCTAAGATAGTTCAATGATTATGATTATCCTACTGTCACGAAAATATTGTGCACCGCATATTTGTCCGTCGTCCAAGCAAGGGATGAAGCAACACAAGCTCGGTTCTGAGAGACACAGTAGTATAGATAATAGTAGAATTTGAGTGAATTAATCACAATCTGCATTGCGCTAGCATTGTTGCCTTCCTCATAATCTGGCAATGGATGTTCCTTATATGAATTCATGGAGCAGGGGTCCATTCTCTCCCCAACTGGGTTGCGTCGAAGCAAAATACAATATAGGCGTATCTTCTCCGAACAGTTTCCAAGTCTCCGAAGTGTTCTATGTGCAATGTAGATTTAATTTCTATATATCCCATGATAACCCCTTGATTTTAGGGGTATTCTCTAATGCGTCTTGCCATGCCATGCTGAATGACCATCCCCGTGGCTCCACAGCCATACGACGAATAGAATCATTCCAGTTGACCATGTCCTCCAACAAAATCCTGCTGCCTGAACGTATAATAAATAATATGGTTCGAGTCGGTGAAGCTTTTATCCGCTCAGCGCAAACGACTCTGTAGTGAACTTGACGTGAGGAACTTAATTATAGACGATTTCGATCAGAATCGGCCATTTACAAGACAGAAACCGTCGGTGCTGATGAAATATATATTGACTGTCACAACATTGATTTTTGACTTTGTTACTTTGAATACCGTGAAGGTGTCGCAACAGTTCCTTATACTTTTACTTACTACAATCACGTCAGAAAGGGACGATATGGCTAAAGCTTCCCACATTACGGACATCTAGGTTAAATCAATGTGTAAGGCCGGGTGGGTCATCAATGGCATAGAGGCCTAGCTTTCGGATCATACCCGTCAACTGAAAGTTAATCTTAATCGTTATATTAGTATCCCGTAAACCTTACTCGAATTGGATGCCAAAATTCCCACGACTCGCAGCCTAGTTCTCCTACGGCGCCCTCGTGGGTGGTGGTTGTTAGGTATGACTAAGGATCTTAAATGAAACACGGAGCTCATACCTTTATGGATGGAGTAAGAAGAAGGCGCTGCAGTCTCCTATTGGCGGAAGATTAACCACTCTAAAAGTGTTGAAACAACTACAGGTCTGTCTGTTACTATATTAATGCCGAAAACGGAGGACCCCTGCATAGGGGCTGTTCCAGGGTTTAAGTAGGGCGCCAAGAGCAGGGCCCATAAGTGGAGAACGGCCATATGGGCATCAGGGAGAGCCATATTGCACTTTCTTGTAACAGACCAGAATAGCCGTTTGGCCCAAGGTTGTTGATGGCGGTTATCAAGTTCGAGTAACCGCCTAGCAAGCTCATGACTAAATTTAACCTACCCGGTCATTATGGAAAAGTTATGGCGACTTTTGCCACCCTGGTTCAGCGAGCATCTGGACCTTCGAATATTTAGTACATTCGTGCGCTAAATTACCGGAAAATAAAGAGCAACCCTGAAGCCCAGTTATGAATCAGTCCAGAGCCAGGGAACTTTTACTTCTGCCTCCAATTGTTTGTCAGGTGCAATTGACTTTGGAAGACAGCTGTTCCTGATGGTGTCGGGAATCGGAATTGATTACCCACCAAGTGGGTCAGGACGGGAACTCGAGGTAGGAGTCTGCGGCAGTAGCCTTGTCAGAGAGATCCATATAGATTGAATCTTTTCTTGGCTTCTGGTCAGCATGGGGGCAGCATGTTTGTGTCTGCACACCCCATTCGTGCAATGGAAGGCACAAGAGCCAAAACCCCCTCAACTAGGGCAATACTCCCGGGGACCGAAACCCACTGGTGGATATTTCCCCGAAACATCAGACAATAAACGTTAATAGTTACTGAGGAGAGAGGGAGTAATAGGGAAGGAAAGTTAAAAGCTGCTTCGTCATTATTCAGAACATATAAGAATGCACCTTGTCCTCGCAGTCCGTCTACCAGAACAACAAGACCACACGAGCTTCCGCATCTACTCACATCTACCACACACAACTCTATCAAAATGTACACCCGCACCCAGGTTCTCGCAGCTCTTGCTGCTCTTGGCGCCACCGGCGTGAACGCCGCCATGGGTCCTGCTTTCAGCACTGGTCCCGTCTCCGACGACTCCTTCATCCGTGAAGCTACCTCGACTCTTGTCCTCCCCAATGGCCCTAGCGGCGGCTCCTCCGATGCTATCACCTCCCTGTGGGTTGGTATGGGCACCTCCAATGGTGACCTGATCCAGTCCATTGCCGACAACTGGCAGCAGAGCGACTGGACCATGTACGCCTACACTCTTAAGGAGACTAGCGGTTAGTGACTACGGAAACCAACAACAAACGAAATAATTACTTACCCGCTCCTCTCCACAGCTACCTCCCAGGAGCCCATCTACGGTGATGGCCAGGCTGACGGCACTAAGGGCGACAAGGTCACCATGCACTGTAAGTGACAATTACAAGCAGTCGTTTCTGCCTCACAGCTAAATTTCGCGATCTACAGACAAGTTCGATGACTCGACCGGCAACTACACCCAGACCGTTTTGATCAACGGCAAGACCGTCTCGACTCTCTCCACCAGTGATGGCAAGGCTCAGGGCTGGGGAAGCGCTGTTGAGTGTGCCGAGGACAACTGCGGCACTGTCGGTGCTCACTGTAAGTTGAACAAATTTATTATCGAAGTATCTTTGCGTTGCTAATAAACTCGCTCATTAGCTTGGACCAACACCAAGATTATCCTCGATGTTGCTGACCCCAACTACATCAACACGCTTGCCAAGGGCAGCGGCGTCACTGGCGACATGTCCACCAGCGATGGTGGCAAGACCTGGACTGTTACCACCATTAACATTCCTGAGTTCTCTTTCTCTTCCTAAACGCACTGCATGTTACATCAGAACCCATCTGGATATGGGGATTGCTAGGATAGTGCAGTGATTCCTACCTTCGTCTTTGTATTAGTATTATGCAGTAGCATAGAATGCCTATTAATATTCTTTATATACTGGTAATGTTCTTCGCTCGACAAGAGCAGAGCAAAGACTAGAAATCGTAGTTGCACGCTAAGTCTGGAAAACCTCTTATGAATACCCGCTGGTATGTACACCGTAGGGACCTGTCGCCCGAGATATCCTAGATATCCTGAATATCCTCGAATTTTAGCAGCCAAAAAAAAAAAAAAAAAAACACACAATACGGAATTTAATTAGTGAAACGCACTTATATCTATTTTCTACTTGCATCCAATGATACCACGTTAATGCCTCAGCAAGACGGCCACGTCGCGCGGGGTTGCTGCACAATGCGATCCTTTGCGAGCATAGCCACGTTTCCGCCTCTCGGTTAGATTAAATAAATAACAAGGCTCAGTGTCCACACATGGGTGAATGGGCAGCGCGTACGGTCGCGAAAACAATTTTCACATGAGATGCCATATCACTTAAAATTCCTTCATATCTCATAACCTTGGCTTGGTGTATTTAGTCATTTGTTCAACAATATCTTATCGCTGGCTACAGTAATAGGACCCTTGGAAGGCGCAGAGCTATCAACTCCACATAGCAACATGGAAATGCATCAAATCAAACGAAACCACGATTTTAGCGTGAGGCGATGCACAGTTGCTGCTATCTTAGCCTCGCAGCCTTGCGATCTAGGCTACGATGTGTTAATCTACCAATGCTTAAATCTCTTCGTGGCCGGTGTTAGCACCGTTTATCTGTCATCGTTGGTACTGGATGGCTTCAAAAATAGTCATGACTGGGAAGAAGAAAAAAAAAGATGAAAGCCGTCTCTGAGAAAGTTGTGCATACGCCAGAAGTTCTGTTTATACCGTCTATTGCTGAAGAAAATAAGGGAGGATACTCTTCGAAGGCCTTGGAAAGGTTTTACTGCACTCTGGGCGATCGCTTTGGGCGAGATCGCGAGTTTTATTCAAATACAAAAGATGAGCATGGCATGACCCCGCTTCATTACGCAGCGCAGTTATTGCCGACGGGATGCAGTTTCTCGGATGAACACGGGGAGGAACGACGAAAATGGAGGTTGCTACTGGAAGGCCTTGATAAGGGTGATCTGAATGAGCAGGATGACGATGGTCGTACCCCACTGTCTCATGCAGCAGAGCTTGAAAATGCGTGGGCTGCGAACAAATTGATCAAAGCTGGAGCTGACCCCTACCAGAGTGACAAGAACGGGCGATCGCCTTTGTCCTGGGCAGCGCAATCCGGTGGAGAAGAATTGATTAAGCTACTAAGTTGGAATGTTGGGTACTCTAATGACAAGGACAACCGAGGCTGGACACCCTTCCATTATTTCCTACAAAGGGAGCCTGAGCCAACCAAAGGATACGATTTCGGGGTTTTGCCACTTGTCTGGGACGGAAGACATTCCCTTGAGGTTGGCCACTTTAAATGGCGCAAAGCCTTGTTGAAACGTTACGTGCATTCGCGAGTGCCAGCCAACTATATGAGCACATCCTTGTTATCTGAGCCTGATGCTTTTGGCATCACTTTGCTGTCACGCGCTGTACAACTTGATAGAATCATGATCGTCGCAATACTCCTTACCATTGAGGATATCAATATTGGCATGCCAGACAGAGATGGCAAAACGCCGCTGTGGCGGGCGATAGAAGCCGGAAATCGCGCAATTGCTGAGTTACTGTGGAGATATGATGATGTAACTTTGAGGCTACTTGCGACAAGTGCTCACTCCAAATCGGACCTTCTAGAATGGCTTGTTACCAACAATTATTCGTTTACCAGACTGCAAGGACTAAACAAAGAGACCGCTTTCCATATACTGCTTGACATCCCTAATATCAGCATTATGGAGCATCTCCTCCAACAAGCCATAGTCGCCCAAATACCTGACTTGCCTATGGACACAGTTGAAGCTCCAACAAATGTGAGCTCAGAATTTCTAGAGAAAGCCGACAGACGTGGCTTAACCCCTTTAGCCTTGGCAAAAGAGCAAAGACTGCTACCGATAGTGAAGCTTTTCCTTCGATGGCGTGCCAAAGTGGACTGCTTCAGACACAAAGCGGACTGGTTTGATCTATTACCGGACAGTAAAAATAAGGGGCCTTTCTTCAATTTGGAGGAAACGTATCGGAATGTTTCATTTGAGCTGGTACGAAAGAAGAACAATATCCTTGTCTTCGACTTCTACAAAGCAGAGGATGTAACTCCACAAGGACATCTTGTCGAACGATGTGATATGCTTCAGCATCTCTGGTGAATACTGCCTTTTGATGAGTACCTTCTTTAGATGCTAACAGGAAGCATTGGCAGGGTACACAATAGCAAGCAAAATTGGATAGCCTCATTGCAACATGGCCTCTATCATAATACAGAATCATACGCATACAGCCGCGTGCATCTTGACACCAAACTGTCCGAAATAACTTGTGCTCTATCGGCAGAATTTCCCAACCCGGATGCAGGATTCTTCAATAGACATAGCCCATTCCAGTCTGGGGGCATAGCAAGTCACAAATGCTGGTGTATATCGTGGACAAAACCACAGTTTCCGGATACAAGTGACGACATACAACCAGTATTCTACAGCACTACTATCTCTCACGGCCAGATTCCTGCAAGCGACGACGAATTCCTACAGCAATACATTGGCGAATTATTTCAGGAATGGTCCCTAATATGCGATGAAATTGAGACGCATGTCATTGATCATGTACGTCGACCCCTTACCCCGGATCTTGCGTCTTATGCTGACAGCTCTGACCACTAGTGCAATGGTGACGAGACGAGCGCCACTGTTCTGATTACTGACCTAGCTGATGATTCACGTTACTTGGCCACCATCCAGAAGGCCCTTCAAGACCAGATCAAGGGAATACGGAAGGCAATCGATGAATATCGCAGGGTGGATGTACATCACAGTCCTTGTTTGGAAAAGTCAGAAGAAGATCTTAGTCGATTGAAGGCGACTGTTAATGATCGACTGGATAAGCAACATGAGCGGGTGCGTGATCTCCGCCAGATGGTAAGATACCCACGGTATTGACCTCATTAAATGATTCTTACAGTATCAGGAATTTGCTAGGCTTTCCGTTGAAGAGACAGTTTTCATGAGACGTATCAGTCTGATAACTGTGAGACGATATATTGGTTCTCTCTATTCACATGGCTAACGAGGGCAGTTTATCTTCCTACCACTGATGTTTGCATCGGTAAGTAGTAGCGTGAACTGACTTTCATCAATCCCCTCCTGTTCTACTTTGATTTGCCCCGGCTAAACAGCAGCAGAGTCTATTTGGCATGAACGTCAACGCGCTGCAAAGCAACCCTGACTGGCGCTGGTACATCGTGTTCGGCGCCGCATCCCTTCTTTTGACCTATGCGTTGTGGAAGGTTTCAGATCAGGTTCGTTTCCAGTTATCTTGCGCCCCACATGGCCCGCTTTACTGGCCCAATTCACAATTTTACCTTTCTCTTGTGCTTCGTATCAGGCCTGTGCTAATGCGTTACCAGAATGTCCGATTATCCCAGTTATGGTCTGAAATACGAGCGAGTCGGACCATAAAGAACAGGACGAAGGATTGTGAAGGCTGAAGATATCGTCAGAAATGCTTTTTGGGATTGTTGTTACATGTTGGTGTGGGGCCGAAGGGGAATTGGGGGCGGTCATTACTTTCTTTCAAGTATCAGGGAAGTATTTCGGGATGGTTTTGGTCGATTAAGTGTTCTTTTCTCATTTCGACGTATGCTAAGATTGCTCATGCACGGTTTCTATACGCCTCAAGCTGCAAGAAGACATAGTCAGTTACGCTTTGGTATGAACGTTATATACAGTCAAATAATATTTTTGACTAAGTAAGCTAGTAAAAGTCTCTTCACACGTATACAGATTGAAGAAGACACAACAGGTGAAAGAAGTACAACGACTATCGAAGCGAAGATACTACATACAGACGGATAGAGATCCTATCAAAGGACCTTCCAAAATCCATGATTACTCATTCAACCCATTTAGAAAACGGGCATCTTGAAAGCATCAAAAGTGTAGTCCCAAGTAGCAAGGGACTTGGAGTCGTGAACACAAGAGAAGCTGGAGTTGCTGTTCCAGAGAGGACGAGAAGGCCACTGGCAAAGCATCTGGGTCTCACCAGCATAGGTACCGGAGGAGACGGTGGCGTTGAGGCGGGAAGGCTTGTTGCCGTTCTCAACCCAGTCGATCATGATCTCCATGTTGTCCTCGGGGTAAGGACCAGGCTGGAGGGAGTTGGTACCGCAGTGAGCAGCGCCGGGGACAAGGTAAAGCTGGTACCAGTCGGACATATCCTGCAGGGACTGGGTGTAGGTGGTGTTGGGGTACATGGCCTGACGGACAGCCTGCCAGTAGTGGACGGACGAGGCGGTAGGGATACTGGGGTCGGATTCACCGTGGTAGTGGATCATCTTACCACCGGACTCCTTGAAGGTGGTGAGGTCGATGACGGTGGTCTGGAGACTGTCAATGTAGCGAATCATACCAATGTTCATCCAGTCGACCAGGGTGTCGTAGGTAACGTTGTCGAGGTTCTCCAGGTTATCGATGTTGAGGAGCTGCACGAACTTGGTCACATACTCGCCACCGGTAGAGGGGATGCTCAGAGTCCAGGAGTCAGTGGTGGAATCGTACTCGGTGTCACCATCGGACAGCTCAGCGGCGATCTGCCACGAGAGGTAGGCACGCTTGCCGTTAGAGTCGTGAAGACCGTCGTAGATGGCCTGGGCGAGAGCAACACCCTCAGCGGTGACGCTGCCGTTCTGGGCGGGCTGGTAGCTAGTAGTGCTGCCTTCAGCACGCTTGCTGAAGCCAAAGCCCAGGGAGGTGTAGTTCTGTTCAGCGCAGTAGTAGGACTCGCCAATGATGGAGGTGAGGTTGAAGTTCAGCATGCAAAGGTCAGTACGGGAGACAACGCCATCGGTACGGCCGTCGAGAGGGTCACAGGCTTCGATGGTAGCGTTGACGATCTTGTCAAGTTCGCAAGGGGGAGGGTAGTAGTCCATGGTGTGTTCAATAGTGGCAGGGAAGACGTGGTGAACCTGCTGCTGAGCAAAGCGGAAGGCAGGGGCACCGGCAATGACACCGTCATATTCGTCTCCCCAGCGCTGTACCTGACTCATACCCTCACGACCACCATCGGAACAGCCCTCGTAGTAGGTGTAGATCTTCTTGTCGCTGGAGAGACCGTAGAAACCACGGGTCAGGGGCTTGGCGATCTTGGTCATTTCACCAAGAGCCTGGTAGGAGAACATGTAAGTAGCATCCCAGTTGATCGAGCCGTTGCCGTAGAGGACGACTTCATCGTAGCTGTAGGAGAAGGCGTCGTAGCCGGCGTCGGTGGCACCGGAGGCAGCACCGTACTCGAGACCGCCAGTAGCATCGCTGGACAGAGAGAAACCACCACCACCGGCAACGTAGAAACGGTTCTTGAAGTCGGAAGGAGCGGGCAGGGCGTACTTCACGACAACCTTGTCACCCTTCCCGGTGTGGGTGTAGGTAACAGTGACATTGCAGTAGTCGTAGGAGCCGGAGCTACCCATGCCAGAGCTGGCATCGGTGACGGTGTTGGCAGTGACGGCGGAGGGGATCAAGTTGATTCCCAGGAGGGTGCCGTTGGAAGGAAGGGCGGACTGAACATTGGAAACAGTGCAGAGATCGGACAGGGAACTAGCCTGAGCAGTGGCTGCTGCCAGAGCAGCGACAACTGCGCGAGTGGACTTGCGCATGTTGAGGGTCACTAAAGAGTGTGGAGGTGGATTGAATGAGCGAAGGTGCAGACTGTAAAGACTGACTGAAGCGTCTGTTGAAGAAGTTTGTTTGGGGTGGCGGATGGATGTCTTATATAGTACGATCATCTACCCAATATTGGGGACATACCGTGATAGCCGTCTCCTGTGGTTCGAGTGGAGTGAGAAGGCTATTCCATCGGCCGGGCCCACCAGGCTTGACATTCTGCAGCAGAAATTAACTCAGATTCTAACACTCGTCACCCGATTGCGCGGCCCGGAACAGTATTATCCAGATTATGGGGTTTAGTGACATCAGTAGATCACTGTGACAGCTGGCTTTCGCATGTCATGGGCGCAGTGTGATGGAAAGATCCAGAAGGGGCTGTGATCAAATGAAGACTCTTTCTCATATTGCAGCGCAGCGAAGTGTGAGTGATAACCTGTTTGTCGGTCATTGCTGCTTGTATGCTTCCTAAACTTGGTCAAACGGGACCTGAAACCCCGACACGAGTAGCAGGGAGTAGCAGCGACAATGGCATGGGATGCATCTAATCTGCATCTAATCAGGGCCTTCGCCAAGAGGGTCCCGATGTTAGGGCGGTAATAACCTTATCCGGGTGGAGTCAGTAAATCTCCGCTCGAGCAGTCGGGCGCCTTGGCAGGCCACAGGAGGTCCAACCAGGGTCTCGGCTTCTAGGACCCTTTTCGGCCATCGCATTTGCCTGACTGAACATTCACTGAGAGATGAACAGAATTCGACACATATACAAGCTATAAAGTCTACATTCCAGGCAGAGTGATCTACTTCTGCTCCCAAGCAAGCAGTTCCCAAAGGCTAAGCTTTTGGTTCCTGCGCGAAGTCGTGCGCCAAGCCAAATAGGGCATGGCTGGTTAGTGCCAAGTCGAGGCTTCGTCAGCTCAGTATCATGTTAAGGCGGCAGGTCGAAGACCCCCTGTCTATTTTCGAGCCTAGCGAGAGCCAATTTGGGCGTTTTAGACTAGTCGACAGATTCGTCATACCACACACACCCCATGGTCGGGGTCTGCTAACCTTTTCAGCGAACTCCGCAGGGAACCCGCAAACACCGTGGTCAAGGAAATCTGGTCCAGGCCGCGGGTGGCAGATGAATCCTAATTGACCCTGTTCAGCCCTGCGGTGAAGAAAATGATATTGATACGTAACTGTGCTGATCAGAATCTTGGTTCTAGCTTCAGAAAAGGACCCATTTGGATGATACTCACGAAGGGTGTTATTCTGTTGACAACATCCTACATGCTTGTAAGATCCGTGAATATAGGGACTCAATAATACAGGTACGGAATCCAATTAAGTCGACAGCCATCAAGGTGGCATACAGCAGGTGAAATGCATACGTACACGCCCATCAATCCGTGTTTGGCTCCATGTAAGTCTGAAGAGCCGATAACGGCTGTTCCACACTTCATCCCGATCTAAGTAGACTAGGCTGTTTGCCAAGATGATCGGCGCTTCCGCTTAGTCACTCATACTCCCATCATTCAGGGCATTGCTTCCAGTCTGGACATCACTATTGGTCAACATTTCAGCATACCCATAGCAACCTTTCCAGAATAGCTCTAGTCCAAACTGCGAAGAATGGGTGTCCTCCGGTGGCACCAGAATAGTATACTTTGCACGACCTTCTCGCCCAACAACTTGGGAACGTGAGCCCCGTTATTCCCAGTACACCATTCCTTGGTGTTTCTGTTTGATTCCACACTCTTAGCCCCACTGTTTGAGATCATTGCCCCTTGCGCAGCAAAACCACTGCTGGAAAATGAACTGAGAATCATCATAATTTTAGTATTACCAGATGTTGAGTTGACTTGACGGGAGCGTGCTCCATTTTCCGAGCAGAAATCTCGGCCTGAGATCATAGCCTAAAGCTCTCACTGAATAGCTTTTCGGGGCTACTCATCCTCCAGTCGGACTGGATTACCGGAATGGTCCCCTCACCCAGCCTGCGCCGGCGGACGACCGTACCTTCTTAATTTACTCGTGGATGCTGGCAAATTTGCAGCTGCAGAAAAAAGCCACTAGTTCATGAATTTCCATATAGCAATCCAAATTCACGTTTGGTGGCCTATACACGTGTCACTGTTGACTGGCGTTGAAATACCAACTTGACGTTGTGAATGCAGCAAACTTTATACGTATAATTCACAAGAGTGCCAAGGGCTACGTATATGGCCTAGATGGCTTTGTAACCATAACAACTTCTCGGCCTAGGACAGCTCGGAAACAAGTTAACCTCGTGACCTTATCCGAGTGCCACCAGACACCACAGGTTAAAGGTATCCTACATCTGCCCTACTGCTTGCCCTCTGGTTCAGATGCCATCACAAAGTGATCATATCATGAAACCCAATGATGAAAGAGGCGGTCCTTAGTCCTTCTTATCATTACGTTTGCAATATCTCACATGTGGGGATCCATTGCTCCATATCCAGCTTCATGGAGGTGAGCGAATAAAGCGCCGATATTGGAAGTGCATGGCACTTGCTGATGAGGCTGGACGCCAGCAATCAACTTGAATACACAATTTCGATGAACGCAAATTGATGCCTGTAGCAATATCAACACATCTGCGCTGACTATACTGGTGGGCTTCAACAATCTCTACGAAATAAATTGCTCATGTTCGAGAACTTTTCCGGTATCAATTTGATTGCGTGTGGGTCTCAATACCACTACGTAGTCCTGACTGAAGGTCATCCCTATTTTTAGACCCACCCGCATGATAAATAGCAACGCCTTATCACCCCGAGTCCTCTTATGCCTCGTGGCGTGCTGAATGAGGACGAGTTTGTTTGTG